CTGAAGCTTCCGAACAGGACCACTGCGGCGGCGATTCGTGGCAGCGCGTCGTCGACTACAACCTGGGAGAGCAGATGGGACATCTGTTGCGATGGTATAATTACGGCCGATGATGATGTCCGACACTGCGGAACCGTGCACGAATTGGGGCATTGTGAATGAAGTACGTGGCGAGAGCGATTTGGAGGAATCGGATTGCGAGAACGACGAAACTTTGGAGCCAGTGCCTCATGCAGCTTATGCCATGGGCCTCGGCGAACGAGCACCCTCTCGTTTTAAATGAATTCGAGACCGCTCTTATCGCTTCTGCTCTTCAAAACACGTGCATCATGGACTTTTTGGGGCAAAAAAAAATTGTGTTTTCACTCGCAACTTTTTTAAAAGCTGTGTTTCATTAACTACGAACTTCGGGATACAGCGAACGGATGCCGCGTCACACTCAAGGTTCGTTATAAGCGGACTCGACTGTATACCAGTAAATTGAAGTATTTTTTCAGCCCAACGCTTCTTCATTTTTCGTGCTCTCGTTCCTATTTCTGTTTCAGTGCCATACGGTACGTTTCGACCTAGAACGGCATGTAAAGAAGGGAACTAATGCCATATGTGTGCAATGAAAATTCAGACTTTTTGAAGTGCGTGGTCAATTGTGTGTGAATGTTGTGGGATAGTGGGAAGAAACTGCTGGGGAGCGGATCTCATTCTGGACAGTTTGCCATGGCTCTAAATTGAGCTGCCTGGGCAGGACCCATATTCCCAGATGTCAGGTGTGCGGTTACCCCAAGGCTTGTGCCTCTGAGCCCAGTGTTCACCCAGCGACTGCTCATTCCTGTGAGGCTGAAGCGTGACCCAGGCATTTACTGCGCTGGAAAATGTGCGAGAACATCCCAGCACCGAGCCTCCGTCCCGACATACGCTGGGATCTTTGGGGACAGCAATGCCATGTGGCCTGACATGCCGTGAGTGTGTGAATGTGCCGTCACTGTGGCGATAGACCATCAACTATACACTAGACTGGTGTGTGTTTTATGTGTTTGCGCAACGCGTCCGTCAATTCTGTCCTGCGTCATCATTAAAGCCTCTGTTTCCGAGAAACCTTTCTTGTGTGTGAGGAACCTGAGCCCACATTGTCATCTCAATATGGCACTGGTTAATCACGAAAACAAAAAATGGTGTCTAGAGACTTTGAGAGCAGGGGCTCGATTTGAACCTTGAATATGGCTTCCATTTTCAAGCAGGCTTGTAAGTTCCGGTCAGTATTTGGTACCTTAATCGTAGCTATTGCAAGTGGCTGCCAAACATTGCATCTCATGAATGTGCTTGACCACCGATTCTTCCTGTAATTGCATTTCTGTTTGAACCGAGGGCGTGTGCAGGCAGTGTCTCTGGTCTTCTGCTCAGCGATGAGCAGTGTATGTTTGTCAGCAGACTTACAGTAAACGTCCAGACTGTTCAGCTTAAGCACTTTCTTCTTCTCTGGGTGATGTGTGTATACAGTTGCAAAGCTTGGTACCATTTTGACCAAGGCATGCTGGGGCACTGGGGAAAAGTGTCTGGCTGTGTCTACGCTGCTGGTGAGACAGCTAATGTAGATGTGCAGCAGAAGCAGGAGCAGAACTGTTAAGGGGTGGCTGGCATAGGTTCCAGAGCAGTACATGTAAGGGTTTAAAAATGTGCCAAATAAATAAGGCGAACAGTTAGAGCAAAGGTAAGTGCAACAGCAGTGTGTCTCGCATTTGGCTGGAGGCGTGTTTATTTCTTCACAGAGCGCAGCCACCTGAGATGCCTAAGGAACAATAGGGCTGCATTCATGCCAGGACGTAATTGAATGGAGCCTGGTGCTGAGCGAAGGACCAATTTTATCGTTGTAGATGTGTTATACATAGGTGCGTGCGATTATCTGGCATTTTAAATATTTTTCTAATAGTGCTTGCTGTTTAATTTAATTCACACTAGAATTTTTATTATTCGAACTAGTACTTGAACTTAGCAAAGACAAATGCAGTCAACGTCCAATTAAAAGGGACCCCTTCAGAGTTGTAATATACTTCACCTCATAAAAATCATGTATAGCAGTAAAGCTGCCTCTCAGGCTCAGCTACACTCGAATCTTTCAGAACAAAGTATAGTAAATACCCAGTTGGCTGTAGCCCCAAAAGATTTTCAGTAAGCTTCATCCTTTCACACTTTTGTATTGCATCCAGGCTGTGCTATGGTTGCAAAGAAAACGCTGCTTTCAACATGAACATGACAGATGTGGCCCAGACATGGGCTCGATTAAATGCTGTTTCGGACCTGCAGTATGGACAGGAAGTCTCGAAAATCGGATTCCAAAGATTTTTAACATAAAAAATTGCCGATGAATTTATATATTGGTGTCTAAATGGCAGATTTGGAACTTCTGACTTTAAGCGAGTACATTCTTGTCCACCACATAAGTTGGGCTTCCACAGAAGTTTAGAGAGGAGAAGAGAATGAGAAAATAGCATCTTAGGCCTCACGTGTAAAATGTTGTTGGCAATACTTTGGTTGCACCAAATTATGTACAGAGATACCCTTCGGCCTCTGCATTGCCTCATTTTAATTAAGGCAACTATAAAACACCACCTCGCGAGTGCTTTATCATCCTAGCCAAAAGAAACACTTTTGACTGATGCAAGATGGCAACAGAAGAGCTTTTAAAAAGAATGCACATCTATGCTTCAAATTAAATGCTTTGTTAAATATACATGCATTTCAAATTTAAAGATACACTAAAGAGAAACAATGATTTGTTTTAGATTGATAAACGGCACTCTGAGAATTTGAATGTCATATGTTTCACTGTCATAAGTTCATTACGAGTGGAGAAAATCTAGGTTAAAGTATCATTTCTAAATGTTGTGCTGCAATCTCCGCGTGTGACGTAAGAAATTCTACAACATGTATTTTTTGTATTTTTGCGACATTGGCTCAATGAAATTTTTCTGAGACTTCGTATGCTAAGGCTATGGCACTCGCAGATTACAATGTACTTCAATTTTATCTATTGGATGCTACGTAGGACACGGTGGACGCCTTAAAAAACTCATGATGTCACAGTGTTTTGTGCGGGATTTTCCAGGTGGTGTCTCCATCGTTTTTTTTTTTTGGCACGTTTCCTTGCTTACCAGGTGCCACATTGCAGTAAGAGTGGTGCTTTCAGGATTGTGAAATTGTACTTTACTAATATGCGAAAAAGTGCTTTGCTCTTTAGTGTCCCTTTAATAAATCTGATGAAATACTTGTGCGAAATTTCATCTGTTATGACATAACATCACCCTATGTTATGACATAGGGTGATGTTATGTCGTAAGGCACGAGATTTCAGAAGCACTAAGAAATCATCCACTTGTCTAAAGATTTTCCGGAACTTGGGTCCTACGCTGCTGTCGGCCCATCCTTTTCGGATGCTGGCCCTCTACATCCAGGCACAAGTATCTTCACAGCGGAAGCTTATGCGATACTTGTGGCGGCTAAACACATCAAGCAATTACAAATACAAAAAGCAGTAATTTATACGGACTCCCTCAGTGTGGTAACGGCTCTGCACACTCTTAAAAAAACAAAAAAACCCAGTCCTTGTCTCACTTTACTCCATTTTGTGCACACTCTACACACTCAAACAACATGTTGTAGTGTGCTGGGTGCCAGGGCACCGTGAGATTCAAGGCAACGTGAGGGCGGATCAGCTTGCTGCATCAGTCCACAAAAGCACTGCCCCTACCCCCATATCAATCCCGGCCCTTGATCTTAAGCCGTCTCTCAAACGAAACCTCAGGGACTACTGGCAGAGCAAGTGGGATACACACACACAAAACAAACTACACATTGTTAAGCCACACCTTGGTCATTGGCTGCCCGTATCGAAATCGCGTCATACAGAGGTAATACTAACGAGACTCAGGATAGGAGACACATACACGACACACACACATCTTTTGTCCGATGGCGATCCACCATTGTGTGACAGATGTGGTGAAGCATTAACAGTCCTTCACATTTTAATTGAGTGCAAACAATTGGACACTCTAAGAAAACAACACTTTCCATTACCCTACCGACAACATATACCTTTACACCCTGCAATATTCGTCGGTAGGGAACCGCTTTTTAGTCACAAATCATTGTTAGCGTTTTTAAAAGAAATTCATAGTTTTCATATTATATACCCGGGCATTCCGTAGCACAACCTCCCCAGAGAGGTTTTTGCTGCGGTGGCTACACAAGAAAGCACTTGCCTCACGGCCCTTGGACGCAAGGGTATGAACGAGTGAGGTACTTGTGCTAATGCCATACATGTCCACGATCGTTTTTCATGATCACCAACTTTCGTCACCTATTCACACCACACACACCTTTCAAGGCATGGTCATGATTTTATTACTTGTATGGTTTTACCCGCCTTACCGCGAGGAATTTTATGGCCCTTATACAGCCGCTTGTCACAATCATTGTCCATACTTTTAGTTAGATGAACTTGCACTCTTTGGCCGTGAAATGGCCCTTGCGCCACAAAACATCAAACATCATCATCAGTAGCCGAGAAGAGGTTGAAAAAATGTGATGGGGGGTACCTGCTCGGTCATTGGTGCATATGGTAGTCAAAAACATCAAGCATTTCTAACTTTTGTCTACTTTGAATAGAATTTTGTTTCAGGGAAATTCTACAACAACAAGGCTTTTCAAGCATTTCATCATTTTTGGTGTGGCAGAATTTCGGTGTAGTTTGGGGCTGTTTATTGTTTATATGCACCTGTACAATGCAACAAAACATTTGTACTTGTCCCCCGTCCTATTTTTTTGCCCGTGAGGGCAGTAATGTGCCATTATTAGTGCAGCAAACAGAAAGGGGCAGCTCTTCTTTTTCTTCTCTGTTGCAAATGAAATTTATTCCGCCAGCTTGCGACCTAGTAGCTCAAGTTTGGCCAAATGAAGTTCATTGAGATGCGGGAAGTCACTAATGTCTATACACATGTTTTCAGGTGCTGGAGGCAAGGGACAGCCAAGCCAGAAGATTGCCTGTACTGGTCAAGATTGCCCCCGACTTGAGTGATGAGGAGAAAGCGGACATCGCAGCCGTTGTTTCAGAAACCAAGGTTTGTTGTTCGTTAAGCTAGCTGGCCCCACATGAGTTTATTTGTAGATCACATTTTTCACTGCTGTGCATTCTACTTCACCTACAGACTGATCGCATTACACAGTGCCCCCCCCCCCCCCATTTGCATGTACTAAATGCTGTGTTGGAGTCTGAACTAAGTAGCCTCGGAAGCTAATAAGTAAGAAACGTGAGGTCTATTGTCAGCTGACTGAACTGATGCAACACAATAGTGACAGGAACTGAACCATTTATTGCTTGGCACTCCTTATATGCTGAAGATCACATGAGTCTACTCATGGGTTGTGGCTGTGTGTGTCGTGACGCTTGCTGACAGGTGATGAACGACTAGAGCTGTGTGAGTCTGGCTTATCGACGACTGGTGCACTGACTTCCAATAGTAGACACCAAAACACAGAGAATTGCATGTTCAAGGTAGCATCAATGCAAAAGTTAGTAACAAAGAAATCATTCGGTATTATATGCTCAAACCCACTTATTACGATATTTATTTTGACCTGTTGAAACCCTTCATAAGAGACAGTGATGTAAAAGACACTAGTGGGCCTGCATAGAAATGGGGTCGATAATAAAAAGCAAGTATAGTGTTTTTCTTTTAAGAGACACATCATGCAACAGACAATAATTTCTCTCCGGCACATGTCATATATAAGGAGATTCAACTGTAATATATGAAGCAACAAGCATCTGCTTTACCAAGAGCTTTTGTATGCTATGCAGGAGTATGCCTATACGGAATATGGCTCATAAAAATTTTGAAGTGCTACAAATTTTTCTGTAGTACCAGTCCTGGCCCATTAGCCTGTAATGTGTTAGAGCACAGTTGCTACAAAGATATCTGGCGCTGGTGATTGGGGCAAGAGTGCACAAACTTCGGAGTGTCGCTGCATATTCCTTACCAGTAGTACCACTGTTGAAAGTGTTGGATAATCTGAGAAATCCCTCGGTTGTGTGAACTGCAGATCAGTATGGAAAGCTGCGCATACAGTAGACTCTCAGTAAACGGAACCTGAACGGAACCAGAAAAATATGTTCCATTTAACAGGAGTTCTGTTTACTGAGAGGTGAACTTAGATGCAGAATACAAGCTCGAAACCAAGTGTTGCAGAGGCAATAGTTCTGTTTAAGCAGTAGTTTCGTTTAACAGATTTCCGTTTACTGAGAGTCTACTGTATTTTGAATACCATGCTGCAAAGTAATAGTGACAGCCATCACAGCTTAATTGCATCAGTAGAGGAGGTCGAAGTGAATGGCAAAATGTTGAGCTTGACGGCACTTCGTATGGGCGGTTGGTAATGTTGAGTGAATCAGAGAACAAGTCTATTAGGTACCGAGGCAATTCAGAGGCTCCTTTACTGCTTTAAGGTGATGATGTCAAGGTCAATGGAAGAAACGATAAGGTTAAGTGGTGAGCATTGTAGTCAGCTAAGGGAGAGTGCGAGAGGACGTCAACGTACGAATGTTTTCGTCCTCTGTTTTACAGAATGTGGGTGTCATAGTCATGCATGTGAAGTGCCCAGCATCCAAGATGGCCGAATACATATATCCTTTAATGGTGACTGTTAACAAAGAGCATGATAGTCGGTGATTTGTTGAGTGCAATTTGTTTGTTATTTATTGTGTTCATTCACGTGTGAGAAACAATATGTCAGCCAAACCAGCAGGTGTGTGAATGAGTGACTGAGAGAGCCCAATTATAGGTCAAGTAAACTGCCACCTGAAGAATTTGTTGCTCTTGACATTCAGGCATGCCGTTGCTGGCCTTTGTTTCAGAACATTGTTGGTCGATGTAAGGATTTAACCACTCGTCTGATCGTGGAAGCTAAAATATAGACGCACTTGATTATTTGTGCATTAGCAATCCTTCAATAGCATTGTCACCTAAAGAGTTGGGTTTCCTGCGTAAATGGCGATAAGCGGTATTAATTGTTCTGATTTAGTTTAGGTAGAGTGATTCTGTTGCTTATCATCTGAAAGATCTTACATGCTGAACTGGCTGCTTGGCGATAATGGGTTAAAAGTGGTGTCGTGTCGGTTTGTGTGTCGGTTGGCACTACATGAGATATTTTCAGACTTGCCAAGTTTGTTTAAGAGTCATGTTACTGTACATTTCCTCCACTTTCGTTCTCTTTATGCCGGGAATATGCTGCCTGTTTTGGTGCTTCGACGTGTTTTAAGAGCGCCGTGACGTCACGGCTCGCCACTTTTTCAAGTAACTAAATGCACTACGCTGAAGCGAACATGTTTACTAGATGAACACTGCAAGAATAGCTCCCCTGTTAAGCAAATATAGCTAGGCCATAAAAGAGGTCATGATCAAAGGTCCTGGTGCTAAAGCCCCTTACTTGGCCTACCACTTTATTCAAGCTGCAATTTATACTTGTGGAAGATTGCAGAAGAGAAGCAAGTGCTCTCTTTCACGTTGTACCAGCAGCAGGTTGAAAGAGCACGTGATGTCTTTGCAGGTGGATGGCTTGGTTGTGTGCAACACAACTGTCTCACGGCCTAGCAGCCTGCACAGTAAGCACCGAACCGAGCCGGGGGGCCTCAGTGGCCGGCCACTCAGGGACCTCTCCACACAGACCATTTCAGACCTATACCGCCTCACAAAAGGTAAGAGGTACATTTTTAGAGGTGCAAGAGAGGTATAAGCAGTTTATTTCCAGGTCTTTCAAACACAATGCTTGTCACTTCATTTCCCAGCATTATTTTTGTGACCAGCATATGTTAGTGTAACTCTGTCATATGTGTGTATTATTTACTATTACTTTGTACCTCCCTATGCACTGCCATTGCCAACGAAAAGGTAAACCTTCTAGCAAACTGCACCGCAGGCCGGACACAAAGAAGGAACGAAACAAGACAGACTAGTGCAGACGTCTGTTTCGTTTCATTCCTTCTTTGCGTCGCGTCTGCTATGCAGTTTTCTAGAAGATTAACCCTTACCAACTCGCTCAGCTTTCAACGCTTGTTACACGTAAAAAAGCAAGCATTATGCCACGGTGACTTTTACCGGAATCAGGCACATCAACTTTCTTTCTCTTTCCTAAATCAAGCTGGAGGAGTGCCCATAGAGCCTAATGGGTACCCAGGTCAAATATATTTCCAAAGTATTCACTACACATCTGCATGACTACATACTGGCCCACATTCTTGATGATGACTTATAGGTAGCTTTAAACCACCCACTTTTTCACCTGGTTTGACTCCTGCTGCAATTACTGCCATGCTATATTGTATCAGTTACATGGATTCTCGCATGGTGCAACACCCGCATAGTGTCTCTTTCCCCACAAGTTTCGAGCACTGGCGTGGCTCAGTGTTTGGGACAGGGTAACAGCCACATCACATGCTGGCAGGTGAATGTGCCTTGCTGCAGTGGTCTAGTGGTCATGGTGCTCGAATGCTAGCCCAAAGGTTGCGGGATCGAGTTCTGGCTGTGGCGGCTGCACTTTCGATAGAGGCGAAATAGACCTCTACCAGGGTACGTCACAGCGTGACGTCACCGGTGCACGTGCAAGGCGGTGGTTGGCAAAACACTCGCACCGGAGGCTTAGTGGGGGTGCAGTCGCTCGGTGCTTGAGGCAAATTTTTGTTCTTTTTGAAAGCTTAATCTTCATCTCACAATGGCAACATTAGCTGTGGTATGTGTCAGAGAACGTCTAGGGGTGTGATAAAGTGCGTTATGGTATATTCGCCACGCTGGCTGGCTGTTTATCTCGCAGAAGTGAACACTCGTGGCGGCCTGTGCAAGGAACAGGGGCATCGTCTTCAAAAATGTACAGTGTTGACTGTGGCGTGTTGTGTGTGTTGAAAGGCATCAACTAAATTGGTTCACCTTTACGGATGGTGAAACTGGCAATATTGTGCGTGGTGTGTGCAGTGTGAATACCGCGATGCGTCCTGTTTGCGAAAGCACTGGTATTTGTTGTGGGCCGGTTTCAGTAACCGGTTGTCGATGGAACTTTACGATCTGACATTGTAGTCAAGGTAAAAATACATTTGACGCGATAATCTGCGAGTGGGTACATCTTAGCGTATGTGCGGCATGCAGAAAAATAAAAGTGCATGATCTCCAGATGATATATACGACTATGCATGAGATATAAGCATGTTGTAGCGTTGCCAAATCTGCATATACGCTTCAACACGGCTATAACTCGTATTATCGAATACCTGATACGTGGTAATGGAAATGGCAAATGTTTTCGTTTTTTATGTACTTTGTAATTTTACGGCTCGATCCTTATGAAGTGACAATGCGCATTGCAAATGTGTATCAGGCTTAAAGGAGCAATATAAGTACGAAAACATGTTATAGGTGTCAAATGCAGCAAGGTAACCGTACCAGATGTTATATATTATTAAGAGCTCGGGTTTTACATCACATGAACTTTCACTGGGTTATTGAGAAACACAGCACCGGAATTTCACTTTGATTTTCACGAGGATATGTTAACTTAAGCCTAACCACGGCAAGAAGTGTTTCTTTTTTTATTCATCTCCTATCAGAATTTTGGGCAATGAGTGAGAATCAATATGTCAGCCAAACCAGCAGGTGTGTGAATGAGTGACTGAGAAAGCCCAATTATAGGTCAAGTAAACTGCCACCTGAAGAATTTGTTGCTCTTGACATTCAGGCATGCCGTTGCTGGCCTTTGTTTTAGAACATTGTTGGTCGATATAAGGATTTAACCACTCGTCTGATCGTGGAAGCTAAAATATAGACGCACTTGATTATTTGTGCATTAGCAATCCTTTAATAGCATTGTCACCTAAAGAGTTGGGGTTCCTGCATAAATGGCGATAAGCAGTATTAATTGTTATGATTTAGTTTAGATAGAGTGATTCTGTTGCACATTATTTGAAAGACCTTACATCCTGAACTGGCTGCTTGGTGATAATGGGTTAAAAGCGGTGTCGGTTTGTGTGTCGGTTACCACTACATGAGATATTTTCAGACTTGCCAAGTTTGTTTAAGAGTCATGTTACTGTACATTTCCTCCACTTTTGTTCTCTTTATGCTGGGAATATGCTGCCTGTTTCGGTGCTTGGACGTGTTTTAAGAGTGCCGTGACGTCACGGCTCTCCACTTTTTAGAGTAACTAAATGCACTATGCTGAAGCGGACATGTTTATTAGATGAACACTGCAAGAATAGCTCCCCTGTTAAGCAAATATAGCTAGGCCATAAAAGAGGTCATGATCAAAGGTCCTGGTGCTAAAGCCCCTTACTTGGCCTACCACTTTATTCAAGCTGCAATTTATACTTGTGGCAGATTGCAGAAGAGAAGCAAGTGCTCTCTTTCACGTTGTACCAGCAGCAAGTTGAAAGAGCACGTGGTGTCTTTGCAGGTGGATGGCTTGGTGGTGTGCAACACAACTGTCTCACGACCTAGCAGCCTGCACAGTAAGCACCGAACCGAGCCGGGGGGCCTCAGTGGCCGGCCACTCAGGGACCTCTCCACACAGACCATTTCAGACCTATACCGCCTCACAAAAGGTAAGAGGCACATTTTTAGAGGTGCAAGAGAGGTATAAGCAGTTTATTTCCAGGTCTTTCAAACACATTGCTTGTCGATTATTTTCCCAGCATTATTTTTGTGACCAGCATATGTTAGTGTAACTCTGTCATATGTATGGATTATTTACAATTACTTTGTACCTCCCAATGCACTGCCATTGCCAACGAAAAGCTAAACCTTCTAGCAAACTGCATCGCAGGCCGGACACAAAGAAGGAACGAAACAAGACAGACTAGCGCAGACGATCCCTTGACTCACCACTGGTCCTCTAAAAATGGAGAAGGCAACAAATAGTGCAACACTAGGGAACAGGAAAAGCAGTGGCGACTTGTGCACTGCAGGCCTGTGAGTGTCGCAGATTTTTTTATCAAATGAATTTTATAACTTGTCTCCAAACGCTCACCTACCGTGCCAGAATTATCGGCTATATTGTGTGTATGACGTTGATGTTTGCAAAGTGGAAGTGATGGAACTGATGTGCCACTGCAGCATCAGCTTGTCTGATATGAATTGTGTGGATTTAGCCGGCGCTGTCTTGGTTGAACGTGTGATTTCTTTTTCAGTGTTGGTGGGCGTGCAATGGGTGTCAAGTGGTGTTGCATTGCGGGCTCCACAGGATTCGCCATATATTCACTATAGCAGCGTAAGCGTTTTAGCCGATTGCCGCAGGCACAAACTTGAACGGGGACAAATAGGGCCATCTGGCGGCGTTATGCAAAACCTGGCAGGGTCTAGCAAAGTGTTACATCATACGTAGAAATGCACTTAGTTGGGTTTCGATTTTCGCATTGCAGTTTTCTGCTAATTAAAAATTATTTTCCAATTTGTTGGGCAGTTCAGCTATCAGGTGCATGATAAGAGTGCCTCAGGAACATAAAAGCACCAATACCCTGACATGGTCGAACGATCGCCGTTGTCGACTTTCAGCGTTCTTTTTGCTACATCGTTCATAATCTTCATAGCAGTAGTTAAGCAGTAGCACAACTGTGGTGGTGCGAACTGGGCTGCTCGTGTGACAGGCTACACCTCGTGCATTTTTATCAAACGAGACATAGGGGACGTACTGGGTGGCTGTTTTAGTGCAGTGGTTGCCAAGGCAAGAGCAGCCATAAAGTTAGCTTTCCGTCGAAAGTGTTCTATTCGAGCCACAACTCTTAGGCGCCCATTCCTGTGTTGAGTGGCATTGCCGTCGGTGGTGTAACTGATAGACCTGAATGAATGAAACGAGAAAAAGGTGTCCATGATCGGATGGAATTTGAATCCGGGCCCTCTGCATGGCAGTTAAGTAGTCTACTACAGAGTTACGCTGGTGCCTGAAACCCCCTTGCAAAACGACGTTAAGGAGGTGTCATGTCAGGCAAAGAGTTACATTAACCTATGTGATGTAGCGTGGCAGAAAAGTGAGATGACCACCATTCATTTCTCAATTTCAATTGCGGACCGAGCGTGTAGTTTCATGCTTCTCACCCACAGCAAAGTTCTCAGACATAATTCTGTGTCATCAGCCACATGCAGCATCAAGAAAGTGCACGCAGCATCTTGAACGTTTGTGGCCAGTGCCTCGCTTATTTGTGAAAAGATGAATAGGATGTAGTGGGGGTGCTGTTCTACTTCACAAAAAGTATGATTTACGATACAGTCAATACCTTGCGAAAAGCCAAACTTCAGTCACAGGTGGCCTTGCCCTTTACGAAGCTGTGCTCAGTATTCACATTAGACTGGGTAGCAATGATCAGCGAATTTCATTATTTTTTATATTTTTTTTGCACACGAGCGTGTTGAGAGATTGGGGGCAGCAAGTTTTATCAAATGCACAACTTTGTTTCCCAAAAAGGACGTATAGCTTCGCCTTAGTCCCCTGAATGCCTCGTCAAGACTGCAAAGTTTGCTGCGCAGAATTGCCAACAGTGGCTGTCACTGCGAAAGTTTATCGAAACAGAATCGCGTAACACCTGTCGGGTGGTTCGTCTGAAGTATCGAGTGTGTGGGAAAGCAAACAAAGACATGCCTGCCAACTCTTTCGATTTTCTCGTAAAATGTATGAATTTCGACCGCGCTGGCGATTTTTACGAATCTTGCCTGAAATTTTACGAAAAATATTTCATTTTTGATAAAAAAGAAATTAAGCGTGGCCGGCGCATTGCTGTAGCTAGTCGCGAAGGCGATAGAAACGGCGTTTTGCTATATTCCGCCACCGAGATAGAACGGTATGTAATTGGTGTTGTCATCATCACATACTTGTCAAGTTTCCCGCGTTGTCCGGGAGACTCCTGGATTTCGACCGTTTCTCCCGTTTTTTACGGTTGCCATGAAAATCTCTCGGAAATCGAAATTTGTTTACGAGATCTGGCCGCATTGACAAAAATGCAGGTCTGTCCATTCCAGGCTTTTTGCCAGCCCACCGCATTTCATTTTAAACGAATTTGAGAGGCGTTCATCTATACATACAGTAGAGTCTCAGTGATGCGAAGCCACTACAGATATGAATTCGTGAAATTCTCAGCCAAATTCATGTGTTCATTAGGCCCAAATTTGAATATTCCAAACACTTTTACTAATCGTAATATGAACTTCAGTACCGAAACCGTCGAACCAAGGTCGATCAAGAGTAGCGTACTCGAAGCTTCAGAAGTACTCGTGCGACCAGCGCATGCATTGTCTTATAAAGGTGCATGTGTTTGTCGTTACCACAACCGCTGTGGACGAAACCGCGGTCGTTCGACGAGATAATGTGTGGTGACGACGTTACGTACTGAACTCCGAAAGTGTGCGCGCGGCCAACACTCGACCAGTCAAAACAACGCTGCTTTCAGCAAACTCTGTGGACAAAACCGCGGTAGTTGCGATCATAGATAGTATAAAACGATTTAGTTTTGAAGGCTCGTGGATTGAAAACAAAACTGCCATTTGCCACAATCGCCGCCCACAAAACCGCGATCGAGGTGATGCGATAGCGATCTACAAGCTCTGAGAGCACGTGGCTGATGCAGTGGTAGATTAAAGGCAATACATAAAAAAGTCCAGAAGCATTTTGGCCTTCCTGTCCAAAGAATCTAGTAGCGAGCATGGCCAAAGCTTTGACCTGCCCTTTCACGGCAGCCTGCTGCACCGTTCGTCCATTCACGTGTGAAGACATACACGAGTTGTTTTGACGGAAATTGATTTTTTCACCAGTTGTTTTGATGATGCGAAATTTTGGTAGCATATGGCAGCATTTTGGGAGCCTTTTGAGACTTTCACCTTAGTGAGAAACCCTACCCTTATGTGTTCGGCCGCTCCTAGCCATTATGAAAGCGCAACGCTGATGTTTGCGCTTGCGTTTGGGACCCCCCCCTGTTGTTTTTTGCAATGTTTTATTTTGTTTTGTTTTTTGGTGCCACAAATGACGAAAATTAATTCAGTGCGTCGATTTGACTTATAGCGGCAAAACATGGTTATGCTTGTCGCTAAAGCCAAATTCATCACAGCTACAAATTAATAAAAAAAAATCTGTAACCCCCCCTGCCCCCCCTTTCCCCGCTCGGGTGTTTTACGAATTTCTCTGTTGCCAGGTACGCAAACACTTCTATGTTTTGTTTGGCTTATGGAAAAAAAAAAAAAAAAATGGTCGTAACTGAGTCAGTCTTAAAGAAGCCTTTAAACACTTTTTCAAGTAACCATGGTATGAATTCACTGGAAGAGCTTATCGCCTCACGAATTCAACGCCGCAAAAATTTTAAGAATCCGTCCAGTGTGAGTGGAGTTACTGTATAAACCGGACTATAGGTCGAGTGGGAATTTAGGTCGACCCCTTAAATTCAGGTTACCGAAAAAGAAAAAAAAAAGGAATACAACCTAAAATTACCGAACGACCTTTATTTGCAAATTGGGCGCACCGCACCCCGATCGTCAGAGCTCCCTTCAACCACCATCGCAACTGTTCCTATTCGTCAAACGAAGCAACACTGTCTTCTGAAGACGAGAGTTTGTCACTGGCCGCCTCCCACAGTGCGTTGTCTTTTGTGCCATACAGCGAGTTCCTGATGGAACTTTTTTTAAAAGCATTTTCCACCATGGAATCAGGCAAGAAACGCTAGGCGGAAAGCACCCAGCCACAAACAGTCTCAAACGGAGGCCTTTGTAGGCGGCCCGTAGGTGTCTTTGGGATGTCGCCGGACATTCACTTTTGGCACTCCAGCCGCACTTGGTCCTTGAACGGCTTGTTTACCACAACGTCAATCGGTTGGAGGGTGGACGTCATACCACCTGGTATCACGGCGAGGCCCGTTTTTCCTTCGCCCAGTGCACGCTTCACAGCGTCGGTTAAGTGACCACAAAACGCATCTAACACCAGCATGCTGCAAAGACGCAGCAGTGCACCTGGCTGACGGTTCCAAACTACTCATATCCATTCAAGCATCATGGCCTCGTCCATGTATCCCTTTTTGTTGACGCGAACGACAACACTGGGCAGGAACACTTCTTTGGGCATTGTCTTACGCTTAAAAATGATGAAGGGCAGAAGCTTTCTACTATCTGCTGTGCATGCCAGCATGACGGTGAAGCGCGAGTGCTCGTTGCCAGTGGACAACACCTTCATATTCTTGGCGCCACGCTGCATGATCATGGTTGATGAAGGCTTGTCAACCCGCACGGGGGTCTCATCGGCATTGTTAATCTGCCCCATCATGTAGTTGTTCTGCTCCTGAAGCCGGTTCACGAAGCCCTGAAAGTTTATAAGCTTGTCCTCGAACTCATCTGGAAACTTCTTATAGATGTATGTGCGCCACGGGAAAGAAAATCCTTTGCGTCTCATGAATCGACGCACCCAAGAGTTTGTTGCACAAAACTCTTCTCTCGTGAGCCCAGCTTCTCGAGCGACTTCCACAGCTTTCTTGCGAATGGTATCCACGGTCACTGGCAGCGAGCACGCATGAACTTCCCACACAAAGTTCCCTAGCGTATTCTCCAGCTGCGGATGAACCGCACTTCGCCCACGAAATTAAATTTTTTCGAGGATTGCACATCTGCAGCTTCCCTTTCTGCACCCTCTAATAGCGTACGCTTTTTTTTTTTTATACACCAAAACGGCGCTGAGCAGCCATATTCCCATTCGCTTCTGCGAACTCAACAACCTCTAGTTTAAACGCAGCTGAATACTGCCTTCTCGTACCGCTGCTCATATTCAGTGAATGAAAAGAAAGACCACTAAAGATGAAACACAATGTCAAGCGGAGCGAGAACTTAGAACAGATCAGAGGCAAATCACGAACACACAAAAAAAAAACAAAGGAAAAAAACAACCTGCTATTCGATTTGAATGCGAATATGAGAATGCTTCTCATGCACACGCAAGCCACATGTTGCCAGGCAGCGGTGCACTGTCTGCTAGACACCACTATAATTATGAGAGGTGACTTTAGCTCGTTATTTTATTGAAAATATCTCGACTTATATTCCCGTTTATACGGCACAAAGGTTTGTCGCATGCTGCAATTTTATTCTCTCTTCTCTCGTTTCGACGAAATCGCTGGAAGCTAAGCAGGGAGGGATGGCAGGGCCACAGAATAACGACATGCTCGCTTCGGGACCTTGAGCACTCCTTTTTCTTTTTTTTTTCTTTGAATGCGCGGCTTTTTCAGTGTGATCGCACGCGCACATGTGGACAAGTAGTGGCCTCCAGCAGTGATCTCTCTAACGAGTGAGTGTGCCTTGTTCTAATCAGCCAATGGCTGATCTAAACTTGCGTTTGCATACCTGTTGTTGACGTGTGATTTTCGGGCAAATAAAGTGGTTTGTCGAGAGAAGAGAAAGCAACTTTTAGTTGACTTTGATAATTTATTGTGAATTCCAGGCTGCGTGCTGTGCTATAATATTTGGCTCGCGTGTTGTTGGGAGCCTCTACTACCGATCGGCAGCGTTTTCTAACCATGCTCAAAAAGTGTTTAAAGGGCGTTTACTTACTTCAAAGCCAATAGAAATAATTACAAGTATAAGTACGGCTTGTTGCCATATAGCAGACAATTGTGACATCCTGATTAACTTGCAGGATCCATACCAATAGTGGGCGTGGGAGGTGTGTTTTCTGGTGAGGATGCGTATGCTAAGATCCGGGCTGGGGCATCCGCCATACAGTTGTACTCCGCCCTCATCTACAACGGTCCGCCGGTGGCGCGCACTGTGAAGACACAGCTGGCTGACCTGCTCAGGTGCGTGATTCACAGGGTGTATTGCACACATTGAGCGAACATCGTCCGAGGATCTCTCCTTCCACGGTTGCATAAATTATTTTAGCTCACTTGTATAGTCAATCTACTTTGCTCGAGCGACTACTATAAATTTTTGTCCTAAGGACGCAGCCGATTACTGGAGCGTGCACTCTCTTGGTAAGCATCAGCCCACGGCTCGTATACCCTCCTATGTGCTGCACTCTCAATGCATAGACACTGTGCGAAAAGAGCATTTTTCTCCAGAGCAGCTGTAATATCTTCCACCAGCGTTTTGTCGATATGAAACTATACTGGATCTAGAAAAGTTAGCCGCCAGCCTTACTCTGTATATATAACATAACAATTTGTTGTGATCGCATTCATTCGTAGAATATCTATAGAATGCTGCTCCGCCATCGTATAGCCGTACCCTCCTATCGAAAGTGGCTCCGGCAATGCACTGTCACATTTCCGGAGCTAGTTGTGAAGCCCACGGTCTAGTGAACCCGTGGCAAGGCGCGTGGGAGGTGTGTGCAAGACGGCAAAGCGCATGACGAGTTGACCTTCGAACATTTGTCGTTGTCACCGCGGTCTTGGGCAGTGTACACCAGCACCTAATCTGACGTATTCTCAGTAGTGACAACACGATTGCCCACATAAAAAAAAAAAAACCTTTTCGAAAGAGTGCCATTTATGCAGCACGAACTCGGTGCGTGACAACATAAAGCAATATTTTCATTTCTTTTTCTTTTTAGTGGGATCGCTTGTTGTCACATTTAATTAACCAAGTTTAGTTTTCTGACCCTTACCTAACTGGATCTGATCTAATGGCCCGTTTTCCGGGCTGGCTCCTCCCGTGCCTCATTGACGAAATTTTTCAAAGAAATGCAGTGAATTACCTTGGTCAGGCCTTTCTTTTTCTTCTGTCTCTCGTTGCCCTATAGCAGCGATATTGCTATGGGAAACACAAGTGCACACTACATGCCTTGCCCCTTGTCAGGTGTCGTCTTAATGGAGATGAACCATCCTTCCTTATTTGCTTCATCACCCCTCCCCAGTTTTCATCTAATTTTGGTGCCCTCAGAAGTTGGCATTTTTGAAAAAACATTTTGGCTGCAAGGTACTAGTACATCCTATAGACTGCGTATCAAACAGGTGCTGTGTAACTAGCAACACAGTGCAAAGACACTGCCTTTTCGCCACCTCAGCGCAAAAAGGGGGGTCGGAATTTGTTGAAACGCAGCCAAAAAATTACGAGCATTTGTTTGGAAAATTGCACGTTAGGGCTAGTGTTCGATATATTGCATGTTTCACCTTGCCGAGGTACGATATACGTGTGGATCAACCCCATATTTTTTAATCGAATGTTCAAGGGGGTTTCTCAACTGTTTGATATAGCCAATAATTTGATATATCTGGGATCGGCTATCTCCTTAGTTGTCAGATTATTGCGTCTTTTATTAATGTGCTATTATGCTTATTACCCTTTTTCATTTTGATGATACTGTTGTTTTATGAGACTCGCCGACTATGGTTCCACCTGCCATGTAATACCTTATTTTGCACCTTAGGATAAATAAGGGAAATTAAATAAATGAAATTATAGAACGTACAGCAGCAGAGTTCAAGGCTTGATATGTTGACTAAATGAATGTGGTGGCTTTTGCTTCTGTGCACACATCTACATTGCTTGTTCCATTTATATTAGTTTTACTGCCACTGGAGTATCTTCTGCTTGTCACTGTGGGCCATTTTAACGCAAACATGTTTTGTGCGGTGGTCTCCCAAGACATCACTGACGTATATCAGTCGCGAAAATACGTCAGTTGAATGCAGATAAAGAAAAAGGAGAAAAATTTTCACAAATTTCGGTGATCTCGAAGTTTAACCCACGTCCTCCTAATTGACCTCTCGATCAGCGACTACAGGAGCCGGGTGTCATAACCGACTGCGCCATCTGTGCTCAAGCATGAGCCTTTACAAACACACCTTGTATCTTTCTTATCTTCCGTCTTTTCCGGTGATTTTGTTGGCATGGGTCGGTGTCACCATCTTGGAGAGGTGAGGTGAAAGCAGTGCATCATGATACGAATGAGCGCCAGACAAATGTGTTTCTGTAGGCTCGACGCAGCTACAGTGCCTGGAATACAGTCAAACCTCGTTGCAATGAAACTGACGGGGCGCGGAAAAAATTTCGTTGAAGCGAAAATTTCGTAGTGAAATCGAAAAAAATATAGCTGATCTGAGCTAGCAAAACAAAAGAACCTTTATTCTAAAAATTCAAAAAATGTTCACTGCTTCCTATTCTTTCCCAGCAGCGTCACGACATGATTCTCACTCATGCATAGCGAGGCCATGGTGAAAAGCACGCTAAAACAGCCTAACACTGCTTTTGTGAACGAATCAAACAGTTGCATTAACACGGTAACACCAGTAGCTGTCTGCCGTCAAAAGCATCTGACAACGCCGAGATGGAGGCAGGGAATCATGGAGCGACGGCTTTCGCATTATTTTATGCCATTCTTATCATACATCACTCGCGACTAGCTGATTTTGTTGATAATGCAGACGAACAGCCGCTCTGATTAGTTGCCACACTGGCCAAGTGTGAACATAATAAGCATCGGAATCTGAAAAGGCATTGTGCCGCGGTTGTGCCCAGCAGCTGTGAGAAGAAAACCATGAACTGAGCGACTGAGCTTCAGCTTCGGATCGTCTGCCGCTCAAAAGCAAGCCAGTGGCAAAACAAAAGCATGGCAGTCTCATTGCCATCGCTATCGAGCAATGGCGGCGCCCATGCTTGCTGAACAGCGGAGCTTTCTGGTGGTGCCAATGCATGTTTTAGACTTCATTCATGCATTTTCAGGCTCTGAAAATGCATAGAAATGTTAAAGATTGGGTTTACTGCATAGCAATAAGTATCTGAGCCTGGAATTACATTGTAATATTTCGTTGAAACGGGACGATCGAAGAAAAAGTTTTCGTTGTGGCGACAATGTTTATGCATTGACTCCTATGAACTGCTGATGGGGAATCGTGAATTTTTTGTTGTAGCGAAAATTTCGTTGAAGCGGCGTTCGTTGTAGCGGAGTTCGTTGTAGCGGAGTTCGACTGTATACCATGCTGTAGTAGAGGTTGGCTCACCGATTTTCACTGTATTTCTTTTCAGTACAGTTTGAATCAGTGCTTTGTCACAGCGAGAGACTTGAGTCGGTAACGATCTACCTTTGCGTGTTCACAGCTCGAGCTAAGAGCTTTGAACTCCCGTATTCCTGAAGCACTTTGTGGTAGTGTATGTAGAAGGGAAGTGTAGGTTACTTAGTTGCTGGGGAGCTCACACCTTGCCGTTTCTCTCCTCAAGTGGTGAAACTTTCCATGAGTGCATAAAGTGGTGCATAAAGTGGAGTACTCTGGTGTTTGTGATGTATTTTTGATGCTATCGTTGCAAGGGATTCCACGTACGCCATATCTGGGTTACATAACTTTAGTTACCACCAAGATTTAATCTTGACCATTCACGTTGGTCGTCAGGATGAAGATGTTTGACCAGGTGTCAGTGTAGGTGCGTTCATATCAAATCACGCTGTAGTCGTCAAAGCACCAGCATTGTGCCAACTCTTCTTTATCAGTGTACAATGGACATCAAAATCTACTTTTGTAAGTCTGCGCTTCGTCTCACTTTTGTGTGACACCTAATTCTATTACGGAGTGATCAACCATGTTTTCTTCATTTTGATGGGTACCATGAGCATAAAGTTGGTTGCTTGTTCTTGTTTTTAGGAAAGATGGATATGCGAGAATTCAAGATGCTGTTGGAGCTGACCACAGAAAATAAGGTAAACGAAGATATCTGTGCCTTGGGCTCTTCACTTCTTGACATTAAAGAAACATGTATTGCAGTAAAACAACTTGATATTTGCACCAGTACTAAGACCACATATTTTTTGGACGAGTGGTGTTGTATATACACTGCAGAGATATGAGACAAGCCCAGAAGTGACTAGCAGTAGTGGATGAGTGGTCAGCTTTGTGCATTCATCAACATGTTTGCACTGCTCAAATTTTGATGCGGACAGATGAAAGGACATTAACACAGGTGCTGACTTCAATGAAAAGCCAGCACCTGTTTTGTATCTTTATTTGAACATGCACTGTGCAAACGGGTCTTTATCAAATTGCCTATTAGCACTTGTCTACTTGCCAAATTGCCTACTACCTTTCTTTGGAGCTATGTATTCAAAAGAGTGAGCTTCAACTATTTCTGCAATAAATTATGGGTTAGAAAAGGCTTTACCTTACAGAACAATCTCTTAAAGAACCATTAAACAACCTCATGGTCCAAGATTTTTAAATGTAGAAATAACTGTGCACATATGCTGCCACAACAACCTTGCGAATAAGTGCTGTAATAAGGAAGTCGCAGGCTTTAGAATGACCCGCTTTGGCTGGTTTTGCTTTTTCGCTCGTCCTTCCCATCTTGCAACAGAGAGGAGTAGGCATAGCTTTTCGTCACGACTACAGCCACTTTGTCAACATTGCATCATGTCAGGGATACGTCATCGTCGCGCAGCCAATAACCGAGCAAGGCGCACCATCACATGTCATAGCGGCGCGGGGAGGAAGCACAGTGCTAGAAGCACCCATAATGGCCGCTAACAGCACTGCCGAAATAACAATAACAGTAATAATAATAATAATAACTGTTGGGGTTTAATGTCTCAAAATCGCTGTATGATTATGAGAGACGTCGTATGAGAGGGCTCTGGAAATTTTAACCCCCTGGGGTTCTTTGACGTGTACCTAAATATTAGCACACGGGCCTCAAGCATTTTCACCTTCATCTAAAATGCAGCTGCCACAACCGGGATGCAAAAGGTGTGACTTTTTGGCAAGGGAAATTGTTCTAGTGATCCCGGCTGAATCCGAGTGTTTTTTGCGTGGCAAAACCAAAAAGATGATTGAGCGAGTCGTGCTACCATGCATGAAAGGTTTTCTGAGGACGACGACTTTCCTCTTTGGCGGTAAAGCGTAGTGCAAAAAAATTCAGCGACTCAACCTGAAGTACGAGTACCCCTGGATTGATTCCACAAACGAAAGCTTCACCAAAAATGATTATTTACGGTGATGACTCGTAAAACTTTATGATTTCACGCGCGAGCTAATGACCATTGACTGCAAAGAGATGAAAAAGGGAGCAATGTCAGACAAGATACAATTATGGAATATATGCTCAAATAATAAACACGATCTCATGTGCTCCAGCACTGGCAGATATGCCCAAACATTTATCTAACAACTGAAACTCTAGTTGACGAGTGGCGTGTGAATCACTAACGCACATGGTTCATGGAAGAGCGCTGCTGGCAGGCGTGGGTTCGAATCACGAGCCTGTTGGGAAGTATTTTTTCTTTTTTTAGTATTTATTGCATTGATGTCCTTGGTCATGTGTTGTCTGGTGTCAGACTCGCAAAGCATACAGCAGGGTGTCTGCCAATCTGGAAAAGTCAGGGAATTTGGACCCTTCTGGAAAAGTAATTGAATTTTTGAAAAATCTGGCCTGGTTATAGAAATTGACTGTAGCCTGTGCAGCCATCACAAAAGTAAGCATTACCATTGATCAAAGCATAAAAAGCCACTCCTACAGTGAACAGCTAAAACTTGTGAAAAAAGCAGTGCGCAACTTTTGCTTCTTAGTGAAGACGCGAAAAGATGCACCTACCGAAGGAATACAAAGTTTACTGACATTATGGCACCTGCTACTTGAGCCTTGTTCACTAAAGTAACCTTAAAGGCGCAGTGTCCCACTACAGTTTTTTTACTTTGGGACCCTCGCCTATTTATTTATTGATCTTGTAAATTTTTTTAAAACAAACTGATAATGAAAATATGAAGTGAAGTACGCCTAAGTATGTGTTATGTAAGCGGCGGAAGTACATCGTTGGAAGCGTCCCATCACTCCTGTTCAGCATACCTTCAATTGTCTGCATGTGCTGGTATTTTAAGTGCAGGCGTGATGCAAGCTTTCCTTTGACTGGTCAAGTGTGTGTGTTCTGGCCAGTCTGGTGGCCTGTATAATCCGAATGTTTAGCGAGGGCATATGAGGTCACGTAGTTTCCCGACGTCATATTTGTGTTTTGTTTAACAGCAACGAACATGAACTTTTTGTAGATGGTCGATTCTGGGTGATAATAAATGAGGTGGGGGGTGGTCAACTCTTTCCTTGAAATCAGTGGTCTCACCAATGCAATGGTTGTCACAATTGTGCCAACCTGAAGTATAAAAAACAGTGGAGATTTTCATTTGGCAACTTGTCCTTCACATGTCTAAAGCGTGTTCTAGCTTTCATATTCGTACATCACACGAATATCTGCCTTTCCGACGATCACATAATTCACGTTGTTGAATTTGTGCATGTTTGTCATGACCATGATTTGACTCTGCTCGAAGGCCTTCTTGTTCGGCTAGGACAGCCATTAACAGAGGCTTGCCTGGCTATGTCATGCCTTTTATTATTATTATTATTATTATTACTACAATAGTTATAATTGGCAATGCAACGGCAGACGTCCTCAGCTGCATACTTGATGCTGGTAGCTCGCGTTTCAAGTGTAGAGTTGGGCAACTTCATCTAACTTTCTCATTTCAGTTTCTTGAGATGGTATTATTAAATCTGCGATTACTTTTTAGCCTTATATCTATAGAAAAGTACACAAACAAAGGTAACCCGTCCGTAATCGTGTGATAAATCTAGGGAATCGAGGGAGCTGTTGCGCCCTGACAGATTCCTTCTTGCCAGCAATGTTCAAATGTCATCGCTTCAAATGCTGCCCCTAGCTTTCATTGCAGGCACCTGAGGACTTTGTAGAATTCTTAAGCGTCAGAGCCCAGAGAAATAAAAAAATCAACATGCATGTGCTTGTTGTGGAAAAGAAAATGAAAGAAAGAAAATTATGCAGTAAGGCTCCGTTTTTACGACGTTGTTAGTTATTGTTCCATGCAAGGTGCACAGAGTACGCGAGTAGTAGTTTTTTTTTTTTTTCCTGAAAAGTATATACTGGAGGTGTGCAATATAGGTGGGACTGCAAATCAATAGTAAATACAGCAATCCATGTCGCATCAGATCCAATCCAATCCACATCCTAAATGCTTAAGTCAGTAAATACAGGTCAATCTAATCCAATCCACATCATAAGCAGCCTGGGCTGTAACCATTATAATGAACTAGAATATATTCCAGTGGCGGAACCGACCGGCTCCGGCGTCGTCTTTTTACACAGATGCCACGAGATGGTGCCACTTCTACATTTTGTATCCTAGCAGCTTTAACTGCATTGTAGAACCGCTGTGGGCTCCTTTATACTTTCAGCTGCAATTAATTTTAGCTCGTGTGTTTGCTTTCTGGTTCTTCCAAACATTAAACAGCCTATTTGCTTACTTTCTCACTCGGAGGTTTCATTTTCGCCAGATATACACATTTTTTCATATTTACCGCATGTGCTCAGTATATATCGCATATTATAAAAAAAGGGAATATTTGTGATGACCTAAGCTAATTAAAAAGAATTGAAACAAGGCCTGTGCAAATGTCTTCTTTTTTTCCAACAAAGTGGGAACAACCCTGAATAGTAGCAGAATTCGAGTTTAGGGAGAATGCAAGTGATAACCAGAAAGATATATCGAGTTTTAAAATTTACTATGATTCAAGCATATAAGCCTGTATAACAACCTTTTAAACTTAAACAGTGATGAATGGATGCGAGGGTAGTATGTTAATTTATACCTTGAAGTAGGACCTCGGGCAGTCGGTTTTCTCCTGGTTAGGCCTTTTCTTGCTTAGTACTTCTTTACTGCTGTGAAACCACCTCCGCAGGTGGTTACATGCACATTAATATATTGACAGGTGCTTTCACTGCTTAGCATCCCTCCACTGCTATGAAGCCACCTTTTCAGGGTTTATGTGCTGGCTAATGTACACCCATTTGTTCATCTAGAACACTTCGAAATTTTCTATAATTTAAATTTGAGTCAAAATGAATTCAAATACTGTAATATTGGTTCGAATACTTGCACAAGCCTAGTCAAGACAGTTCTAGAGTTTAGAAGCTCTACATCCTGCATGCAGCCCGAAATTGCAGTAACCACCGTGTCACTGAATGTCAATTTACTCATCGATGAAAAGTTCGTAAACAGGGCTTGTATCTAGTCCGACGCTTCGAAAAGTGGACTTGTCTTCCTCAAGGCTTTGAACACAACAGTAAACGCATCTTGTTCTAGCCTTGAGGAAGATAAGTCGCTTCTTGAAATGTCGGCTCGACACAACCCTTTTTATGGATTTTCCATTGCAAGCTTCCACCTTCCACCCATTTTTTTTTAATGTACTCATCGTTGTTTATATGCACCATGAGTAGACGACAGATTTGCCATTAGTATGTCGCTAGTTGCAGTTTTCCTGTGACGTCACACTTTCAACACATCACTGAAATGTCGCCTCCTCGATACTGAAAATGAAATGTTTTATGGTAGCGGTATCAAACATTTATCCAATGCATTCCCAAGCACTGCAATGCTTTTCATGGTTTTTTTTTCTAAACACCAGTACATTTATAAAGAGCAGCGACCCAAAAATTTTTAGAATTCGTGTCAGCACTCCTTTAAACCTGCCGTTCTAAGTAATCAGTTTTTCTGGAACGTGGCATCAGTGCAATCAATTTCTACTAATTATTGCTGGAAAGTAATGGAGGAGGGGCAAATCAGCGACAGGAGAGTTATGCAGGGAGGGAGCCCTGATTTTGGCTGTGGTCATTTGTCTGCGTGAGAATGATGCATTTCCTGTTGTTGGTACGCGACAAAAGTGCCTTTTATTTGCGCCTGTGCAATAAATTGCTATTATTTTTTTGCAATACAAAACAGAGCTGGCCAAGTGTACTTCATCTCCTGTGCTGTAACATTAGACAAGTATGAAACTACATACGTAGCCGGGTGATATTTCCTTCGTTGGTAACACCAACACACACCAACACAGCAGCATATGAAACAGAGCCCCCATATTTTACAAAAAACGAGTTTATTGTAGTAACAGGGAAATAGAACACTACATTTGCATCGGGTTAAGCAAGTGCAATAAATAACTGGCTGTAAAAGCCAGACTCTTGCAACCCCATCCTCCCTTCTTCACTCACACAGTTCATTTGTTCCCAGGACTCACAGAAGGTACAGGAGGATTACAAATTTGATTTCTTGCTTAATTAATAACAAATTGGCAATGGCAAAAGCATACTCAAAAGAAGCTATACTAAATCTTGTTCCAAAAACAGGCAGAACACAAAAATGGAATGCTGATAAACGCTACTTAAAACCTGTGCAGTGTGATGCAGCCTAGTCAGTAAATGTAGGCGGCTTGCAACTGCAGTTAAATCTCACATTTCATAAAAAACGGCCAAAGCCCACGTAGCCTCGCAGTGCATGTTGCATTCCCCGTAAAAGCACACATTAGAAGCTGTAACACTGTGCAAAACGTGCAATAAGGTAAAGGAATACGTTCTATTTGGCTACTTTGTAAAAAAAGTCAACTTGGCACTCCATACAGTTCATTAGTGTTCATTTCCTTGAACTGCTCATTTGTGAATTCATTAACACTAACCAGGGTTGGAGGTAACGAAACGACACTGGACAATTACCACCATGAATCCAGGTTAAAGAACGAAACACTTTCGGGGGATTGTGCTCTCCAGACAACAAAGGACAAATAAGAGTAATTGATTGCAGTAGACTGATAACTTGGTATATACATAGAAGTCATTAGACATGTTTGTTCACAATAAAGTATCAGCCATTCATATTCAGACAAGAAAGGTTTGTGCTATTCCACATCTAACTGCTACTTGTGCCTATTTTCCTACAAACAAAGTGACCAAATACAAAATGCTACAGCAGGCTAGTTAACAAAAAAATGGAAACATTTCTCGAGACTAAGTACGGCACAGAGAAAATTAATTTCACCCTGAGGTGCAAAAACAAGCAGATGCAAGCAGCTTTCCGAGTCAGCACGCGAAGGAAGCAAGTTCGAGTGACACATTGCTCTACTGCACTTGTTTACATACAAGGTTCCACGTAGTTTCCTGGAAATAGGCCCGTCACACCATTCATGACGCCTTCGTACCAGCCGTCGTCATTCTTCTTGATTACGTAGATTACAGAGTTCTCGGAAAAGGAAAGCTCGTCGTCCTTGTCAGCTTCGTAGTCGTATATCGCAACCACTGTAACGAGGCAAAGATGCAAGAATTTGAGCGTTAAGCACAGCCCTCGACTGCACACACTATAACTAGCACCACAGACTGTACTGTCATCTGTAGCGCATAAATGCTTTGCTAATTCAATTAACCGCTCACAAGACTTTCTGAATATGCTCGACTGTCCGAGCTTTTCAACACGATATCTTCGACATACCCCACAAGCTCTTGCATTCAAGACTTCATTTACCACGCAGTTCCTCGCTCATTCTTTAGATTGTGAAGTGCTTAACATTGAAAATACTAGTATGCTAATTTGTTTCATGTTATGCCCTGATTATCAAGCAACTCCGCTACCCACCCCTACAAATAAATAAATAAGGCAGCTACAGAGACACTGTCAGTGTATCCCAGCCTTGTAAATGATACCTCTAAAAGAACGAAGTTAGTGCTTGTGCCGTCTGAAAGTAACAAGGGCCTTTTTAACCAAGGAACAAATTAAAGCATGCAAAACACAAACCAGAAGACAAAGAACAAGAAAACACCAGCTGTGTGAGCGAGTATTAGTTTCTTTCGTCATAAATCTCCGAAAAATAACATTTGTAATTGCGGATCTGTTTGTTTATCGTCTTGCTTTAGGCTATGAATGTTGTATGCATAGAGTCTCTTTGTGGGTTGACATTAAAAAGACATTTATGTAGAGATTTCTCCACCTCCTCCTGGTGTAATGCCTGCAATGATAATGCAGATACCAAGTGAATTAATGAATGAATAAAATAAATAGTCATGACTCCATTTTGGATGTCAGCTAGAAGCTTGTATATGGTCACCAAAAGCAGCAAATCAAGACTGTAATTTAGGTATCAACGAAGCAGTGCCGTTCCACTAAAGCAAAAACGTGGCAGGCTGTCCATAGCGACGGCTACCATGAAGGGTGCATTACATTACGACACCCTTAGAGCAATACAACACAACAAATACAGGGCATGCTAAAAATACTGCCACACCATTTTTTACACCATATTTTGGTTTAAAGGGCATGCCGGTCACTATAGAGATGAAATGCAGAGAGGGATAAAAACAATAACACCATTTGTGTTGCTGTTCTTGTTTTTTCTCACAGCGTTTGAATCTGTTCAGGGGATAAGCATTTTCTTTTGTAAACACCAACTATGCCAAGAGATCTTTCCATTACATTACGACACCTTTAGAGCAATACAACACAACAAATACAGGGCATGCTAAAAATACTGCCACACCATTTTTTACACCATATTTTGGTTTAAAGGGCATGCCGGTCACTATAGAGATGAAACGCAGAGAGGGATAAAAACAATAACACGATTTGTGTTGCTGTTCTTGTTTTTTCTCACAGCGTTTGAATCTGTTCAGGGGATAAGCATTTTCTTTTGTAAACACCAACTATGCCAAGAGATCTTTCTGTAAACATTTTACATAAGTACAGTCGCATTGGCTCGGATGAATGAATTCAGACCCTTCAAAAAAATACATTTTTGCCTTGACCTGCAGAAGAAATTCCTCTATTCTCTCGATTGGAATAGGAGCCTCTCTCTTAATGCATGGTCGGCCTTCAACTCTAGACTGGCCACGATGCAAAGTTCACTGACTTCAAGTTGGGGGACTTTGCCAGCCACTGTTCAGCTTGGATGAAGAGGGGTACAAGCACGACACCACTGCCGATTCGGCTTTGATTTGTCTGTAGGGGCCCCGTCCTGACGACAGGTCCGGGACTGCTGGCCCAAGTGGGACTGTGTGACAAGGGAAGCAAACCAGGCTGTAGCACTCACCCGCAAAATAGATTTACACTGGCCTCCGCTTTGCGAAGAGACAACGGACTACGATAGATTCGATACGAAGTGTCCCAGAAAGCCTAGAGATTGGATTGGTTGGAAACCTGTGGCAAGCCATGAAAGGCAGGCATGCAAGAGGTATGAGGTTTCTCCCTGCCCTGTGCCACGAAAAAACAAAAAAAATATTCTTGCCGGAAAACGTCACGTGATCCCACTTTGTAGCCTGGGCCAGAAGCCTCAGCAAATTTCTTCATCCTTCCTCTTCTTATTTCTTTCTCTATTCTTTTTCTGGGCTGTCTCTGCGTATGATTAAATTGTAAGAAGTCTTCAATTCGCTTCTTCCCGTCAGTGCAGATGCAGAGACCTCCAAAATTACTTGTTTTCACACACTTCCAATCCTTTGCTGTGGCCAACTGCAGGCGACGAGGGTTGCTTCTTCAGTTGCTCTGGAAGGTCATGGTGCCATTTTACAAAGGATCTTAGCATGCAGTCATCTTGTGGCTTGTGCATCTAGCTTTTTTGAGAACAAGGGCTGCTGGGCTAGTATACCATGCCTTCTAAAATGTTTACAAATACACGCAAGCAAGGGAGAACAAAGAGAAGAGAGGGTCACTTCATTTTTGTGTAATTATAACCATAAGAAGCCAACTAACAATGAAGTCAGAAAGAGGAAAAAAGAAATTTAGTTTTTGTAACCATAATTTGGAAATCATCAGCATTTTAATTTCTCTTTTGTTGATCAAGTCCTCTTGCTGGAGGTTGGAGCCAGACATAAAGCTAAGTTAGATGTACAATGCTTTACCACCGACCTTCGAGAGGCAGAATTTCCCTCTTGAACATGCTCGGACATTGGTGTGTGTATACAAGGTTATACTTGCAGTGATAGCCAATGAGAGTGGTGTACATAATATCAGGGGGTTTTACATCCTAAAACAACGATATAATTGTGAGCGGTGCCGTAGTAAAGTCCAGAAACTTCGACCATTTGGTGTTATTTAACGTGCACCGATATCGCACAGTACATGGGCCTCTAGCACATCAACTCCGCCAAAATGCGACATCGCAGCAGGGATAAAACCTGTGATGTTTGGGTCAGTAGCTGAGCATCATAACCGGTTACAGCACCGCGGTAGATAATAGAGAACGAAAAAATCAATTCTGACGTTTTATATATGCCATAACAATGATACTATTATGATGCACACCATACTGGGAAACACCACGCTAATATACTGGCCACCCTCTTTAGCATCCACCTAAAGTGCATGACTACTTGAACCTTTTACAGTGTGAAAATGTCACCATCGTGGCTAGGAATGGACACCTAGGACTTTTGCTTGCCGGCAGTAGAACACCATCTGGGCACTAAGCTGCCATGGCGGTAGTGACAGCTACGAAGAGGTAGTGGCCGAAACAGAAACTTAGTACATATGCCAGAAATGAGAACGGAAAGGAGGAGAGAGATATGGAGGAATTTCAGAACCAAAAGGAACTCAAATGACGAAATGTGACAGCAATTATATATAATATTGTCACAAAGACACAGGTACGCAGGTACAAAATAGGGCGTTTACTTTCGTAACCCAAGGGCCAGAAACGCGAACACCAGAGCACGCGCACACAGTACTTCGTTGTCCTCCTCAGAGGCTGGCTGCTATAGTTGCCAGCCTACCTTACGTCAATTCCCCCCTTTCAAGAGCGACCATCCCGGTCGATTGACTGAGATGCTAGAGGTGGCCATGAAAAATAATATGATCACGCCAACGAAAAAAAAGAAGCCCACGCTGTTGTGGATAATAAGGAAAAGTTCGAAGCGTTCATAACTTGCGGGCATGGTACAGTTTCATCGGTACTACATGGACTACTTCTGGACGTGGACGTTTTCGGTTTAAACTGGTGTCGGAGCTTTGGAGAACTACCTCGTAATTTAAGTCACTGAGGCAGCGCACAACTTCGTAAGGGCCAAAGTAGCGTCGCAATAGCTTCTCCGAAAGCCCACGATGTCAAACTGGTGTCCACACCCATACATAGTCACCTGGTTGATAGTGGACGTTCCTTCGGCCTTGGTTGTAACGGCGAGCGTCGACATCTTGCTGTGTGCGAATGCGGTTCCGTGCAAGCTGGCGGGCTTCCTCGGCTTTCTTAACGAAGTCGTCAACGCTGACATTTCCGCTGGTGTCCTGGTCTAGGGGGAGCATAGCGTCTAACGGTGTTGTGACGCGACGGCCATAAACAAGCTCGAATGGTGTTAGGTCTGTGGTCTCTTGCACAGCGGTGTTATAAGCAAACGTGACGTACGGCAAAATTTCATCCTACGTTTTGTGCTCTACATCAACATACATAGATAGCATGTCGGTAATTGTTTTGTTTAAGCGCTCCGTCAAGCCGTTCGTTTGGAGATGATAAGCTGTTGTTTTCCGGCGGTTAGTGTGCGTCAGCTTGGTGACTTGTCGCAATAACTCTGCCGTAAAGGCTGCTTCACGATCGGTTATGAGAATGGCAGGTGCACCATGACGCAAAACAATGTCGTGGACGAAGAATCTGGCGACTTCAACTGCAGTTCCACTAGGCACAGCTTTGGTTTCTGCATAGCGAGTCAGATAGTCGGTTGCGACGATTATCCACTTATTTTCTGAGGATGACGTAGGGAATGGACCAAGAAGATCCATTCCCACTTGCTGAAATGGTGCTCGAGGTGGATCTAAAGGTTGGAGGAAGCCGGCGGGCGTTGCGGGTGGAACTTTACGGCTCTGACAGTCACGGCCGGTGCGGACATAGCGCTGAACGGACGAATACAGCTGTGGCCAGTAGTACTTCTGTCGGATGCGCGCTAATGTCCTAGCAAAGTCTAAGTGACCGGCCGAAGGATCGTCGTGGCACGCCTGCAAAACTTCCTCACGCAAAGCCGTTGGAACAGCGAGGAGAAAAGTTTCCTGGCTGCTCTCAAGATTTCTCTTGTAGAGAACATTGTTCTGCAGGCAATACGTTGTTAAACAACGCGAGAGCCGGCGTGGGACGATAACGTCTTCTCCTTGAAGATGCTGGATGACAGGAAGTAGCTCAGTGTCCTCACGTTGAAGCTCAGCCATCCGCACCACATCGACGATGCCAAGAAACGGTAAATCTTGTTCAGTATCAGATGACGTCGGGGAAATAGGAGCACGAGACAGGCAGTCAGCATCTGTATGCTTATGTCCTGATCGTTAGACCACCGTTATGTCGTACTTTTGATGGCGGAGGCTCCAGCGGACGAGGCGGCCTGATGGATCCCGTAGATTGGCAAGCCAACAGAGCGAATGGTGGTCACTGACCGCTCGAAATGGCCGGCTGTATAGGTAGGGTTGAAACTTGCTAACGGCCCAAACGACTGCTAGGCACTCTTTTTCGGTGGTAGAGTAATTAGCCTCTGCTTTTCTGAGACTGCGGCTCGCGTAAGCGATCACACGCTCTGCGCTGTTCTGCCATTGAACTAGAATGGCTCCGATTCCTACGTTGCTGGCGTCTGAGTGGATCTCGGTGTCGGCAGTGTCGTCGAAATGCGCCAGCACTGGAGCTGTCTGAAGTCGATTGCGCAGCTCTACGAAGGATTGTTGTTGTTCTTCCGTCCACACGAAAGGTACATCCGGCCGTGTCAGTCTTGCAAGAGGTTCCGCAATTTTCGAAAATCCTTCGACAAAACGGCGGTAGTATGCACAGTCTGAGGAATCGCTGAACAGCCTTTTTGTCTCCAGGACGAGGGAAATCGGCAACGGCAGCCAACTTCTCCGGATCTAGTCGAACACCCCCCGGGCTCACCACATGGCCGAGAAACTTGAGTTCCTGATAGCCGAAGTAGCACTTTTCGGGCTTGATAGTAAGGTTCGCTCTCCTTATTGCAGTGAGGACACTTTTTAGCCTTGAAAGATCCTCGTCAAACGTGCTTGTAAACACAACGACATCATCCAAGTATACAAGACACGTCTGCCACTTTAGTCCAGCTAGTACAGTGTCCATCATGCGTTGAAACGTGGCGGGAGCGGAACAGAGACCGAAAGGCAGCACTTTAAATTCGTAGAGCCCGTCAGGCGTCACGAACGCGGTTTTCTCACGGTCGCCCCCGTCAACTTCAATTTGCCAGTACCTTGACTTGAGATCTAATGATGTAAAGAACTGGGCATGGCGTAGACGGTCTAAGGCGTCATCAATCCGTGGCAGGGGGTAAACGTCGCGTTTTGTGACTTTGTTAAGCCGTCGGTAGTCGACGCAGAAGCGTAGTGTGTTGTCTTTTTTCTTTACTAAGACAACAGGTGACGCCCACGGACTTGTCGAGGGTTGAATGACGTCATCATTCAGCATTTCTTGAACTTGACGCTTAATCACCTACCTCTCTTTCCTTCGGGGACACACGGCATGGATGTCGGCGAAGAGGCCGCGTCGACTTCTCGGTAACAATGCGGTATTTTGTAATGGTGGTACGCTGAACTTTCTATGCTGTGGAGAAGCAGTCCGAGAATTCCCTCACAAGGTTTAGCAGCCGCTCTTTTCGTGAATCTGGCAAGTCTGGGTTAATGTGAATGCGGCTTCCCAGGTCAGCACAAGCTTTTGCATGCGGTGAAGTCGTATCCATTGTGCCGATATCGAAAAAGTCAGTGATTTCACTGAGAAAAGCGACAGTAGTCCCTCTAGGGTCGTGCTGAAACTCATTGCTGAAGTTGGTCAGCAGAACTCGAGAGCGTTTATTCTCTAACCGAACAAGGCATTGGGCTATGCATATGTTTCGTTTGAGCAGCAGCGGGATATTTGACTCTGCAATACCTTCATAGTCGTTGAATTCATCAAAAACGTCGCAGGCTACCAAGGTGAACACGCTACTCTTCGGCGGTAACGTGACGTCATCGTCAACAATTCTCAAAGCATTGACGTAACCGCCGTGAGGGTTGCACGCTAAAGCGTGTGCCATAGAAAACGTCACCTGCGACTCTTGCAAATCAATCACGGCTTCATTATCACGCAGAAAGTCCAGTCCGAGAATCGGGTCCCTTAAGCAACTCGGCAGTATTACAAAATCTCCAAGATACGTGAATCCGTGAATACTGACTCGCGCTGTGCACCGCCCCACCGGAGTGAGAAGATGGCCTTCTGCCGTACGTATCTGTGACCCAGCCCACTGGGTAGAAACCTTCTTCAGCCTGCAGGCAATACCAATGCTCATAACGGAAGTGTCTGCTCCAGTGTCAATTAGCGCCATTAGTTCTTTGTCGTCCACAGTTACAGCAATGTTTGATGTCACCACTCTTCGTACCACATTTGACTGCGTCTGTACATCTTTTTGCTGCCGTCGCTGACGTCGTAGTAGAGGATCTTCCGTAGAGTCAGCGGCCTCACCTCCGGAGGTCGCTGAACTCGGTTTTCCCGACTTGCAGGACTCGGTGAACGGCGTCTCGGAGCGCCGCGTGAATAGGCTAGGCTCTGTGACCTGTAGCGAGCAGGCGACAACGAGCGAGGCTCTTATGCCCGATGTTCGATACTGCGACGATTCGAGATGAAAATCTCTATTTCCTGTGGTCGCTCGCCAGGTCGTGGACGAGGGGCATTAGGCTAAAATCCACGGAGACCCACACAACGGTATGGACATGTTCGGTAGACGTGCCCGGCTTCCCCGCAGTGGAAACAAAGGGGCCTGTGGTCGGGTGTACGCCAGATGTCACTCTTTCTCGGTCTTGTTTCGGCGATCAACAGTGAGCTGCGAGGACAAAAGCCTACCTCCATTTGCTGAGCATGTCACTCATTGGGGTAAAAGACGCTGGTTGAACTGCACGATGGAGGACGTCGCACTGCTTCCGCGTAGCTCATCTCGACGCAGTGCCTCTGTTGTGGCACCTCGGACGGTTGGGGAGCGTAAATGGCTTGCTGTAGCTCGGCGCGTACCATCTCCACAATGGAGAGCTGCTCTGCAGGTAAAGCAGTCACCTGCATCTTTTGTAGCTCTTCCTTAATGAGAGCTCTGATAAGCTCTTGCAACGCGCTGATGTCGTTGCCGAGAGTGACAGAAGTGACATCACTTGGGTGTACACCACGGTTATACTACCTGGCGCGCTGTTGAAGGGCCCTCTCCATGGCAATGGCTTCCTCATGGAACTCCGCAAGTGTCGCAGGTGGGTTTCTAATCAGGCCGGCAAAGATCTCTTCTTTAACACCACGCATTAGGCGGCGAACTTTCTTGGATTCGGACATAGAGGGCTCCGCATGCCTGAAAAGCCGATCCATGTCCTCTACGCAAGTCGTCACCCTTTCGTTAGGGCCTTGAACGCTTGCCTTTATAGCACGCTCTGCTGTCTCTTTCCTGTCCTCTCGGGCAAATGCCTTGAACTTCCGGTGAAACTCGTCCTATGACGTAAGCACTGCTTCATGGTTCTCAAACCACGTTTTCGCGGAGTCCTCCAGGAAGCAGTACACATAGCGTAGCTGACGCTCTGAGGTCCAATCGTTGATGACGGCGACCCGGTCGAAATGCTCGAGCCAGTAATCGGCATCTTCAAAAGCAGTTTCGTGAAATATCTTCGGCGTCTTGGGCTGGTTGATAATCAGGTGCGTTGGTGCTGGCGCGGTGACGTTAGGCGGTGTTTGATTCATAGTCCTCTAACGTTCAGGTAGCAAACCGTGCTGTGGCTCGAATCCCTGGAGACGACGGCTGGAACGTACGTGCACAGGGGTAAGCTCGGCTGAGCTACTCGATGGACTTGCGTCAGGGGTGCTCTCAGGGGACCGTATCATCTACCGTACCCAGCACCTCCACCAGAAAAATGTCACAAAGACACAGGTACGCAGGTACAAAATGGGGCGCTTACTTTCATAACCCAAGGGCCAGAAACGCGAACACCAGAGCACGCGCACACAGAACTACTTTGTTGTCCTCCTCAGAGGCTGGCTACTATAGTTGCCAGCCTACCTTGCGTCAATATTAACGAAAAATAACAGACAATGATGCCGATAACTTGCCGTCGGCAGGATCTGAACTTTCCGACCAATATTTCTAACGAAAGAAAACTAGCCCATAAATGTACACTTTCCTTCATTCACAGTGAGGGTCTAGTAGACTTGATGCCTTCAGACAGTATGCGAGGGGTTATCGGTAAGCTGCCAGCTCGCAATAGACCACGTGCGACGACTAATATTTCTAACGAAAGAAAACTAGCCCATAAATGTACACTTTCCTTCATTCACAGTGAGGGTCTAGTAGACTTGATGCCTTCAGACAGTATGCGAGGGGTTATCGGTAAGCTGCCAGCTCGCAATAGACCACGTGCGACGCGACACAAACAGGCAAAAGCCGCAATGGCAACTGGCGGCGCTCAGTAACGCTTCCATGTTTAAATGCACATACTGTATGCCCCATGAAGCGGATAGGGCAAACTTTTCAGTAACAGTGTTGAGTGGCTACTGCCACTGTATCAGTGGTAGAGCATCGGACGCGTTACTCCAAGGTCCCAGGTTTGGATCCTGCTGCCAGGGGCAAGTTATCTTTTCGTCCACTTTTTTTTCTTCACATTTACATGACAATCACTTGTAATAACATCTCCTATACTTTTTCCTTGGCATCATTGTCTGTCAGTTCTCTTCAATACTGTGTTGAACAAAGAAAACAAGCCTTTAAATTTACACTTCTCTCCAGAAATCATATATGGCACTTTGTAGAGCGAAAATCTGGAGACGAACTGTAGTCCTCCACTAAGGCTTCTTTCTGGTGGTATCACGCAACCATATGCGTTTGTCAGCCCTCGTGCAATCCTCCGTGCCCAAGAAACACTCTGAGCACTTACTAGAGCCAGACAATGGTTGAAAGAGAGAGAGAGTGAGAGGAACCACATCTGTGGGGGCCTCACCTTTCTCCAGGTAGGTCTTGGGGACCAAGTCCCGCTGGGCGTCCGGTCGCTGGTGCCCGTAGGCTGGTGGGGAAAGCTGAACGTAATTACCGGGGTACAGGGGCTCGGGAGGTGGTGGAGGGGGGAGCGGAGGTGACACTGCGCACACACATACACATTCCAGGCTTGTTCAAGGTCGTCCAGGCAGCATGCACACACAACTGCCTCCCTCAGATCATGCGGATCAACAATGAGGGAACTCTGCAAAACTGCAAATCTGACGAGAACGTCACTACAGCAAATGCTTCAACACGGTCCCACTATGGAAAAATGTAAATCGTAATCACATGCCTCCAAGTGCTGCATTCGTAAGCAAGCTGCACACTTTTTTCAACATATTTATGACTACGAATAGCAGTAACCATGCATCATCTCTAACAAAGGATTTTAGAAGTTAGTATCAGCACACTGCAAAATCAAACTTCAATTTAGTACACTTGCATTCAGGGTATTGAGTTTAGTAGACAAGGTGACTCTTTTTCTAGCAATCATTAACAACATTCAGAGCTAACTATCTAAATGCAGCAATTTTTACATTCAGCCTTCTAATGCATAAGCAAACAATACTAATGTTTCAGGTTAGTTTATTGAAATTTGGTGGCTTCTCATGGATTAGGGCCTAGCAGCATAACAGCATGATTGGCATCGCTTCTGGCCACCATGGCAAATGTGTGCCAGCATCAGCTCCTGTATAATGCTGCAGACATTTTCTCCATGCTATTAAAGCACCCAAGAGGCATCTAAAACAACTACTGATGTAAGGGAGTTGAATATATCATGCACACCACGAAGTCGTGGTAAACGTAATGCCAAATTATGAAAAAGAAACAGTATCGTGGCGATTCCACACAATCCAGCATTCAATACTACAGCCTTTATTTTATTTGCTCCTTAAAGGCCTACAACACTTATGCACAGACAACGAAAAATAAGAACAGTATTACTAATGCATTGCAATGTCGAGAAAGCTAAGAACGAAAAATTCGGAACATACAGCTATAAAGTTTTCTACTTAGTTCACTCAATGACATGACAAATTCAATTCACAGAAACGAAGTCAATTGTACCAAGGCAAACAGGCTGAGAAGAAGAGATCATAAATGAACAAAAGCAATTTTGGGCACAACATAAGAAATGCAAACGAAATTCCATTTCACCAAAAAATGACTGCCACACAGTCGCTCATGTCATTCCAGGAACAAGCTCTCGAGCTATTTTTAGTCTATAGTTTTCAACATTAAAATTAAAAACTGGCCCTACATTTCAGCACCCGTTCGGTCCCTTCCTCAGGAGTTGACTGTCCGACAACTAAAAAATCGCGCACATCTCCCCGTGAAAAGAAACCTGACTAGTATGCGAAGCAGCCATGGGTCGACTTTCTGTAAAGAGGTGCTCTTTATTCATCATCATAGATGTTCATGATTGCGGACAGAGCCGCTTTGCGAAGCCACTTTGCGAGTATGAGTGCGCCTCCGCTGCACTCATACTCATGTCTTCAATCATACTACTACGCTGTGTGTGTCGGAGAGAGAGAGAGAGGGCCCCGCCGCGGTGGTCTAGTGGCTAAGGCACTCGGCTGCTGACCCGCAGGTTGCGGGTTCGAATCCCGGCTGCGGCGGCTGTATTTCCGATGGAGGCGGAAATGTTGTAGGCCCGTGTGCTCAGATTTGGGTGCACGTTAAAGAACCCCAGGTGGTCGAAATTTCCGGAGCCCTCCACTACGGCGTCTCTCATAATCATATGGTGGTTTTGGGACGTTAAACCCCACATATCAATCAAGAGAGAGAGAGAGAGGAGTAAGCCCTTTTATAATAAAGAGCAGCCCAGCGCCGTTAGTGGTCTCCACTCAACCAGAGTACGCGCAAGAGAGGAGCGAGTGCTTTACTACAATGCAATCTAGGAGGAGTTAGCACATTTATTATATACACAGCACGCACCGGAGTGGAGCGATGGATGGATGGATGGATTGATGTGGCTTTACCCTTTAGATCGAGCGACGGCTAACGCCACCTAGCCGTAATATTGAACCAACAACTAGATTTATTTTTTTTCCCCCTTTAAATAGTGAAGTTGAGGACTGGTACTTTGCAGTGAAAGGTTTAATTTTCACTCGTGCCTTGACTTTAACCACCAATCAGATAGCCTCCTAGTTAATTCTACCCGCTTAAAGTCTATTTTGCCCTCCCTGTCCTAAACCCCAGTGCTTTGAAAAACTCTGCGCCATCATCCTGAACTATAGGGTGAAGCCCTTCACGGAACATTATTGAGTGTTCGGCAGTTTCCTCCTCCTCTCCACTTGCACTGCATACCGTGTCTACCCCTTCGTATTTGGCCCGCTATGTTTTGGTTCGCAATACTCCCGTCCTGGCCTCAAACAGTAGAAACTACCCAAAGTATTATCATAGATCAGTAGAGAACTACCCCGAGTATTATGACAGATCCTTTCCTTGGCAATTTCCTGCTTAAAAGTTCGATAGATTTCTAGTGCGGACTTCTTAATCATGCCTACTGCAGCTCTACTGCAGAATCATCTAGTGGGCGCTCGGAGTGGCTACGATGATGGACAAGGGACAAGCGCCGACCATCAGCTGCTTCGCATCTCAAAGAGGTCATTGTAACGGTCCCCTGGAAATATTCACCTGGCTGCTTGCCATTGCATTTCGCATGAGCAGTTCACCAACACCACATGCTCAAAATAACCATGTTCCCAAGCTTTCATGATAGAAGAAATCATTTTAAAAAACATATCTTGGCCGCATAGATGTAAAGGTCCCCTTGAACCTTTAAAATGCATTTTTATAAAGATCAATTTAAAAACAACTTCTTGAGTTTGAAAAGCATGTTTTTGGTACTTTTGATAGTCAGATCAGCTATCAGAGGAGCAATATGAGCCATTAATGGCTCAGAACAATAAAAGTTGCAGGGCAGAGAAAGATAGTCCTAAAAGAACAATATTTTACATTTTGTCATGGTGCAAAATGAAAACTAAGCAGCTTATTGAAAAAACTGATAATATACTGTATTTTACTCACATTGGCACACTCGCACAATAGGCGCACCCCAAACTTGGCCTTGATTAGTAGCTCTGTACTGCATCTGCTCGGTTGCAATTAGATGCCCTTTTGTGTTAATTGAAGCAAGGAAAATTAAAACAAAAAAAGACCGCGGCAGAACTGCGCCAGCTTCTAGGGTTCGCTGAGTGAGAAAGAAGGGCGGCTGCTTGGCTGTCGAAGTAACCTTTGCACTGGCGCCGGTGTTGCTCCAGCCGCTAGCTCAGTCACACGCGCTCCGCACAGAACGTGTGATCGTGTCCTCGTCAAGTGCACATTGAGTTTCCAGTTGGGAAAAGCGTCATTATTGCATTTGCTACCTCGTCCGCAAATTTCTCGACTTTCTGACAGGAACTTTTGCCTTTGCTGCCACTACGCAAACTTGTGTCGTAGATTTTCTGGCCGCAAACCTAAACGTCGTATCATGTGCGCTGCTGTTAGATTAGTGCCCGAGTGCGATGTTTTCGACGCCCAATCTTCGTGTTGTCTTAGACAAACATTCCACGACAACATGCTGAATCGTAGGCTAGGCCTAATCACTGTTGGTGCTTTTTGGTGGTGGTCGTGTGCTGTTTTCGTTGCGGTTTTCTGCAGAATCAACGCAGCTCTTTTTGGTGGTTCTACTTGATCGAAAGGGGGCTTGAGTGGCGCTTGTAACACTCGAATGGTGGTTTGCAATTCAATTGCAATGTCTTCAATATGGGGTGCGAGCCAGTGAAATCAAACCACCGGTACCATTCTGCACACAAAATTTCGGTTGTGATAATGTGTATAATTGTGCATATTCTAGGTGGCCTGAAACATAATCTGTGAATTTTATAGATGGCACTTTCTTTTCGTACTTTTTTTGTTCATTTAGTTAGAAACGCAGATCTTTTGATGGTAATTTTTGGAAATTTTAATGCAAACTACGTCGAATGCCTCTATTCCCAGATGAAGAAGGTTGTTTCGGTTGTAGTGAGGGTATTCTTGACTTCAGTCTATGTTGTACGGTCTATGTGCTAGTTAAAAATAAAAAGTTGAAAATTTTACCCCCCGTAATAGGAACACCCTTAACTTGGGGCCAGATTTTCCGGAAAAAAAGTACACCTATTATGCTAGTAAATAGTGTATTTAAAATTGGCATAATAGCCTACTTATACAGCAAAAATTTCATTGCCCTAAGCTACATATTAAAAACATTTTTTCGAGTAGAACCTGTCCTTAACGAAAGTCTCCCATTTAAGCATGAACTGCTGCTGCTTTTCCATACTTACCATTCCCATGACGTTCATACTCCTGATGTGGGCACAATGCCTCCACTCATTATGTGAGGTGGTGGTGGCTCGGGGAGCCGATCCTGTGAGGCTTGAGGTCATGGGGTCATTTGGCGGTGGTGGCTGGTGAGCAGAGACCATGCTGCCGTAGTGCTGACTCTGCGCCATTGAAGTTGGAACCATAGATGTGGGCACCTTGGCCATTTGGTGGCCCACTGGCACTCATCGACATTGTGCCCGGAGCGGCTGGATTCTGGGACATCGGGGGGACGACACTCCCTGGCGGTATGGCCACCATTGAATTCTGGGAACACGCGACTTGCATCGGCGGGTTCTGGACGACACCCTGCTGCTGCTGTCCCGTGTGACTCTGGTGGTTTACAGTATGGTGTGGCATGGAGTGGTGGTGATGGCCTGAGAACAAGAGAAGAGACGAGCTGTCAGCCTACCTGGGAATTGGTGAGAAGAGATAGTTTACACTGAATCAGCTACCTTGTGCTGTGGGCAAACTTACTCATTGTATGCTGGCTCATGGGGTGCACCATGCCCACTTGAGGTTGACTGGCCAGAGTAGGAGGAGGTGTCATCTGGGATGGTGGCAACGCACTCTGGTGGCTTGAACCGTGGTGGCCATGAGCTGGCAGTGTGGAGTAGCCGCTTCCTGGAACAGTCGGTGATTAGTATGATTGGATGAATAGAACTTTATTTAAAGCAATCTTAGTAAATGTGGCCGAGTCACTAGACACCAGGGAGTCACTAAATGTCCTTGCTAACAACTCTGAGCAGGCTCGGTCCACCAGCCACAGCTGGTCGTCCAAGCCAGGGGCATGGGACAGTGCCACAAACAGTGGAAAAGATCTGCCCGGGTATGCCTGCAGGTGGTGCAATGACACTGATGCAGGGAGGGTTATGCTATTGATTATGTGGGATAAAAAAGCTTCAATGCACTGATTTTTGAAGATTAATTCTATTTGACCAAGCAACATTAAAAAACTTCTTGAGTGTCATGCTCACCGTAATGTGAAGAGATTGCATAGTTTCCACAAGATAAGGCAACATACAAGCAAGGAAGCTGCTAGCATATGCATCAGTAGTTTGATTGATTCAGAATGGTTCGAGTGCTGCAATTCGAAAAAGGGGTACACTGGGGGTATTATTTTTCTGCTTGATCGATACGTCCCAAAACCACCATGTGATTACGAGAGATGCCGTAGTGGAAGGCTCCGGAAATTTCGACCACCTGGAGTTCTTTAATGTGCACCCAAATCTGAGCACATGGGTTGACAGCACTTTTGCCTTCATCAAAAATGCAGCCACGGCAGCTGGGATTCGATCTCGTGCCTGCGGGTCAGCAACTGAGTACCTTAGTCACTAGACCACTGAGGTGGGCTTTCATTTTTTTAGATGCGGAAGCATCTTATACTCGCGCCTTGTAGTGCGCCGTCCGCACCGCTTCTCAAAACATTCGACAGCTGACGCGCGCGCATGCGCCCTCGCGCCGTCGCCCACCATCTGTGCCGCGCGCGCTTCTCCTTCGAGAACATTCGACAGCTGACAGCGCATGCGCCGTCACGCTGTATATATACTCAAGGTCGGCGCTCGCTCGCTCAGTTGCCGCTCGTCGGTTGGTTTGTACGGCGCGTCGACGTCCAAGGTCGCGGTGAAATGAATTCCAACGAATCCACAAACACAATGATCGACGTCCCTTCGACCAGCGCCGCCCTTTCGCATACGTGTGTACGTGTTCACTCATTTAACACCCCCTCCTACAACCACGTTAACCAATTTAGCCATCGACCCAAGTAAGTCGCAATTTAACACCCCATTTCACAACCACGTTAACCAATTTAGCCATCGACCCAAGTAAGTCGCACTTTAACACCCCGTTAACCAATTATATGCTCCGCATCCTCCTCAGTGTTCCCCCGAGGGAAGCTGCGGGCAATTTTTTTTTGCTACAAATCAGCTATTTTACACCATCGGCAAAAAACAGTGCCAAACCATACTTTTACACCAAGTATATGAGCATCAAAGCATACTTCATGAGTATAAGTAACTTGGTTGTTGAGCTATCCTTATCACGCAGATACTTTGAACAATGTATATGTTCAGAACTATACGTTATATTGAAAGCAGTTAAAAACCGAGAAATTGCAGCAACCTTACAGTCAAATAGCCAACTGTTAGATATTACTCCACAAGAGCACAAATCCACCTCTCTCTGGCTCAATGGGTCAGTAGATGTTGCACTGAAGACAAGACATTTTCAGATTAGATAGGAAACATATGCACTCCGGTGTATACCAACCTCTGCGAGGGTGGCCAAGCGGGTAGTTGGCAGCATAATTGCTAGGCACCTGTGGTGGGGCAATCGGGGGCGCAGGCGTGCGGTACTCTCGAGAGCCACGGGTCAGGGACCCTACGGTGACCCCTCGGTTTGCTTGAGGGGGTGTTGGCGGCTTGGTTGTCGGTGCTGGTCCGGCATTCATCAGTGCCTGCCCCAACAAGACGTACACAAATGAAGGATGTTGCAAACATGAGCGGCACCGAGGTCAAAAAAGCTAAGGTAATTGGTGTCTCCGTTGAGTCAAACAAACACAATTTGTGCTGTCAACAGCTAGCAGATGGTAAATGAAAGTAGTATGGAAATAAGATGAGGTTGAGAATGTTGTAGATTGCTGGAGGGCCTCGCCCTATGACATTTACCGATAATTGCCCTATCCAGTATCCTCTTTTGAGATTATATTGAACTAATGTCCCTTTTAAAGCGAAAGAACAGGACCAGGTTGATTGGCAGGACATGAAAGAGGCCATTGCCTTGCGATGAGCGTATTAAGCTGATGATGATGATGATGATGATGCATAAACCTTGGCATTATAAGCTCTGAACTGGATATGAAATGAAGGATTTCACTGTTTGGGGTTTCCTGAGCAAAGAAAGCTACATCCCTTCAATGACAACATTGGAAGGGTTCACAGCATTACAAAATTGTATTTCAACAGTGAAATAATTGCAATGTGGCCGAACGAATATCTGAGAGCAGCTGACACAAGCTGGCACAGCGTGGCGCTGTTACAATAAGGGTCATGTGTGATAAGGCAGAGGTTAGGAAATAGCTGAGTCACTGCCAAGAAGGTCACTATTGCTAGAAATTGAAATAATGTACGAGGTACTCTGATTTGATCAGCTAGTGGATGTTCCAAACCAACACCAGAGGCTATCGAAGATGTATTGGATCATTTCAGATAGTTCTGATTACATTTAATTTTCTTGTAAATCTGCTAGTGTTATCACACTTTATGTACATTTAAGTGTGGTCGATTTTGTCCTGTTACGCTTTTCACTGTAGCTGATGTTCGGTTACTGGTATGCTTTAGATAGAAACAATGAAATAAGTAGCTCAACTGTCATAGACCAAAACGTTCCAGACTAAGAGCACTGACCTGAGAAGATGGGATGCGCCGGGCTTTGTTAGCGCCGTTACCAGCTGAAGATGTGCGAAGTCCGTGTCCCACTTCGTCCAGCACAGTGTAGTCAATGGGGCGACGAATGTACTTGACGGGGCGCTCTTGACTGGCCGGGGCCAAGATTTTGTGCTGGCGAAGTGTGCTCTTGTTTGCAGTCAGCACACCAATCTCACGCCGGGCCACCTTCTCCTTGTGGATCATTACTGTCTGACCTACGCAGGTGCAAGACGGTTGAAGCTGGCAGAGTTCAGCATTGTGGGGGAGGACTCGAAATAATGTTACCATGATAAATATAAATTCTCATTCTTTCCAGGCTTTCTCAGTGGCCCTAGCAGAGAATGATTATATAAGAGAATTGAGCTTGTCACACCATACCAGACATTCAGTAATATATAGCGTTCCAAGATTGAGCCAAGTCAACAGCTAGATTTGTAAAAGATCAGTGGGCTTTTTGTTCCTGTTTTTATCTTACAAAATTGATTATAGCCGCCTGTGGCCACTTTACTAAACTTAAATGAATTACAGATGATCAACAGCACTTTAAACCACAGACACGTGAAACGTTCATCATTCTTTTGACACATTGCCACATTCAACTGTTGGGCTATCCAAATAGCCATAATTTCTGTTTCACCTTAATGCAAGTTTTGTGACTAAGAAAAATACTGCAGATTTTTTAATGCATTGCATAGGTGTTTGACATAAAGTGCTTATTTCCCATACTTCAAAAAATCGGAATGTACTCGACGAAGACACAAGATGAGGTTGACACAGATGCCGATTCATCGTTTATGACTTGCTCACTCACTACCTTAATGCAATTTCTCATGTGTGAGTCATGAACAATTGCATAACAGTATAACAACAACATTAGATCAAATTGCTTACATTGACTTCTGGTCAAGCTGGAAAGAACAATAAGCGCAGAAACACACAACTATAATTCAATAATGGTTTAGTTCAGCCATTATATTACTTTACAAAGAAATTTTGCATTGAATTTGACAAGGGTACCCACTCTGGCAGAGCGAAGTTGTCCCAATAAGGCCAGAATACAATTGAAATTCGCTGCTTGCTTAACCGATTTAAGTCACTTTTCTTGAAAGGATTTATAAACATGGTCTCCCAAAACAGTTGCGCACAAGAAATGGGCAGACGTATTTGCAGTAGTGTTGCATGCCAATCTTCTGTTCTTTCCACAGAATCATGCAATTACCTCTGCGGTGCAACGTATGCAAAAGTTGCAGGCATTGTTGGCAGGCAGGGTATCACTTCATACACGGTGCATTCTTGCCTATTCCATCGCAATCATTTGTTCTGCCTAATTATTTTGTCAGTATTGCCTACCGCTCATAAACCCACCAGATACGGCAAAATTGCATGTGTAGCGTCTTTCAGATTGCTTACCAAGCGCGAGAAAGAAAATTAGACCAGAATGCTTACATTACTTCGTGCTTGCACTAACAAGTGTGACACACACTCATGTATTAGAACAAAGGCTTGCATCAAGTAGGTGCACTGATAAAGCAAGAGTGTTGAAGAGATCATTGAAGTTGAGCTGGTTATAATCGAGGCACAAAATATGTATGAGCACTGCTGTTATTATGACCGCAAACTGGCAAGCCAAGTGGGCTTTAATTATTTGTGACTCAATAGTAAAATGTTCAATATAAAAAAAAAAGCCAGGCAGAGGGCAAGATAGTAAATAAATTCATCTTTGCACAGGACGGCAGATATAACAGATGTAGTGAGAAAAATAACACACACAACGTCGATGCAAGTGTCTTGCATACTTCTTGTTTTGTTCACATTATGTGCAGTTATGCATGAACACGGAGAAATATGTTTATCATGAGTAGATTTACTCAAAAGCTTGTACTGTACCATATTGTTGAATGAAGGTGGGGTTAAATTAATTGATGTGAAATGAATATTTTGGAGGTGTTACTCAAAGCCCCACCAAATTGAATCATAACCATTGGGTTTCAGATCCCAAACCACAATATTGTTCGACAGGCACTGTAGTAGAGAGCTCCAAAAATTTCGACCACTTGGGGTTCTTCACTGCACACCTAAATGTAAGTAAACGTGCCTATAGCATTTCAGCTCCATTGAAGTGCAGCCGGGGTTTGATTCCACAACCTACAGGTCACAAGTAAAGCACTGCAACAACATGACCACAGAAGTGGGTCCCAACAAAGCGAATCAAATAAGAAGTTGTTGAATCTGGCGAGAAAATCGTGTAGTAGATCAATAATATTCAATTAGTAGTATAACATAACAGATTTTGCACATGCGGAATCCAGTGGTGTATATTCTTGCACAAAATGAAGGTAAAATTTACACTCGGAAAAACCCACCTATGTGGTTGATGTGCGACTCCATCTCCGACAGCTGGGCTGTCTGCAAGTCCAGTAAGTGCAACAGGTTGTACGCGAGCGTGTTGATCTGGTAGGCGACGCTGGCCAGAGACTGTGTTGCAAACTTCTTTGTCTCCTCCAGCGCTGCATGCTTGTTCTCAGACTGGAATGCAAGAGACGACAGTGTGTGGTACCTGCATCGCATGGGTGCCTCCACACCAGCATTGAATTGGCTGGTGATGCACCTTTTAAGTTTTCACACCAATTACTGCTACATCACAGATCTTGACAGTGTCTAAGAGGGCCTCAATATTTCTTATTAAAAATAAAGTACATTGTCCTATGAGGGGGCCACAGACCAAACATACCAAGTTTAGGAAAATCTTGTCGAGCCAATGTTGCCAAAATACAAATGTTGCTTAGAAATCTGCGACATCATGCTTGTCTATTTGGGCACGAAACTTTAAAATGAAACTTCAACCTAAATTTTATTCTCTATTAATAAACCTATGATGGTGAAATCAACATTTTTATTTTTTTGGGATGTAATTTATCACTCTTAATTGACTCGGTGCTTTAGTGTCCCTTTATGGCATCTTTTACTGGCCACAGGAGTAGGGTTGTTTGCTCCATGACAGTGATCTATTCCACACAGGTAGATAGAGAATCGAACTAATCATTTTAAACCATACTAGTTAGCTACCAAGGTAAGTATTTCAGCAGAAAAAGAAGGGAAAACAGAGGTACCTAATGTGAAGCAACTTAGGTAGCATACAAAATTATGTTCGCATGTTCCACAGCTTGTAGATGGCACTATGCATCTTGTATAACGACCCAAGCAGTGCTTCTGCAGAAAACTAAAAACTCACTGACAGTGTAATCTTGACAATTTACTCTCTACAAGTTGCATCTTGGGAAGTTGCTTCACGGATGCTGTCGCGTTTGTGTTTTTTCCTAACCTGTATCAGCCACTTTGCGACACAGTGGCGGAACTAAAACCATTATCGTAGCTGTCTTCCTTCACATCAGCAATAGAAAGCGGTGGTTGAAAAAAAAAAACGAATCTGTGCTGAATGACATATTTTAAACGTCGATTGAATTATTTTACATTCCACCTAAACCGATTCACCGTTATGAAACGGTGCCACAGAATGTTGACAACAACGATCACGCTCAAGAAATGCAGCACGCATCCGCTGCCAGCGTCAATCGGTGCTGCCGCTTCGTGCCACATAGGGATGTGTCAAGCTGTGACACACGCAGATTCGGGCATACATTCCAGAACTGGTTTGTGTGATGTGCACAAAGAACTGCCAGCACGACAATCTTGAGTGGCTCATTCTCACCTACCACAGACAGGTTTCACGCTGTCTGAAAGCTTGCTCCACGATGTTGGTATCCACTTTCACAATCTTCAAGTGATTGAAAGATGCCACAGCATCACGGCCTTCAAACATGAAAAAAATTAGTTTCCTTTTGTTATGTCCCGCTGATCGTCGCGCACCATACGGATATTGACAACCAAATCTAACGTTACAATAAAGCCTTCACGCAGCAGGCTCCCTATGTATTCACGTCCGGTTTCGTGCATTCTCCCTCCCCGCGCTTTATTGTTGTTGATTACGTGTGATACGTCTGAACACTTGACCACGCACCCCCACTTGTCGGACAACCGTTAAATGCGCATTCGAGACCGGCAGTTTCAAGTACCGGGTGCCAGTACCTGAAAGTAGTTGGCTTCGCAGTACTCCGCAACTTTTTCAAGATTGGTGTGGCTGTCGTGGATGTTTTGCCGTCCATCGGGAATTTCGTGTTGGATAAGTGTCATAAGATCGGCCATGACGGATGGCATTTGAGGCCGGCTGAAAGGGGGAAAGAAAAAAAGCAATAAATATCCGATACTACACCACAAACGAGTAACACACAGACGAAGACACTTTTATGGCCTGACGACACGGATGGGCTAGAGGTTGCCGTTTTGAAAGCTTCAGATGACCAGCTGCAGCCCCGATCACCCGATCTAAGCGCACTACCGGCAAGTTTGCACTCCTATCGCATCATGTTCGAAGGGGCCATTCGCCACACTGTTACCGAAGTCCGCTACAGGGCGCTTTCATCTGATCCATTCATCACTCAAGCGTTTAAGCGTTGGCAAACGCCCGAAACTACACGATACATCAGAAACCAAGGAACGCTAAGACGAGTCGCCAAGTAAAAGGGAACTGAAATGACAGCGTCACGTCCCCTGAGAAAGCTGCGAGTTAGGCTTACAGCGCATCAAACATGCCACCAAATAACGCAGCGCGATCGCCTAGTTATGGGAATCTTTACAACGACAAGCGTCTCTTTGTAATGAACTCACCAGCTGAACAGATGGTAGGCTAGACTTGGTAACTCTCTCCAGCAAACTTTAGTTTAGTCAGGGTACGCCCTGTCCAACATCAGACGCCACTAGCGTCCTTTCCCAACGCACTCGCCCACTCTCGAAACTACTCAAATCACTTCGATGGTAAGTTATAGGTGAAATTATTCCAGTTACATTTGCCTTCTATGTCGCTATGAATTTTTATTGCAACTAGTGAAATTGTTCGTAATTAGAAATATTGTAAAAATTCAATAGCTTTGCCCATATAGTGCTTCACGTTTTTTTTTTCTCAAGTAAGGTAAATGTTTTATATATCGCAAATTTGTATCATCCGTCTGTGAAAAAAAAAAAATGTGTAAGTCTACAAGTAATGCAACTAGAATTGACAAAATCTCTGAGGTTCAGTTGTGACTCTCAAAGGCTTTGATTTTGTGCACTGCAAAGGCCAAGTTAAAAAAAAAAAAAACGTAAAATTTGGAGGTTGATTGTTCAATATGACCAGCCGACACAATTGGCGCTGTTACCATCCTAGTACTTGAAGGTATGCGACAGCTTACGTATTTTACGCCCCCCTTAGGAAGCTGTGGAAATTTACATCTACCACCGAAACGTGTCCAAGAAATGGCGTAGGAATGATGGCTTCGAGTGTGATTTTTGTTGGTTCCTGCAGCTGTACAGCAGGTCTTACCTTCGTACTGTAACTGCCAAGACACGGCCACGTTCGTACTTTCACTTGGCAAGTGAAACGTCCGCTGGCACTCGATTCGCTGGCTCTCAAACATAAAATGCCGGCACGGCACTGCAGCTATGTGGTTGTTTACAGGTGTTTTAACCTCGTGCGATATCGTGCGATGCGTACGTTTTATCGTCTCTGCTAGCTTATCGCGTGCGCCCTGTCTGCGTAATCGAGTTTCACTTCGCGTAACGCTGCTACGCCGATAATTAAGTGCACATGTAACTACTCTTCTGACGGTTTCGATTGAAAGTGAAAGTGCCGCTCATCGTAGCGAGCATTGTTGCACAAACTGCCACCAGTGTCCAGTGTAACGTAGTGGCCCGTTTTTTACAGGAAGATCTGGAGTGTACGTTATGAATGGCTGAAGCCATGAGTAACGATTCGAAGCACGATTCTGGTGAGTTGATCCCCCTGCTCAGCCGCACGCTGCAAGGGAGCTTGGATACGCACCTTTTGCTTATGTGCCACGTGGTTTTTACGGTTTCAGATTGGGACCCAAAGGCGGGCCTCCCGAGTCCAACGTTACCGGACAAATTTTCCTTTTCGCGCACGTCGTCGACAGGATCCATAGACAATATCCTGACGTCCTCATCGCTCACAACACAGGTGCTGTTCCTGGAAATTATAATTTTTGCGTTGAAAGATCAGCACTCTGGTTCGAGCGATAACGCCTGTTGTTCATTTTTTGCGTTTTTTTATCGGAGTATTTCAGCCTGCTTTATAGGTTCCATACCTCGATGATTTGATGATAAGTGGCCGCACTCATAGTGTGTGCCGCTCAAAATCGAATTGGACGAAAGGTTATCTTCTTATGTTAGATTCACGTTTTTTACAGTGCATATCCTTACGACAACCACTTTGCTCAGGCTTACACTGGTAGGATTGAAAGACAATAGGTGGAGGGAACACAGTCATGAGTTCGAACAAGAAAAGATAATTTCAGTGTGCTTCTGGCAAATACACTTGTGTGAAACTTTTACGGTTTCAGATTGTGGCCCGAAGGCCGAGTCCAACGTTATTAAACAAATCTGGAAAGATACACATTCCAGTGTATCTTTGGTTATAGGTGCATTGGAGAGTTTAATTGACATAACAGGTAATCATGTGCAATCTGAAACCTTTTCCCACCTTCCGTCCCTTCCAGTCCAAAGTAAAAAAACTGAAACCTCTAAAGAACTTTATTCTTTTACAGGTGAAGCATAAGGTAGCGAGAAAACACACGTGAATAAACTTTAGTGGAACTTTTCTAGCAGTGCTCTACTACGAACTGCTGCAGCCATGTGGTTTTGTTGGGCAGGGCCTGACAACTGACTCTAGAGAGTTTAATAAGACGAAAAATGTCTTGAGAAACGTGGTGACACCATGGTCCGCAATTCAATATTAATTCATGCGATTGCTGCAATGCCATTATGAGAGGAGTACTCATAAAAAAATTTTGAATCTTGCTTCTTCTTGCAATTACTAGCTAAGTTGCTTACAAAAACATAAAGCCCCATTTGCCAGAGTGCACGACGGTTGGTTATTTAGAAGAATTTCTGTAGTGCCCTGTAGAGCACCGAGAGAAATGGGACCCATGAAGCTAAGCTGAGTTGCCATGTGAGTACACAGAAGTGACATACCCACCAAGTGCATCACACCGCATCGTGTGTACGAGAGCGCATGTAAGAGGCAAGGCAGCCAATGCAAGTTAGTGGTGCATCTGGCTGTTGTTCTTCATACTTTAACCAAGTTGGCGGTGTTGCAAGATCTTCCCACTTTGCCTGCAACTACAGGGTACTCTCTTTAAAGTTGACTTTAAATATGTTCTAAGCTACATTAGCTGTTGGTATTTTGTACATGGTTGGTGTGTGTCCACCCATATCTATGTCACAAGTTACCTTGCCTTCAAGATTTTGTGATAATACTTGTTTGTTGACTAGTATCTGTTGAACACCACTTTTGCTTTGTCTAAATTCACCTGGGACATTATTTTGATGCAATAGCATTAAAGAGCTTGTTTTGCAGGAATTCCAGCATCGGCGTTGGTGCCGGCATAGGCTGATATCATTGGTTGGGAGCGAAAAATCATCTTGTCTGTCATTGAAAAATCAAGATGAAATAAAATAAATGTTAAAAATTTCCAGGTCTGAGTGAAAATCGAACCCAGTCCGTATGCCTAGCAAGCGTCTTACCACAGAGCCACATTATTTGTTAAAACAGTTTTTGAAAAATCACTTTAGGAATGTCACGTAATGTAAGGAGTCTCTTTTGCACATTATTTGTTGCGTGGCAGAAGCGTACAATCGCACCAGGCGTCAAAAGTTGTGAGTTGGGCGATTGGAAGGCCCATTCATTACAAAGCGCTAAGGCATATTTAATCGTCATCAGCAGGATAACTATCAACCAAGTGAATAGCTGTTAAGGTTGATGTAGTGGGCCCTTTTTGATTTGCAAAAGGAATAATTAGGGCATAATGTGCACTTAATAACAGTGCTTGTTATAAGCATTTAATGATACTTTGAAATGGCCTATGTTATGCGCACAGTCGTTCCATTTTTTGCAGCACTGTTGTGGCATGTACCGACAACCGAAGCAGACTAGCAGTTCAGAAGGTGATACGCAGGAGGCCTGATAACGCTATCGCAATGTACTCTTAAAAACAAAGCTCGAGAGTCCTGCAGTTTTTTGCTGCATCCCTTGCCATTGTTGAGATTGTTCAGCAGTATAATTTTCTGTTGGCTTGATAGGACGCATCTGTTTTGACACTTCAGGATGCGTCAGGAAGAATCATAGCTAGGGCATTTCCAGACCAAGACACCAGGTGGAACTGTGAACTGTGATTGGCGATGTCACTGAAAAAGAATCGTCGGTTAAAAAAAAAAATCGCCAGGACTGTGCGCAAAGCGTAGCACAGTCACAGTGAAAGCTGGAACAGCGTTGTTTCAGGTGCTTTTTTAACACTGTTTGGTTAGTTGCTATTAACACACTTGCAGGTTACTTTCTACACCATAAATTATCAGAATTTTTGTGTAGTAGAGTTGGTTGGTTGGCCCTTTCATGCTTGCCGCTACCCACCACAATGTATCGGCTATGAAATGGACGCTACCTTATCTTAGAAATAAAGTTGTTTTACTAATCGAATACGTTTAGATAGGGAAACTGGTAAAACACAGATTAAAAAAAAGAATAAGTAAACTAAGAGCAAAAGAAAGCCCAACAAGCTAACAGGGTTAAAAACAGAGGTAATTGATGCCTATGCTTAACATTATATTCGTTTTGTTTCTCATAGAAAATCGCATACAGCTTTGCGAACGTTGCTGTGGCTACAGCCCGTGTTAGTTGCTCCTAAAAAGAAGACCACCGGAAGGGATAAATTTAAAGCTAGCCTATGGTGATGTTCTTCTAACAGTCTTTTCCTTTTATTTGCAAATAGCTTGCATGTTAAAAGAAAACAATGCAGACATTCACTCTCGTTGCAGTGGAGGCACAAGGGTGACTGTACCAGACCGGACTTGTGTAGGTAAAAATTCAGTGGAAGGACTCAGAATCGTAGTCTCGTAATTGATATTTCCGCCCTTCTAGAAGAGCACCATCGATTTTTTCAAGGAAACTTAAGATGAGAAAACTCGGATGTTGCCAAGCAAGACTTTGCAAAGTTATCCGATGTGGCAAATTTTTCAAATCGTGCCACGGAGATAAATGCTAGCGTCGGCAATAAAGAAGTTATGGGGCCATTATGTGAGGCCACTCCAAGTGCATATTCATTGAAGGTTAATTCCTGATAATAAGGTAATACCTGATACCCATACAAATCGAACAAGACGTAAATGTCTTGGACAAGGGCCTAAAACACTTCTAAAGCATACAGCATATATTTGGTGCAGTTAATGAAAAACAGACAGGCAGTCTGTAAGAATGACTGCATTTGTTATGGATAGAAGCGATTTCGGTAGTGCTAAGACAATTGCAAGTTATGCCACTTGATCAATAGATGTAAAATCAGGTAAAGGAATTGAAAAAGACCACTCCAATGGTGAACATGCAATTCCCACTCCTGCCTTTTCTTGACAAACAAGCATCAGTTGCTATTACAATCTTCAATTTTAATCTTGCCGGGTGGTTTTTCAAAATGGCCTTCAAGTACCTACCAGAAAGATCTTTGCGATTCTTGAAAATATATTGTCGAATCCCATTTTAATTGTTTGAAAGGGTCTCCTTAGTACCAGAACTTCATGCTTTACTTGCAATGTCTCCAAGAGGTTCTGTGTGGCGATGATTTGTTGTGATCCTTGTTGTGATCTCATAACAGCTTTTGCTGTAAAAGGTCCTAGAAGCAGGGAGGGGCATGTGGAAAATAGGGGTGCTAATGAAATCGGCACTGAAAATTTGCATAACTTCAAAGCAGCAATGTCAATGACCTATGATAACTCTTGAGGTTGCTCTGTTGGAAGGTAGAATGGGACTGTTTGAGACTAAGACCTAATGAGCCGAGTACAAACAAATAGAAACACTTTATGGGGCACAGGGGGACGAGGATGGTAATGCTGAACACCTGATACTTCTCCGTAATAGGCTTCGCCCCACAGCCTAAAGAAATGGTTCTGAAATATTGAAGTTATTGAAAGTATTGAAGTATTGAAAGCATTGAAGTTTTAGGGACAGTGAAGGCAAAGCTGATTTTACGATGGTAGAAATGAAGTCATGTAATAGGTTGCTAAAACAAAGCTGCAGTGAAATTTAGTTGTTCATTACATATAGTTAATACTACTTCACTACAAGTTGAAGCTATAGTGATATGAGCCACCACCCATTCAAAAAGGTCAATCCTTCATGTTATTTGGATGTTCCCTTGCATAAAACTGCATAATGTCTTAATTCATGCGTACCATTCCGTCTCACAGAGATGCTTGCTTTTAAAATCATACAGCCAACAAATATTATTTCAAAGCTGTTTATGAGAGAAATGTTCCCCTGAGTGCTGACCAGGCCAATTACTGTGCCCTGTATCAACTAAATTCACTCAGTGCCTGCAAGTTTTCCTTTATCCTCGCCTGATTGTTCTGTGCCATGATTGGAGAGCTACAAACTCCCTAGTAGCCACCGTACAGCTTCCTGAGATTAAATCCTTCGCTGTAGAATTCTTGTTGTTGACATCGTGATGTACGTGCGAGCTTGTTTTATGGCAGGTCGGTCACGTGAGCTTTCCTCTCTGTGCAGATGATGAGGATAGCGACCACAAGTCCACCATTAGCTACAAGGAACGCAGAAGGGAAGCCCACACACAGGCTGAGCAGAAACGCAGGGATGCCATCAAAAAGGGCTACGACGACCTACAGATGCTGGTGCCCACATGCCAACAAGACAGCACAAACTCGTTCAAAATGAGCAAAGCAACAGTGCTTCAGAAATGTAAGTGTCCACGTTTCGCACAGCCTCATCGAACTGTAATTTCAGTGTCTGAGCAGTTTACTGGTATTCACTTGATCCAGGTTAATAACCTGAGTACTAGTTTAGGCCTAAATGTTGTGAGTTTAAAGAGTGAGCCATGATGGTATGACTTGACACAACTTGAACTGTGCTTGTCGTATGGGATTTTATGTTGAAGCCGTGGTGAGAACCAGTATACAATCAAGCCAAGAGAAGTATTAAGAGAAGCTATTTTTGATAAATATGTTATAGATGTCAAGAAATCAAAGCGCGCAACAAGACAACTTGCCGCCAGCAGGTACTGAACCTGGAACCTTCGAATAATGCATCCGATATTCTGCGGCAGTCCTACTCCTGTACACTTCAACCATTTCCGATAAAGTGTACAAGAGAACGACCGCCACAGCAGCTTAACCGCCACTGGTAGCCGCCACTGACCGCCACTGACTGCCACTGGTAGAGCATCAGACGAGTTATTCGATGGTTGCTGGTTGAATCTCTGCCAGCGGCTAGCTGTTTTTTTGTCCACTTTGGTTTCTTCAAGTTTATTTTGTAATTAGTACTACAAAGAACATCCGCTGTACTTTCCTTGGCTGGTTTTCTTATGGGTTCTCTCTAGGATTGTGTCTTGTATAGAAAAACAAGCTCATAAAATTCCTCCTTTTTTGTTCATGTATGTTGGAGGGACACTGAAGGGCAGCATTAAATCAGTTTACACTGGTAAGTTATATTAGAGTACTGTGTTGTCATTAATGTGAATTCCACTGCAAATTCAACACGGTAATATCAGTGTGACGCCGGGAATTTCGGTCCTTTAGGCATACTTTGGCCATGTTGTTTCATTGAACATATCTGGAAGTTGGCTATGTTAAGCATCGTTTGAGCACAATTCAACTCATGTTTAGCAACAAACAATCATGTAGACGGCAGCAGACGCCATCAAAATATATGAAGTCATGTGGGGCTGATGCATGAGTGTCAAGGCGATGTCAGCAGCTGCATTTTCTCTCTTTGCACGTTTTCTCACTTGCCAAGCACCTCTTGCTGTAAGGGTGGTGCCTTCGGTGTTGTGAAAGAGTCAATAACCTATACAAACAAGATTCTTTTCCTCTTTAGTGTCCCTTTAATGTGGCCAATGTCATACTTTCTTTTTGGTGGTGCCAGTGACATTCAACGCTTACGTCACTTATGTAATTTTGGGAACTGTTCGTCAACTTCATGTTGGAAGTGCCTTTGAGTTCTGATCCTTTAGCTTGCCTCTGTGCTTGCTTTTAGTGTCTATACAGTGCTGTGTTGTCATCACTGGTTGGTGTACCCTCCTTACTTGTGATGTGAGCATCATTTCTGTACAGACTCAAAAGCTTCATGAGTTGCTTTTGCACTCAAGCACTTTTTTTTTCTTCTACAGCCATAGATTACATAACATTCTTGCTACAACAGAAAAAAAAACATGAAGAGGAACTCTCTGCTCTGAGGAAAGAAGTTGTTGCCCTGCAAATAATGAAAGTGTAAGATTTGTTTTAATGTTGTTCAGTCATTCAGTCATTTTGTTCAGTCATTTTGACTGAACAAAATGACTGAAAATGTTCAGTCATTTTGAGTCATCTTGCCACATCAGTCATCTCGTTGGCTCGTTCTAAATTTTTTTTTTCATCCTCAGTAACTACGAGCAAATCGTCAAAGTACACCAAAGTCAACCTGGCCAAAACAAGAATCATATCAGTGATGAAATCAAGTTTCAAGTGGTATGTGAGAACCTCATTGAGCTTGCCTTTTCATAGCTTTTCCTTGTGGGTTGGCCATTGCCTTTGAGCTGGCAGGAAATGTTTTTTGGTGACTTGGTTCAGTAAAACCTCATTAGTTCGAAGGTTGTCGTGGTTATTTCAAAATACCATTTAATTCAAAGGTTTAATTTGGTGCCGTATATTGAAATGCAAGTTTGAGTGGATAATTTGAAGCAATGGTCAGCATGAGTCTGGTTAATTAGAAGACTTTGGATGCCATGTGCCGATGACCGATGCAGATTTTGCCGCAAATCTGCAAAAAACAACAGCCCTTAGTAGCCACAAGCATTACTAATGTGTGACAGGTCAATCACCCCAGCCTTGCTGCTGCCAGTAAAACAAAAACAACAACAACAAAAGACAGTGGTCCTGTGGTCAGCTAAAAAAGTGCGTGCAGAAAAAACGCGCTTCACTGCAACACAGTAGTGACACGCAGGCAGCAGACTGCATGCGTCTCGCAACGTCAGTGCATCGTGATCAAATTATTCCTTCTGGGATTGTAAAGAACTAAGTAAACGACAGTCTGATGGAATTAACAATGTATGCGACTATTCAATGACCCATTCAAAACACATGGCGTATTTCATCGCACTGGCCATTGTTACATTGTTTATTTTACCACTAGCCCCGCCGTGGTGGTCTAGTGGCTAAGGTACTCGGCTGCTGACCCGCAGGTCGCGGGATCGAATCCCGGCTGCGGTGGCTGCATTTCTGATGCAGGCGAAAATGTTTTAGGCCCGTGTGCTCAGATTTGGGTGCACCTTAAGGAACCCCAGGTGGTCAAAATTTCCGGAGCCCTTCACTACGGCGTCTCTCATAATCATATGGTGGTTTTGGGACGTTAAACCCCACATGTCAATCAATATTTTAACTCTAACAATGAGTGAATGTTTGCATCATGACGCAAACGTGCATTTCAGCTGACTTTTTTTTTTCCCTCCTTGCTTGCAGCGGCGATGCCTGCCATACACCGGTGCTTTCGTCAAAATTATGACTAGGTATTGCTGGAAAGCATAACCCTTGGAGCTTCACACCTCTGTATATTTTCAGTAATTCGAAGTTCCTTGCATCTCACTTTCTGTATGTTTACTGATTTTATAAGCTGCTTAAATTCTCAGATTTTTCACATTCCCAGCGACCTTCAGTTAACGAGGTTTTACTGTACTTGTACACTTTTGTATTTCATAAATTATGCTGTTTCCCTTTACCAAACACTTCAAGAAACTAGTGAGTTATATTGAAATACTTACGTCTTATAAAAAATGCAGGATTACTTTGTACATAAGTGGTTCAGTGCAATCTGGCATCGGGAAAATAATTTTCTTTTCGGTACAGACTCCATTTCTAGAAAAACATTGAGCTTTCAACTTCCTCAGTAATAATTGCTTATCATTAATTTGATTAGAGTTGGTTTTCAGAACAATGAAAAACTGAGAGCAGGTTTCAACGCAACAAAAACAGAACTATGTATGCTATCCCATTGTTTCCCACTTAAGGTAGGATTGTAGGTATCAACCTTGGTATTGTCTGATAGTATATGGGTAAAAAAAGTCATTGCCTTATCCACAAAGTGAATGACGTAGGGGAGCTTGCTAGAAGGTGCACGGGGCATTTCTTGGCAAGACCATTTCTTTAGGAAGGCTTGTCAACGAGCCGGCGTATGATGTGTACATCGAAGGCAGCGTTGTAGGGCACATTTCGCGACTGGGACTGCACAGTGTGGGCCACGTTGATCGGCTTGTTGGCCACCTGCCCCTTTATGCCATACTGGCCACTGCCGTGAGTCAAATGCCCAATGCTCATAAATGGCAGACGTGGAGCTATCAGGGATTCTTCAGCGGGGTTGAGAGCAGACAGGTTAGAGAGCTTGGGAGGATATGAGTACCCGGTTGTAACACTCATCATTGGAACTTGTCACGGGCTGCCATGCCTACGAAGGGAGGAGAACAAAGTGGATGTAGTTGCAAGGAGGTGAGTGCGCAGGCCATCGAAAACTTATGCCTTGTAGTGGTGCCGCGCTATCTAGCTAGCATTGTTGGAATCATCAGAAAGTACGCCAAGAGCGACAACCGTAGGAGTATGCGCCAGCCGCTGCCGCCGAACAAGGCGCGAGCATAAAAAGCTTGCTGGGCAAGCTCCTAAAACAGGTTCTCTCGCAGCTTCTTCCTACAGGCAGTGTTAAGTGCTTTTATAGTGGTAAAACAAACATGAGCAGGTAAAGATTGGGCGAAAGCTGCCACGGCAAGCAATACAGTAAAAGCTCGTTAATTCGACACCCGTTAATTCGGAAATTCGGATCATTCGGACGGCTTTATTGGTTCCGGCCAAAGTGCATGTTAATCTATGGGACGAAACCTTCGTTATTTCGTCGGAATTCGGCTCTGCACTGCTTAATTCGGACAAACGCTGAAGGCTGCTGCTACACAAAAGTGTGATAAAGCAGCGCTGGCACCACTGGAGTGAAACCGAAACCTGAGTGGCATCGCCATCATCATCAACTAGTGGGGGCGACCGCAGCGTCACCGAACGTCGGCGTTTTCTTTCTTCTCTACTCAGCGCCTTCGACGCCATTTTCCCTTGTGTTGTCGTGTCGTAACCATCTCTTCTTGCGGAGTTCTCTTTTTCTTCCATTGTGACCGTATTTGCATGCCACCACTATCATGCGCTACAGTGATGGCAACGCTGAAAAAGCGGCAGAACTACGACGCGAAAAACTTGACGACTAAAGTGGAAATTTTGGAAGCACTGAAGAACGACGAATCGCGACAGCAGGTTATGACCAAGTACAACGTGAAGCGGAGCACGTTGGGAACGTACGTGAAAAATGAACAACAGATTCGACAAGCCTTCAAAAGCGAGAAGTTTCATGCCTCTAGAAAGCGGTTGCGTACCGCAGCTCATCCCCAGCTCGAAGAAGCGTTGCTCCGGTAAATTACTGACTGTCGCAACGCGCATCTGCCTTTGAGCAGACCTCTCATCATGGCGCAAGGTGAGAAGTACGCTGCAATGATGAACATTGAATCGTTCAAAACGTCAGAAGGGTGGTTTGCGAGGTTTCGAGAGAGACACGAACTTGTCTTCAGGAGTGTGTGCGGCGAAAAGGCCAGTGTTGACGAAAGCGTGACCACCAAGTGGAGAAATGTGAAGCTGCTGGAGCACATCGCCGCATATGAACCACGTGACGTGTTCAATGCAGATGAAACTGCTCTATTTTTCAGAGCTCTGCCCGACAAGACGGTGACTTTCAAAGGGGACGCGTGCATTGGTGGCAAGAAGTGCAAGCAAAGGATAACTGTGCTTCTTGCCGCCAATATGACTGGCACGGAGCGCTTGCCACTACTTGTCGTCGGGAAGGCGCTTAAGCCACGTTGTTTTAAGAACGTCAAAAGCCTTCCTGTCGAGTACACAGTGAACAGGAAGGCATGGATGACATCGGACATTTTTCGCGGCTGGCTGCAGCAGTTGGACCGGCACTTCACCTCGAAGGACCGCAAGATAAATATGGTTGTTGACAACTGCAGTGCCCATGACTGTACCGTCGAACTGAAGAGCATCAAAGTAGTCTTTTTGCCGCCCAACACTACATCTGCTCTTGAGCTGATGGACCAGGGTATCATTCACTACATGAAGTAGAAGTACCGCAAGCACCTGCTAGAGCGAATAATCCTATGCTCAGAAGCTGGAAAGTTGTATCAAGTGGACTTACTCGGCGCAGTGCACATTATTGCCCACGTGTGGAAAAACACTCCGCCGCAAGTCATCGCCAACTGTTTTCGGCACAGCGGTTTTGTGAGGCCCGAGCATGCAGCAGTAGCTGACGATGGCATCGAGGAGGTGTCAGCTGAGTCCGCCGACGATGACTGCCCGACTTTCGATACTGTCCTTCTCACAGATGTGACCTTTCAGGACTACATCGCGATTGATCATGGTGTCGCCATGAGTGGTTTTCTGACCGATCAAGAGATTATTAATGATGTCACGGGCAACCATGAAGACCATGATTCGGACGAAGAATTATGCGAGGAGATACAGCCGCGACCTCATCGCACCTCACGGGAAGTCTCGGAGGTGCTGTTAATCTTAGAGGACGCTTGCCTGAACACTCCCGACAGCTTGCGTACTGTTGGCCATTTGGAACAGTTAAGAAAAATTGTGATGTCAGCCGGAATCTGCGCGAAAACGCAGATGACAATTACAAAATACTTCAACAAATAAAGGTATGCTTCTGCAGCTTGATTTTAAATGTTGTTTTTCCTGTTCATTCATTAATTCGGCATTCGGTTAATTCGGACAGTTTTTCCGGTCCCGTGAAATCTGAATTAATGAGCTTTTACTGTATTTGCTCTCAATTGTGTATGACTCATGCATGTTTTCATTAACATGATATCTAGTGGCTCGGAAACATCGTGTGCCCACTTCGTTTTTAGTACACTGAACATCAGTGCCAAAAGGTTGTGTTTTCTAGGGACACATGATCCAATAAAATGTAATAAAAAAACTGATAGAGGCAGGAAATTTTTGGAATATTATGTGGGAAGTAAGATTTTATGGGTGGTATATGCAAATGGCAGTAGTCATTTGCTTACAAACAGAAGTGTGTTCTGATTGGACTAAATCCACATGTGACCAAAAGGTCACTTGCTGGTTTTGATCACTCTCTGTTGTAGCACTCGTGTGTAGAATGTCGGAGAAAAAGTCCTGTCCCAAAGAGAATATTCTGGCCTCCTTGCTGCTTCAAAATTTCAGATGTGTCGCTTTTCAAAACTACTGTTCGGGCAGTGTTACTTATTTTGTGCGTATTATGAACCCGCAAATATTTTTGGGCCCGACATGTCAACTCCGTGAGCTTCGCCACATATCCCTTCCTGAGCCCATGACTAATGTAAAGGACATAAGAAAAAAAAGTTGTACAGAAGACCAAGCAAAGCTGAAATCAGAACTGAAACCACTTTTTCAACTTCCCTAAGAAGCGAACAATATCTTTTCAATGTAGTTCCTCACTCTGCTGCATTTTCTTATGTGGGCACCTCACAGTAATGGCAACATCCGTAAGACAACTTATGCTTTCTTCGCACTCATCTATGCAAAGTTATTTTAGGAGCTATCTTTGCCGCTTCGAATAATTTAAATGATGTGAGATAGCTGTTGTCCTTTTAAAACAATGTTGTCAGCAATTCCTGGCGCACTGCTGACAATCGACCGATCTGCTACGCCTGCGGTACTCCAGGACACGTGGCACGATATTGTCGTCGTCGCTTCCAGTCGCAACACAACACTACTTGGCCGTTACCGTATGACCCGCAGCCCACGCACCTACCTGCTCCCTATCCTTCACCGCAGTATGGCTACACTAATCTTCCCGAGTCTCAGTCACCCCAGCCCCCAGCTCCGACTCACTCTCCCTGTTCGCCGTCTCCTCGCAGGCGATCGCTGTCCCCAATGCGTCCCCGACCCGCTTCCTCCAACCGGGAAAACTGAACGCCGCAGTTTCAGAGGCAAGAACTGCACCGTCATCGAAATGCCAAAGTCCTCGCACTTCACCTGCTAACGTCGTCGCCATATCTGTCGATGGTGTTTCTACCTTTGCCCTCATCGACACAGGTGCTGCCGTTTCTGTTATAGCCGCCCAACTCTGCCGCTCCCTACGCAAAGTGACCATGCCGCTCTCTGGACTATCGCTTCGTACGGCTAGCGCACAACCAGTTCGACCTCTCGGCACCTGTACAGCCCGCATTTTCATCCAAGGCTCTATGTACGTTGTCGAGTTCATCGTCCTTTCGGTGTGCTCGCATGACGTTATCCTCGGGTGGGACTTCTTGTCACATCATCATGCCGTCATCGACTGCGCAAGCGCTGAAGTTCAATTTTCGCACCTGTCTGGCGAACCTTTGCACGAAACTCTTGAGCGGTCCCCAAAACTCGTCATGCGTGAAGACACTGAAATTCCGCCAGCCTCTCTTGTCGTTGTCCCTGTTTGCTGCGATGACCATAACGACGCTACAGTAATGTTTACACCTTCCGACATTTTCATGAGCCGCAGAGCCATTTCCTTGCCTTTGGCTACACTCGACGTCACTGCGGGCCGAAGCAATATTTTCGTCCACAACCCTCTTTCTGCACCGCTTACGCTACTTGCCGGCGAATGTCTCGGTCGAGTGGAGTACCTCGATTCCTCTTTATTCCTTAACATGCCAGACGAATCGTGCAGTAGCGCCTCGACCGAACTTCATGCCCTTTCTCCACTGGAATGCTCATCGAGTGACACCTTCTCGAGTTCCATCGCCGACACCTTAAGTGCCCATGAACACGCCGAGCTTCTTAATCTCCTCCAGCACTTCGCGAATTCATTCGACGTTTCTCAGCCGCAATTGGGTCGGACTTCCGCAGTGCACCACTACATTGACACCGGTTCACACCAGCCATTGCGTCAAAAACCTTAGCGTGTCTCTGCTGCAGGACGTCACTTCATCAACGACCAGGTCGAAGAGATGCTATGCCGTCGCGTTATTCAACCATTGCACAGTCCTTGGGCATCTCCTGTCATTCTAGTTCGAAAGAAGGATGGATCGATTCGATTTTGCGTCGACTACCGGCGATTAAACAAGGTGACGCGGAAAGACGTCTATCCATTACCGCGCATCGACGACGCCCTTGACAGCCTACAAGGAGCCGAATTTTTCTCCTCCTTAGACTTACGATCTGGATACTGGCAGGTTCCTATGGCAGAAGCTGATCGCCAGAAAACTGCGTTCATTACACCAGATGGCCTGTACGAATTTAACGTAATGCCATTTGGGCTTTGTAATGCTCCTGCCACGTTTGAACAACTCATGGACAACACACTGCGTGGACTGAAGTGGTCTGTGTGTCTATGCTACCTCGACGACATTGTCGTTTTCTCTCCCGATTTTCCTACACATCTGCTTCGGCTCCAACTGGTTCTGACGTGTTTAACCAACGCTGGGCTCCAACTGAACCTTAAAAAGTGCCGCTTCGCCGCGCGAGAGCTGCCATCTTAGGGCACATCGTGTCCAAGCATGGTGTTCGACCCGACCCTGCAAAACTGCGAGCAGTCGCTGAGTTCCCGAAACCTACTACACTGAAAGAATTACGCAGTTTTGTCGGACTATGCTCGTACTTCCGGCACTTCGTGTGAAATTTTGCGTCGATCATGTCACCACTGACCAACCTCCTACGCGGTGATGCAGACCTTTCATCCTGGTCTTCTGACTGCGACGTCGCGTTTGCCACGCTTTGTAGTCTGCTAACATCTCCTCCAATTCTTCGTCATTTCGAACCAACAGCTGCAACAGAAGTTCACACAGACGCTAGTGGGGTTGGTCTAGGTGCCGTCCTCGCCCAACGCAAGCTGGGCTACTCCGAATACGTCGTCGCTTATGCGAGTCGCACACTTACTAAAGCTGAGGCCAATTACAGCGACACTGAAAAAGAGTGCTTGGCACTAGTGTGGGCACTTCGCAAGTTCCGCCCTTATTTGTACGGTCGCCCATTCGACCTGGTAACGGACCACCATGCACTTTGTTGGCTCGCCACATTGAAAGATCCTTCTGGCCGCCTAGCTCGGTGGGCACTGCAAATCCAGGAGTACGACATTTGTGTCATCTATCGCAGCGGACACAAGCATTCTGACGCCGACGCCCTGTCGCGTTCGCCTTTACCTCCCGACTCGGCCTGCGGAACCACTGGTACCAACTTCCGTCGCATCTCTCGACCCTCGACTCCTTTACCAGTGAACAACACAAGAACCCTTGGATCGCTTCCCTTTTTAACTGTCTCTCTGGATCGTCAACCACTGCGGTACCATGATCTCTCCGACGTCAAGCTGCTCATTTCGCCATTCGTGATCGGCTGCTACACCGACGCAACCTACGCCCCCGAAGGTCGTAAGTGGCTCTTGGTTGTCTCGCGCAGCTTGCGATCACAAATCTGCGCCTCCTTTCACGACGATCCTCAATGTGGTCATGCCGAAATTTTCAAAACTTACGAACGCATTCGCGATTGCTTCTACTGGTGCGGAATGTATAGTTTTGTTCGAAAATTCGTTATGGGCTGCCTTGACTGTCAATGCCGCAAATCACCGCCTTTCCACTCGTCCGGTGCGCTTCAACGCTTCCGTGCACTGCCAAACCTTTCGATCGGATCGGAATTGATCTCTATGGCCCTCTACCGACAACATCAGATGAAAATCGTTGGATCATAGTCGCTGTGGACCATTTAACACGCTACACTTAGACCGCCGCCCTTCCAAGTGCCACTGCGCGGGACGTAGCATCCTTCATCCTTCATCGCTTCATACTACGACATGGTGCACCTCGAGAACTACTAAGCGACCGAGGTCAAGCCTTCTTATCAGAAGTCGTCACGTCTCTGCTTTCTGAATGCCATGTTGTTCATTGCAAGACCACGGCATACCACCTGCAGACTAACGGGCTCACGGAAAAATTTAACCGCACCCTTGGCGATATGCTCGCCATGTATGTGACACCCGATCATACTAACTGGGATCGCATTCTTCCATTCATCACGTTCGCATATAACACCGCGGCACAGTCTACCACTGGATTTTCACCTTTCTTTCTTCTTTATGGACGTGAACCATCCCACACCATCGACACTCTCCTTCCATACCGTCCCGACACATTCGAATGCCCATCTGTGTCCGAAGCTGCCCGAAATGTGGAAAAGCGCCGTGAACTCGCACGCACCTTTACGTCACAAGAACAACAGCGCCAGAAAGAAAACAACGCCGACTCTTCACAAATGCTATTGTGATGGGATGCTATTCACAAATGCTTCATGGGATGCTATTGGTGCCCATTGGATACCAATAGCATCCCATGAAGAGAAAAAAAAGAAAAGCTAGTAGGAAGCTTTGTGCCATAAAAAATGCAACAGGAGCATCCTGGGGATTTTACCGAGGGCATTTAGAATGAGTAGGTAGCAGCTTTGATAGCATCCAAGTGCCATGTGCGACAGTTGTCTCAGAGAAACATTTTCTTTCTGTTTCACCTGTCAAGATAAATCATTCTTTTCTAGGACAATTAACCTTCTGACATGTCCAAACATAACATCTTTTCAAGAAAGAGAGTGGAAGTTATGTACCCATAAGTGCTGCAAATAAACTCCCGAGTCTTGTAAGCGTGACATGGTTCTGTCGTGCACTTGCCACGTGCACGAGAGGCGCAGCGAGCAATGGCAATACAAAGGACAGAAAGGATTTACTGCTTTTGAAAAAGTTTATCCTATATAAATAGAAGAGCCGTAGTTGCCTTTTTGCAATCGCTTCAGCATCTATGAAAAGGCTTAACTGAGAGCATTTTGCAAACCTGTGCAAAAAATTTAAAAAAGTACTTCATTCATAGCATGTATGGCTTTACTATGGTACTTCTTGAGGTCATATGGAAGACCACCTGAGGAATAAAATAACATAACATATGAGCTTCCAGTTTAGCACTTTCGGATGCTAGTTGTATTAACAGTTTCTCTGAAAACTGTGTTGTGAATCTGCAGTTTTTTTCAGGTATGTCAAGTATTTCACACTCACGTGTGCAAATTTAAAATCAGTAAATGAGTTATTACACTGCTTTTCAATACACTTACCAAGAGGCATGCCCTTAGCTCAAGTGCGATATGACTTCAATGAGGCCATTTTTTCTTATTTCTTTTCACTTTTACCAATTCAAGCTTCTTCTCTTAACATTTATTTTGTTTCACGTCGTTCAGTTCCAGGCGATTGGAGACTCCCTGTTCCAGACGTTCAACTCGTCAATATCGGTTTCCAGCTTTGCTGAACTGTCTGCTTGTGTGTTCAGCTGGCTTGAAGAATACTGCAAGCCTCAAACGCTCAAGGATGTTGTGGTTCAAATACTGTCCCAGCTGAACCAGACGATGGGGTCACAGCAATCATAGCATTCGCGGTCGGCATGGATGGAGCTGGCGCTCGGCATGTAGCATAATCTTGAGGGTCTTCTTATCTAAGGGAAGATTTTTGTTGGGGCTTTTCAAAAACAAATTTTTCCCAGTCCTTTCAATGTGTGGTTGTCATGGTTGCGAGTGCAAAACAGTGATTTAGTCTATAGTGATTTCAAGCACTAATTTCATGCAGCAGGCAAACATTTTTTTGTTCTGAGGAGGGCGAGCCACTTAGATGACTTCGTTGCAAGTACAAGTAGAACCTCAGAACCTGCTCATACACAACATGACAATATCTTTGTCATCTCTGATATTAATTTTCGGCTTACATGCATATAACAGAGGACAAACAGATGCGAGCAAGTTGATCTGAAAGATAGGCCACCCACATGATACTTGCAGCATGCCACTCTTAATTGTAATGACTGGTCAGTTGCCTAAAGTGCTAATTAGTAAATGCATGTTACACCACCTCTAAGTGTGCAACCATGCAATCGGTGTGACTAGCCAGATCTGTATACTGGCTGCTGCTTGAAAAGCTAAACCATTGGCTGATAAGCGCTCTTTTTTGTTATACTGTTCTATATTGAGTTCCTCCTGCTGAGTGCTCGGCACTTTCGCTGGCAGAATGCACACCCCGAGTCTCTTAGTCAACAGATGATCAGTTCACTGTAAGTGATACTGTTTTGGACCTGGGCTGAGTAGTTTTGTTATAGCAATAGAGAATTTGTGTAAATAAAGCAGGAGCACCCAAGTTTTAGATATGCATAGTTACAGGCAATAATTTATTCATCTTGAAATTTTTGCACAAGTGCACAGGAACACAGAAAGGAAGACAAACGGGCACTGTCTTCCTTTCTGTGTCCCTGGGTGCTTGCGCAAAATTTCAAGATGGATATGTTCCAACTAGGTCGAATCGCAGCTTTGCTTCAATAATTTATTTGATCTTTGTACCATATTTTCCAGACAATTATTTACATCCTTTGTGCAGATTGAATGGGCAAACTTTGAAAACTGGTTTTCCGGCTTGTTTGCAATCATTAAGTAGTTGGGAAGCTAATCATTTTGTTGTCCAGGTAGCAAAAGAGGGATGTTTATCAATCTGCATCTAGGAGCTAATTCTAAAATCTGCTTAGTTTTCTCAGGGCTGCCAGAACAAAGCTTGTCAGGCTGGATGAACAGCTATTCATCATTTTTGTCTTCAGATTTTTCAGCTCTTGTGCTTGCTGAACTGCACTTGGTTGGAAATAGGCCATAAAAGACTTTCTTTTCAGGCAGCATCACAGCTTCTTTTTGTACTAGTAGGAAGTTTAGCATATTGCGCCTTATTTAGTGAGCTTTTATGCACAAGTTTGCAAGTTTAAGCACTGAGAGCAGCCACTATGGCATGCGCCTATTTTTTCTTGTATCACGAGCTGCCATTGTCAGCTGGGATTCTTGCTTATCCACAGCAGATGTTATTGTACGTTGCTTTTGCTTAGTGATGTAGCGGCACGATGCACTGGTGCATCTAATTTTGCCTTTTCTTCAAGCACATCCCTCATTCTTGACACTTTGCACCTGTGAAATTCCAGCTTTTAGTAGTGTACTCCATTGACTATAGTCTCAGAAATAAGCCATGTTACTGAATGTTGGTGGTTCAACCAGTTTGTTCTGTGTAGTGCATGATCTGAAGCCTGAACTATGTACTTGTCCTGTATAATTGGCATTAATTACAACTAGACACTGCCGCTAATTGTGCGAGATGGTTTTCCTATGACAGCTTCAAATATACGAAAGTATATTTTGGGGTGCACATTGACCCTGACAATATTTGTCAAGGCTTTGGCTTTTGCAGTGTAATTAAGCAAAAAAAAAAAGGTACAGGACAAAACACTTGTCAAGTTCTTGTTGTTGAATCTTGGAATCTGTATTCTTGCTGGTGCAATCCTGAGTAATTTAGCAAGAATTCTATTTTGGCGCTCGTTTAATTTGTAGGTGTAGGTGAAAATTTTAAGGGGGGGGGAGCTCATGAAGGAGCAATTATAGGAAACACTTCCAAGATGCTGCACTTACGGACATTCACACTGTTGACTATCGGGAAAGATTTGTATGGCCCATTCAGCTTGGTAGATGATCTTAGCATGTTCAAGCTGGCACAATTTGTTTGGCACTGTGCGATCATGTCACTGAAATACTACGAGTTTAATGATATATTACAGTTTTCTTTTTTTTTCAGGATAGATGTTTTATATGTTTGTTAGGAAGCAGGTGTGCATGTGATTTTTATCTATAATAAGTTTGCTACTGTTGCTATTGAAGCTGCTTGAAATTTTATTTGTACTGTGTTCCTTTGACAAATAATAATGTGAAGTATCGAGTTCAAGCGAGAGGAAGCAGTGTTAATTGTCCTGTGTTGCTGCACAAGTTTTTTCTCTCAAGTTCACATTGAATGTAGTTGATGATGCTCAGTCTGCGCTCTGTCATGTCGTTCTGATGTGATCTGCATGTTATATTGTCATATATTCAGGACACACTACGCTGCTGTGATCCAATTTTTTGCACAATGTGATGTGCACTTTATACATGGGTGCTCTCAGAGCACGGTGCCCATACGATGTCGTGTATTAAAGTACAAATTGACTCTTGCTTCCTTCCTTGTCCTTTCGTTCTTTGTGCACCATGTAAAATCCTTTCTACTAATGGGCTGCCCACTGGTAATTATAAACTGTCTGCTTCTAGCTAGCTAATGTCTGCTGAACGTTGTAGCAGGCATGTAAAATGTGTAAATTAGCTGTTATAGCAACTGGACTAAAGAAGGGACACAGACTATGATGATATCCAACAACCATGTGTTTATTCTTTCAGGCAGCATGTATTCCCTGCTCTTTTTAGAAAATATAGCGAAAAACTAAAGCCCATCAAGTACAGAAGTGATGTAGCGAATAAAACATTAATGATATCTCTATTTGAGAAGTGAAAGGTGTGCATGTAGATTTCATGTCTCTGCATTTATATCAGACACGAATGATATCTCTTTTTGAGAAGTGAAAGGTGTGCTTGTACATTATATGTCTCTGCATTGATGTAGATAGTGTTGACACTGAATTCAGGCTATCTTTGGAGCAGAACACATCAATTTCTATGTAGCATCTTTGGCACAAAGGCAATGCTCTGGTAGATTGGAACTGTGAGAGTAGTCTAGGAGGTGCTTTGGCTGTCCCATCTGCTTCTTTTGTGAATTGGTGGAGGGCGAAACAGCCATGTGCAATATAAACAAGTGTGGGAATCTGGACCTTCATTTGATGCTTATGTCATCTCAATTAGTGATGAACAGTTGGGTTCTCGCTGTCGTTTCATGTGCTCTTAAGTAGGCACAATAAAAAATATCCAGTGTTTTCTTACAGTTACAATTGTTTTACTTTCAGAATTTGCAAGGAATGTGCAAGTATTCAAAGTTTCGATTAGGAATTGAAAACTTCTCTTCCTTGAAAGGTGCGATAAAAAAAATGTATATTCTAATTTTCGCAAAGATTCCGTCACTGCCGTCCAATTAAAATATGCAACTGTGCATTCTTCTTTATAAGTTAAGACATTGATAATGTGCGCCCGTTTTAAGCCTGCTACATTTGACACACAGGTGCGACTAATCCCCTACCGAGACTGCAGGCGCTCGTTGAGCTTAGTGTACATTCGCTGACGTTGTGGTTGTCCTGTGTTTACTGTCTGGCACATGCTGCCATTTTCGACTAGTCGCTTAGAGACCATGAAACGGTTTTTGAAGTTTTTGTGAGCGCTTAGGCTACAGCATCATCAAACCATTCGCCCTACAAATTTAGCGACATTCCGTGTACCAAGGGCGCTACAGGCAATTATACACTCCTTTTCATCCCAGCTGTGCCTCTTCATCTCTTGAGTGGGTAGACACGCTAGCAACGCTGGCGATCGCAGAGCTTTCATGAGCGCACTCGACGATTTGAGCTTCATCCAGTCTAGACCTCCGAGATTTCCCGCCGACAGGTTGCGTGCAATCTCGGAGGACATCACTCAGTGCACCCAAGTAACACGCTCGCCGTATGGCAGCAAACACTAAGATAGTGGAGTGGTTGATATCTGCTCCAACAGGTGCCGCCACCCTACCAGTCCATCTTACCTTCAGCGCGCTCCACAGCCAATCAGATCAGCAGCCAGGGTGACATCTTTTTGCCAGGGAATGTCGTCCCGTGAATAGCCGGTTTAGACCGCGTTTTGCGGAGTCAGCTATTTGCAGTGATTTGCAGCTTTAAAGCGTTGAAATAAATTGCACAATTACGCAGAGAGCTCAAATCGGTCTGTAAATGACCCTTAGGGCTTGGTCTACCGACCCAATGTGTTTGCGCAATGTTAAAAAAAAAAAAAAAAGTGAACGTTATTTTCTCTCGACGTTTCCCATCTTTCCGGCACAATTCGTGACGCCAGCAGTTTGTTCACGTGACGTCAAGATGAAATAAGCTCTCGATTGGTCGAAATCCGAGAGTTATCCATCGTAAATTTTCTACCCTGCTTTGCCATGCAGTCACATGATCGTTCTGTTTCGCATCACTATAGTGCGCTACAAACGGATTTCACTTTGTTTACTGCTTTTGCTACAGCGTGTAGTCGAAAGGCGCGAAATCCTGACTCGGCGCTTAGTTCAGACATTTCGCGTGTTAATGAGGAAGTTAGTGGCGAGGAGGAGATAGCGCTTTTAGAAAAGGCTAGAAAGAAACTACTGTTTCGCCTTGGAACTCGGTGTTGTTTAGAGGCTCCTTAAATATATAAAGGTGAACTGCTTCCACTGAGCTCGTGGTATGGCCGATGCGACAATTAATGTTCCACGGAAGCTCTTTCCGGTATATGCAAGGAGAAAAAAAAGTTAATGATTTGGAGTAGAACGCATATGGCTGCAGCGATGCCTTTTCAGGTAAACCAGACAAATACTGCAAAGCGAGACAACTTGGTGACGGCCGCCAATGAACGCATACATACGGTACAGCCTTATCTTGATAAGTAACTCGAACTATCTTTTCGTCAGCGTGTCCGGCGCAGTGCTGTTAGCGTGCTGCACGCTTTTAATAAATGGCAATCCAAATAAATCGCGCTGTCATTCGGTGCCAACCCCCTTTGTTGTGCGGCACCGCAGTACACGTGCGCGTTGATTGCAGACGAAAGCAGTTAGCGATCGACGCGTTTACCCAGCTGTGGGATCTGCGTACGGGCGGACAGGAGAGGAGTGGGTACGAAGAACAGAATTCCCACAGCAAGCGCACGATCATGGTACAGCAAGCACTCTGGAAATAACGGCATGAGCAGGTGACGTTTAGAGGGTCGCTTCATTCGATATCAGGTATGTGTATAACCTCCTTAGTGTAAGTACTGCCTTGTTTTAAACAGCGCCGGCTTTTGTTCATGGCAGATCGTTGTACGAATGCGCAAGACACGTGCACCAGTTAGGTCAAGCCAGACGGGGGCCCGTGCCCCTCTGCCGCCATTTCAGTGCTGTTTCACAGCCCCTTAGCACATAGAAGTATGGACAGCTTGGGCTAGTTGGTATGGCATGGCGATAGCTATAGCGCGAGAACAAAACGACGACGCAGAGACAAGAAGGACACGAGCGCTAACTTCTGGAAGTTATCGCTCGTGTCCTTCTTGTCTCTGTGTCGTCGTTTTGTTCTCGCGCTATAACTATCGCTCTTAGCACAGTTTCGAAATATTCCTTGACTTCGCCGCTGTGCGCTGTCTTGTGAAAGAACCGGTATTTCTATCGCTCCTTAGTAATTAATTGAGCCTAGAGAGACCCTGCAGGTACTTTTATCCGACAGTAACTGTACGTGGCATCGCGTTAATTTCTTCAGCGGTGGTGCACCTCAGGAGGGCCGAGTTTGTACGATGTGGTTGCTGCTCACCACCGTAAAAAGCATAAATATGCTGCTTTCGCAGCACTTGGCAATGTTTCACTGTAATCACTGATAAATATGCATGATGTACGCATCGCGTTTTGGGCTTCGTTCCAGCCTTATTCCGCACGACAAAAGCGCTTTCTTCTTCACCGAGCTTCATTGCGTGCGCAGCTTTTCTGTGCAGTGCAGATGCTGTACTTCCGTGAGCAGTTTCATGGGTGGTTCCGCGTTCCATGAGCAGGTACAACCGTCAGCACCTTTAACTCGAACGCTTCGATGCGTGGCGTCGGCTCGCTTGAACTGAGGTCAGCGCCGCCAAGCGTCGAAAATGATAGGCTTGCTGCAGTTAACGATAGATGTAGTGCGCGTTGGTTTCACTAGTAAATTTATAGTCTGCTCTGCCTGGCCGGTAGGTCAAATGCATTCCCGTCGCATCTCGTTTTCGCCACGTTTCGCTCGTAGCACCGCGCGCGTTCGTTGTACTCCTATCTCGACAATGAACCATTGCGTGCGACAGCTTACACACCTTTACGGTACATTTAGATGATTGCCGTAGGCGTGCGCACGTAGGGGAGAGGGGGGGGGCAAGGTGGCTGGCCCTTGTCAGAGGGAGGGGGTGCAAAGTCTTCTGCATATGGAGGGAGGGATGCTGTGACTAACATTTGGACTCCCTGAAGAGGAGCACTGCGCCCGCCTATAGTGATTGCTATTGCCAAAACTTTTCTGCTGTACTCCCCGCAGCCATCGCTTATCATGAACACTAATATGATGCTTTTGATGAAACAGGACTTCCTTAATTCGCACAATAGGCCAGTGGGTGACATATGTCGCATTCGGTGATAATTGAAATCGAAAGTCCGGCATATCTCTGGCTGAGAAAGGATGCAGTAAATGGAGCGAAACAAAGCTGACATAAAAGAAACTGTGTTTTGGGGGCAAGTCTCTGTTGTGAGCAAAGTCGAGTAATATTTATTGAATGTCTTTCCTGGTGTTGCTACCATTAGATATATTTCAAAATGTCATTTCAATGAATTCTCGGTAGTGTTGAAACTATTCTTGAAACTGCACATGATTGATCTTTTCTCGCTGTGAATCTTACTTAAATAAAAGTGCTACTAGCTTTACTGGTCTCAGGTGGTTTAGAATGGAGGGCTAAGCTCGTTAGAGATATATATGTTATTACGGGTGAGAAAACGCTGGTGGTATAAAGTAACCCATGCACCATAATCTACAGGTTTTCCCGCTCACTTTAATCCAAGTGCCAGACTAAATAATCTGCATGCCATTGAAATAATCTGAGCGCCGAGCTATTTAATCCATGTGCCAAACATTTAATCCAAGCGCCAACATATTTAATCCAAGCGCCAACTCACTCGGGCCGCGTGTCATTGAGTTTAATCCAAAGTGCCACCGTGTTTAATCCAATTGCCAGTGACTTTAATTCAGGTGCCAGTCAGTTTAATCCATGCACTATAAACACACAGTTAGCCACTATATATAGTATAAATGTCAAAATAACATAAACGTGACGTCACAGCAAGAACTTTTCCCTCGGCTATACATGGTAGCGCTTATGAAATGAAGTGCGCAGTGCGACTTGCCCTTAACATTTTGGTGTCATAGCTTCAAAATAAAAAAGAACAGTCAGTAGTAATTGAATTTTTGGGTACTTAAATGTATTTGCTCATAGAGTCCATGTTAGTCTTTATTGCATTGCTACTGCTTCATTCCGGTTAACCATCTACACTATCACATATGCATAGATTAGTGTCGTCTGCTGAGCAGACGGCATTTGGCTACTTATGCGCTGAGGCTACCGCAGTCGTCTGCTCAGCCCAGGGAGAACAGTGACCGACAGATGACATTCATTCGTTCTTGAAATCAGAAATAACCACTTAAAAATACCAAACTTCCATTTATTTGGGTTCATGTGGAAATAAGTTGTTATAAAAGTATCAAAGTAGATACTCCGGTTTTCATGTAACAGACGACGCTTAGTGTAGCTGAAGTGTGTTTACTTGAAACGTGTGTTTTCATACGGGAACATTTGCAGATGAAGAGAGAGCTTTCCTTGAAGTCATGGGTGGACGCAAACGAGGACCACACTTTAAGAACTCCGACGAACCTCTTCGAAAAAACAGCAGAGTATCGGTGGTCAGTAGGGCTAGAATTGTGGACGTTTACAGGCGTGGTGGTGACTTAAATCAACTGGCCGACGCTCTAGGCATCAACATTAAAACAGCAAGATCGATTGCCACTATCGACAGAGAAACATCAAAGCATGGTGGGGGTTCAAAAAGGAAGTTTGGAGATGACGTCGTGAGTACTTTGAGACGAATTGTCGACGAAAACTGTACATTTACATTGAAGCAAATAAAGGAGGCCCTGGAGAAAGAAATGCCAGGAGTAACAATCGGTGCAAGCACAGTCGACCGCTTGCTGGATGCCCACTGCTACTCGATGAAGCTAGTGACGCAGAGGCCCACAGATCGCAACCGTGACGATATCAAACACAGCCACATGCTGTACGCCCAATGGCTGCAGTCGGATGGACCGCGTGTTTGCCGCTTCTATTTGGATGAGACTAACTTCAATATCTGGTGTTCCAGGAACTTCGGCAGGGCAGCTAAAGGACAACCAGCTGTGCACATGACCACAACGACAAAGGGAGTAAACTTGAACATTATAGCATGCATGTCCGCAAGTTGAGTTATTCACTGGACTGTGGTGGACAAAGTTCGTTGGATTGTTTTTAATGACTTCCTCAGTGATGTTTCGGCCCGCGTAGAACGTGATGAGCCAAATGCCGAAGCTGTATTCCTTTTTGACAATGCACCTGCTCACGCTTGAGCAGAACAGGCGGCTTTGGCTAACTCCATGCACTCTATTAAGCGCCTGCCAGCGTACAGTCCCTTCTTCAACCCTATAGAAGAAGCCTTCTCGAAATTCAAGTCACACGTGAAGGCCTACCTGAGCGAACGTCGTAATTTAGTTTTAGTTACACCGCAAGGCATGTCGAAAAAGGAGCACAGGCGTTCTTTGCTGCTGGATGCGACTCGCCACTCCATGCAACAAATACAGCGCGTGGACTGCGCGGCCTTTGATCGGCACAATTTCTCTTTCGTGCCTGCCGCTTTGCGTGAAGATGACTTGTGAACATCCGTCTCCGAGCCGTATGAGACAGTTATGTTTTAATAAATACACTAACATGTGCCTATAGTGCCTTTCATGAATAATTAGTAGTAATCACTCTTGTTTTCCTGTATATGTATATGTATGTATGTGTACACACAGACACACACGTGTGTGTGTGCGCGTGTGTGTGCGCGTGTGTGTGCGCGTGTGCTTGTGTGTGTGCGTGTGTGTGTAGAGATAGAGAGGGGGGACAGAACAAATAATTTAGTCATTGCACTGAATCCGCAAGCTTCCGATGTGCGATGAGAGGCATAATGCCGCGCAAAAAAAAAAAAACACGTATACACAAAAAAAAGATAGCTAGGCCCAAGGTCAGTTACGTGTTATTATCATTTTGTTTCCTCTGTGTTCGTTTCATCGCATTCGTCAAGTACGTCACAAAACTAACAAGCTAAACGAACAATCAGTACTGTTTGTATCATCGGAGACATTTAACTTTGTTCGAATAAAAAATAAGAGCATACAATAATGTAAAATAAAACTTTTGTTGCCACATTAGGATGATCAGTTTACGTTTTATGTTCACTACAGAAAAAAAACATTGGAATTATCTCTAATTCACAGAGCGTGCCGCGCGACGGCTTCCTGATTTCTTGATTATGTAGCTGTCTTTGACCCATCACTGACCGCGACCATGCTTTTAATCTCTTAGTATGCGTTCCGGCACCCCAATAAACATAGTGTGTCGTTCGCATTACCTGACCTGTCCTGGTCATGTTATGTTGTAGTGTGTAACAAAGCTAATTATGAGCTTCAGTGACGGATACTGAATTTCATTGCACTGTGAAATATTCAGTAATATGTTCCTGCGTTTTTTTCGTTTTCATTAAATTTATTTCACCTGGGCCAAGCACTCATTATACAAACTTGCGCATAGCGAAAAATAAGCACTCCAAACATGGCTTAAGCGAACCATGGCAGTAATTTTTTTCAAGAATACTATCGGCAAATACAAATAATAATAATTGATTCCACCTTCCGACTATTGTCTTTTATACCGTAGGAACTGCATTTCAGTTGCACTGCCGTTTTTACGCCCCGTAATCTGGTTTTTGTGCGTGGATTAAACTGACTGGCACCTGAATTAAAGTCATTGGCAATTGGATTAAACAAGGTGGCACTTGGATTAAACTCAATGGCATGCGGCTTGAGTGAGTTGGCGCTTGGATTAAATATGTTGGCACTTGATTAAATGTTTGACACATGAATTAAATAGCTTGGCGCTCAGATTATTTCAATGGCGTGCAGATTATTTAGGCTGGCACTTGGATTAAAGTGAGCGGGAAAACCTGTAGACGCGCTAGTGAAATTGAAGTACAGAAGGATATTATTGTATCACCTTTATTTTTCCCCATAGCCACACAGTCACTAAATTACAAACCTGGTCCAATGTTACAATCAATGCTTTTTGTCAAAATGAAATTAACACAAAAAGAAGCCCATCATTAATTTGTCTCCGTTTCCATATTCACACACACAAAATTCATGTTATAAACAAGCAGTAATCAATGTTACAAATCGTGCTTTTTTTCTCGCAAAAAAAATCTTTCCCCTCATTGATTGGTGTTTGTTTTAACATTCGTTCTACACAAACACATGCTGCACGTGGCTTCACAGCGGTGACGCCCCCTTCGATAGTTCATACATGACGAATCGCAAAACTGGTGTGGCGTGGCTTACAGCCAATTAGCTCACAGTGATGGTATGAAAACGGTAAACTCCAGGAGGGCTCTTCAGGCACTGAAATGACTAGCCCATGTTTTATCGTCGCGATGAGAGATGTTATTGATAGAAAAAAAGTTTGTTGAAGAAAGAGATGAAAGCCATCAATTGAGCGCCCTCATAGCGACGTGTAGTCCCGCTCTCGGTGTAGGGAGGCCGGGTCCGAAGCTTTGTAGGGGCCGTCGTAGCCACGAAGCTCCCGTTGGGTAGATCGCTCAGGCTGCGCAGCAAGAGATGTCATTATAAGTACGATTGTCAAGGTCGTGTAGTATACTATGCGTCTTGTAAGTATTCTCTGAAGCGCGCAAGTAGTAAACAAAATACAATTACCAAAGCATACAAACCTCAAAATATAAGATTTCACTGTTGTTTTCATTGCTGAATTGAAGTCAAGTACTATCGTTCCGGAGCCCTCCACTACGGCGTCTCTCATAATCATATAGTGGTTTTGGGACTTTAAACACCACATATCAATCAATCAATCAATCAATCAATCAGTCAAGTACTATCGTGAGTAATATGAACCCGGATACGAGAGCGCGTCACGAATAGCCTCGAATCCTACATCGACTGATATGCAGTGGCCTAAGTTGGAAACAAAGTGAAAAGGGTGTCACGCTGCGCTAGCTTTTGACACTCGCGCCTTGAAACGGTTGCGGCAGAACCACGGTGCAAGAATACTTTAGGTGAACGAACGTCGTTCAGCGATCGCTTGGCGGAAAGGAACCGATTATGTTCTCATTTGCGGCATGCCGATAGATGGCTCGCAGGACTGAGGATCGTAGCGGGCTGCTGGCAAATTCCGCAAAGCACATCCGGCACATGGGGGACGGTTTCCAAATGTGAGAAAAACTGGGTTATCGTGTGATATCAACTATGCAAGGCTACATGCATAAAGCGGCGCCGCTAAAGAGGGGGTGATAAGGGAGGAGGTATGGCGCGGCGAGGTTGTTGTGGCAGAGATAAATGAGCGCCACTACTTTCTTACGTCACGGGGATTTCCTACACCGAATGAAAGGAAAGGAGAAAAAGCCGGGGCAAAGTTTGTGGCGCCATCTCTCGAGCTTCTTGCGAAGCAGAACATTATCGTGCAGCGGATAGTCCCGGCGTTCACTCACCTAAAGTTTTCTTGCACCGTGTGCTAAACGTGGAGTTTATAGCGTGTCAGTGGTTGCTAGCATTGACATGAGTTCATATCAACGCGCGCAGCCATAACCAATGGCTATGCAGCAACAAATATATCGTCTGTGTCGTAGCCTGCTGTGATGCACGGACCGTGATTTCATTGTATTTAGGTGGCGTTCGCTGATCATTTTGATACGCGTTTTTCACTTTTGTTTTTTGGTGCGTTTTCTTTTCATGCTATCATTGCTAGCAGCCGATGGGAGGCGATCAGCTTCCGTTTCCCAGCCACTATCGTGCGGGAGCGCCAACAATCAGCGGAACAGCGGCCCTCCTTGCCCCTCCGGTTTTGGCAGCGCATCACGTTATCTCGGTTTCGCGGCTGTTTGCCTCGCGCTTGCATGTTTCAGCTCATATTGCTCACGATTGTAGTAGGTAGGTAAGCAACTTTATTGATTCACGAAGGAATCATTTGAGGGGGTTGTGGTAGGGGAAGTGGAAGCAGGATGACGACGGGCCCTCGGGCCACTCTAGGTAGCCGGGCACTGCTGTGCTTTGGCGACCCTTCTGGCCCAGCTCACTGTCCGGAGCTGCAACTCCGGTTGCGAGCTGCGCAGAGCAGCCTCCCATCGCTCCTGGTGTTCTGATCCTTGCCACGGGGGCTCCTGGGTTTGTTTGGACAATCCAGAATCACGATGGTATAAACTATGCGAGGAGCTTGAATAGGGAAGACCGCAAGGTTAAACAGTTTTAATGATAACTTCTTCAAATTATCTGGCAGCTGGCAACCGTGAAAATTTTGAAAGAAAGGGGGGGGGGGGGGGGGAGAGGGAGCTGTTCACAAGCAACATGGCAGTGCAGCACTTGCTGAAGGGAACATTTGGGACAGGGAAGTATACTGCACCGGGTATACTTAAACACGTTTTCACTAGCTATGCAGTAAATTGAAAGAGAGTCGTTTAGAGGCTCATAGAAAGCCATCTATCCTTTTTGATTAGCTAGAAATAACTGAGCAGTAATTGCATCCACTGAAGATCTTGCGTCTTTGCATAAAGGTAATTCGTATTGCTAATGGGCCATTAGCCCAGGTGTGCTATTGGCTAGCTACTTGGCGCCAAATTGGCTACTTTTCGACCCAGACAAAAATTTTAGGCTGGCGCCACAACTACTTTCTGGCTACTTTGAAGTTATTTTTGGCGCTTTTACTAGCCATTCTTTTTTTTCCCCTATTTGGCAATAAAACGGCGAGCAAGTATACAGAATAACGATTATTTGCCAGCTTTTCTGTCATGTTGGCCAACGCGCGCACATGCCCTTGCCCCGTGAGTGGGCCAGTGTGCATCCAGGTCGCTAAACCTTCGTCAAAGACGGAGGGACGCGCGAATGTAAGAAAACGTGTGGCTACGTAGCACAGTGCTTACGCGAGATTCTAATTAGGCTGAAACACTAATCATGCATCAGAGATATTGACAATAACATCGAGCTGAGCTGTTAATCTTCAATGAGATATCGCTACTTGAAGCTGTACTGGTAATATTGTAGCCTCGTACCAATGTAAGTCTACCGCTTCAAGAAAAAAAAAAATACAGCTTCGATGTCTCATGTTCCATAATTGGTTTTGCAAGAACTCTATCGCAGACAAACCGTATGCGGACGAACTGAAATGATAAAAATTTATCAATTTATTGGCTACTTACCTACAGTTTGGAGATTAAGCAAGAATGAATAATATTATGCTCGTTATACAGCACTTTTTCATGTTCGAAATAACAATATTTGCTGTTGAATACTATCAACTCTATGCAAATCATCGCTTTTTTTCCATTTGACTACAAATTTGGCGCTAAAAGTAAATAGCGTGGCTACTTTTGCTGCATTTAGCATGAGTTCCCACTTTTTTTTAAGTCTACCCAACAGCAACCCTGCGTCAGTTGCAGCTGAGCGTAGGCTGCATTTTAGTAGCACTGAAAGTTGGGTAGTTGCATTTAAATAACCAAGTGGTCGTGCTACAGCGCAGAAAGGTGCGTTATTTCAGTTAGTTTAATGTCTGGAGGTTCTTGTCAGTTCTAGAATACATGTAGTAGAAGAAACTAATTATGCATTTGTATCAGTACGTAAGCTTAATCAATTTGTTGCGGCATAGTAGACACATGTAACGCCTACATTAGGTTGCTTACTGTACATGTATAAGTTCGACGATTACTTATTTACCGTATGTACATTCAGGTTTAGAATAATTTATAATTTATCATCATGACTATTCTCACTAAAAATTGAGTACACAGTAATTAACAACGAATGTATTGAGGGAACGTTTAATAGATGCGCAAATTTTTCATATACATTCGAAATATTGAGATCAGCAATGTACTGCTCTATTGACGTACCCGATATGAAAAGTAATGAATTAGAACAAGATCTCATGCTAACAAATATAACAAACTGAGCCAGCATCTTTGATACCCTGAAGATCTAATAATTGTGTAAGAAATAGATGCTTATGTTTTGTAGCTTCAGAATTAGAATAATATAAACAGTGCAAAAAAATGTGCATGATTAGGGTAGTTGGCACAGCCTGGAATAAAGGTCAACGAAAACTCCAGAGGCATGTTATTCTTGCGAACAGCAATCAGGTGTACACTTACGTCTTTCTTGAAGCTAGGGCCTTCAAGTTTCTTCTTCAGCCTGAAGGAGAAAAAAATGTACAGTTGTCATGAGTGTACATGCAAATTGACATAAGAAAACTAGTCGCGGGGACTGTGAATGGGCCCTAAAAACACGTATGCCGATAGTCGAGTAAACACGGCATACAACAAAGTTAGGAGCATTGCAGAAAACAAACAAGCATTATAACGCGTCTCACATGAGTTAAGAAATACTTTGTTGAAACGTGAGACAGTTCTGTGCACTTCAGTATAATTAGTAATTAACATGGTTCTGAAGAATGCATATAATGTTTATTATCACACACACCGAAATTGCCTTGCAGTCTTAGGGATGTGCGGCGCATTAATTTTTTGTCGGTAAGCAATAAAAGTGGTAACTATATAGTCTTCCCCTGCTCTTTGTTGTTTATGCCATATGAGTAACTTAAGTAGCTACCACTGTTGAGTCACGACGAAGCTAATGCCTACGTTACAGTATCTAATAAACACAGAAAAAACGACAGCAATACATTTAGGGTATCGAACGAGTAAATGCTTGCGTTAGGCGGAGCGAGAATTGCTGTACGTTCATTTACGTTTGTACACGCGCCAAAATGTTTCGGAAAATATTTAAAAAAGAAGAAATACGACACTGTTGCGCACTACTGCCAGAATAAAAAAAAAAAAAGATGCTTGTCGAAAAAAAAAAACGATGGAAAGAAAGCCACTCGTCTATTGTAGTGTTCTTTACCAATATTTCCTTATTGCCTATTGACTGTGGTGTAGTAACAGGATAGATGAACATTTATTTAAAAAAGAGAGATCTGTTAAATCTGTAAATCCTGTTATGATTTTTTTCGGCTAATTTTATGTGCAATTAATTCAGCAAATAGCCTATGGTCCGCTTTTATGCAAGGAAAGATAACTTTTTATAACTCATCCATGCACAGTCTTCATACATGTAGTAACCAAACACATTTAATCAAAGCCAGAAGCTCATTACCTGAAAAAAAAATATCGTGTACGGAGCATACTAACACCGTTCTTTAAAAGTAAATTTATTTGTAATGGAGTTGAGACGCACAAAGATTGACACGCAAGAAATCTGGCCTATGTGGCAAGGTCTCTTCAGCATGCATAGACTATTGAAACTCGATCATACGAAACCCAATTTTACGAGGTTCATGATTTAACGAAATAATTTGATGGCGGCCATCAATTTGTTAAATTGAGTTTCAAATGTACTTCAAAACTGCAGTAACTTGGCAGGTGCTCCTAAATATATGAATTAAGCCAAACTTTGCCTGGCTTCGTGTCGAAACAATTTTATCACCGCTTATTCACTGCCAAATAAGGTAGCTATTGGTTAGATTCTGCTGTCCCGAAGAATCGTCAAAAATGCAAATGCTACTCCCCCCCCCCCCTTTCTTTTTCTGTAAGTTGTCTCGTGTTGAGATTCTTGTTACATTCCAAGCAGCATTAGTGGTGTTGCTAACGGAGTGTTATTTTGCGGGCCTGCCAGTAAACACCATGGAAACGCTAGTTTTTCATACAGCAATTGTCTTTTTGTTTGTTTACCTGGAAATGATGCTTGCAGAGACGACGAAGCACATCAGTAGTAAAGATGAAAGAACGACACCAACAATAACGATGTTCAGTTGGGCGGCTGAAAGAAAATGTCAGGCATTTCAAACAGCTTATAAATAAAAAATAACATTATGAACAACAAAACCATTATTGTGTATGATTATCGATAGTTAATAGTTGCTGCTATTAGTACATGCAAAATGTACATTCCCTACCTACACCGTGTATTACATGAAACGTGCATCAAACTACATTTCGCTGTTTCTGAGAAAGGTCTCTAAATTTTGTTTGAGTAACCACATAACGTACGTGGCTGTGCCTCTGAATGAGCCTTTCTTTGAATTCATTTCATGTTTGCTCCAGGCGCGAATTTGAAATTTTGAGCAGCTGGACAAAGGTCATAATGCTAAATCAGGCAAACTAAGGCAAAATCAGGCAGTTGCTGTCTAATCATGGAAGCGTGCTGATTTATAGGGATACCCATCTGTTACAGGTAATAGATGCTGCTCTGTCCATCCGGAGTAATGAAGGGGAAAAGAAAGTGGATCATAATAGGTCCCACAGCTCAGGGCGCAAAGCGTTTCGGAACCTATTGCCAGTGACATCAGCAAGGGAGCTTATGAGTGCCATGATTGAAGCGCGGCTAGGTTTGAAGGGAACCAACGCTAATAGCACGGAACCCAAGTTCTACCCAAGAGTGAACTAATCTTTGTTCTACAAGTTACATTGATTTCCTGAACCGTATTATTTGGTTGCAATATGAAAAAAGTTTGACAAAATTTGATAATTAGAAAAAAATCTGTCTCGGTGCTTCTGAAAAAAAAAAAAAGCAGACGCCATTATTATTCAGTACCGGCTTTGGGGTCCTAGAAAGGCGCATGTAATGTTCGCCCCATGCCCCCTCACGTGTTTTAGTGTTCCACACTGACATACGTTCTACGAGTGATTGCAGTGGGACTTAAATTTTTGTTGTGCGCAGGATTGTGAAATGTGTGTCATCAATTGGCTGTTCAGTTGAGGGTCCAACGGGCAACAGAATGATGCGGATAACATTTAGCGGCATCCGTTTGCCTTGGTGCCCGCATAAACCATGTAATACGGGGCTAGGATCCAATTGCAACCCACGTACTACGTATACTTCTGGTGACCCATGTTTTCTGGATAAGAAATAGGGGCAACGGTTTGGAGTAGTGTGCTCGCTGGATTTCATGAATCAGTATTGCTGTGACCCGGTTTTATTTGTGAATACACAGTGCCTACTATTGTTCCTTTTATCGGTGAGCGTATCGCCAAGTTATCTATCTAGCTGCTATTGCCTGTATACGTTACGCGTAAGGGTCATCTATCTAGCTGCTATTGCCCCGCCGCGGTGGTCTACTGGCTAAGGTACTCGGCTGCTGACCCGCAAGTCGCGGGCTCGAATCCAGGCTGCGGCGGCTGCATTTTCGATAGAGGCGGAAGTGTTGTAGGCCCGCGTGCTCAGATTTGGGTGCACGTGAAAGAACCCCAGGTGGTCAAAATTTCCGGAGCCCTCCACTACGGCGTCTCTCATAATCATAGTGGTGGTTTTGGGACGTAAACACCACATATCAAAATCTAGCTGCTATTGCCTGTATACGTTACGCGTAAGGGTCATTTCTTCGGTCACTCAGTGCACGTGGTGCCCAGCGCACGTTTTTTTTTTTCCGTTTTTACTCCCTTAATGATACTCACTGTGTTCAGTGTGATGAAATTGTGTTATTCAAACCATTAAACAATACGAAATTCGCCAGATCTCTTGTACTATGGGAATCAATGTTATTCGAAGCATGCGGACGGAAGATGACGGTGGTGTAGTTTTCTGGTGCGAAGCAGCTTATGGAGGAGTTCAATCAGGTGTGCGGCGTGACCACTCTTACTGCTCATGCGCCAAGTTTCCCCCTTCTCCTCGCGCTCACACAATGAGAGAGAGGGAGAGTTGGCGCATCTGCAGCGGGGGAGCGGATGGTCGCTGTAGGAGCTATCCTCGCGTGAGCGTGAGGAGGTGGAGTGGAGGAGGGGGCCATAGAGTTTCCCAAAATTAACTAGAGGGCACTCTGGCGCTGCGATCGTTCAGCGACCACGGGAATGATGGGTAGTGCACACATTTGCCTAGTCTTCGTACTTGCGAGCGGCGAATCGTAATTGCGGCTTCGTTTATTGCTGGTTACGGTTTTGTTCTGGAAGAAAGAACAATTCATTTTGAACTTAGTGACTTGATTCGAAATGATAAGTCTAAAAGAATAAGGTTGTGAAGCGCAAACGGTGAACCTTTGCTAATTTATGTTTTCGTGAAAAAGCAACTCCAAGCCACACGAACACACACGAAGCCAGAAGCAGGGCAGAAGAACTAAAATTAGACAAATGTGTGTACTACCCATCATTCCCATGCTCGCTGAAGCGCCGTGTGTTGCAGCTCCCATAGACACTAGCGCCAGAGTTCCCTCTAGTGTATATTAGAAACTCTATGGAGCAATCATTTAGTATCTCCTCTCCCGATTATCTCTCCGCCATAGCTGTGCGCTCGTATATAATGCTGCGCTGGCTCGCTCCATGTAATACACCCAAACGGGAGGCCGGGGGGGGGGGGGGTAACCATAGCGGTACACAACATATACACAATTTCATACACAAATGAAACATATATACAGAAACAGACAAATGAAAAAAAAAAAACTAATGGAAACATAAGTGGACACCAGCGCTTCTTCGCATCCCCACATGGTTCCCTTTAGTGGGAGAGGGTGTAACTTTTTCATCTTATGAAACTTTAATGACGCTTAAGATTTATATAAAAACTTTGTACGCACGGACATATGTTGAACAGTCGCATGTGTTTTATATAACGGGTTGTTTGCAGTTGAGTAACGATGGTAACAGCAACGTCAATATTATTTCACCAGAAGCGCCAGGCCGATATGTAGCGCTTGTGCTTGCGAAGAAGGTAACCTTAGATAGTGCTACGTAGACCAAGTTTAGTGGCTGGCGCTCAACTACAGCTGACATTAACCCGACTTGAAACCTGTATCATAGGAGTGGATGGGCAATCTTAATAAAATTAGATAGCCAGCAGTGAAACCACAAATGACGTTTTACCAACAATATGCCTGCATAGGGTGCTTTTTCAAAGGAGTTTTGAGACCGGGCGGGGCTGTGTGGTAGAATGTTTGATTGCCACTCAGAATGCTTGGGTTAGATTTGTACTTGAACCCTGATATTTATCGCGCTATTTCTGCCCTTGTCTCTTCTCCTTCTGTAGTTACGTCGTAACAACTCATAGTCTTGCGCTGTGCAAATATGTTGGTTCCCAATCACCAACTAGTCCAAGCATCTGTCTCATCACAGTGCTCTTTCTGCCCTTGTCTCTTCTTCTGTAGTTACGGGGTTAACTACTCGTAGTCTTGCGCTGTGCAAATATGTTGATTCCCTGATATTTATTCACATTCGTGTTGTAAATGCGGCCGATCTCAGTTTTTCATAACGCTCTCTCATTGAAATAACTAATGTCTTTTCTCGCTGTTCCTCAGTAGATATAAACTTTCAATCATCTATGTCGCATGCCCGCATACCACGGTCTTTTTTACAGAGGGTTCACTCATTCGATGTATTTTTTCTCCGCAATTACACAACTGAATGTAATGGTATTAAACTGTATTGGTCTAGAGACCAGTAGATTGCATTTGAACTAAGAAATAATATGTATAGGACAACCTTTATGAAGTTTTCTCAAAGAAAAATAACGTTACGGCAAGAACAAGGCTTTGGTTGTGTAATTTTTTTTCACAGCTTCACATTTAGTGAAATCATCAATTCATTCAGTTCAGATTTACCAACTTGTACCACATGCATGTAAAGGTACACCTGAATCGATTCAATACTTTTTGAAAAAAGTACATTCTAGTTGAGAAATTCATAAAAAACGCAATTTTAGAAAAACGAAGTTTTATGTGCGCATAGTGTTTGCTCCATGGCGTGCGCTGCACTTTGGCGCGGCATTTAAACTGCTTGGAGCGGGCGCTTGACGGCGGGCTTCCACGGTGTTTTTTTCCTTGTGAGTGCAGTAAACTTTTCGGTGTCAAAATTTCAAATTTCATTTTTTGGGTGGTTTCTCTACCATAACCATGCAATATAAGGCCTCGAGAACAATGTTCGAATCGAACGCAAAGGAAACTATTTTATTTAAAGGAAGTAAAAACTTACAGAGAAAGGTCTTGTTGTCACGTTGGCACAGTGGACCTGTGCGCTTGGGAGGGCATCTGCAATGATTAAGCTTATAAATTTATTAGGAAATTGAAAAGCAACACAAGTGTGACGAATAACAGAGTGTACTTAACGAACAGGGACACAGCAGAATCAAAAGTGAAGTCATGTTTAGCAGAGTGATTCGCACTATGAAATTACTGTCGTATATGCACTAGTGATAAACGATTGACATTAAGAACAGTTTGAATTTTCTGCTTGTCCTGAATCGTGGTGGGCGGCGGCCATAAGGCTACTGTTATTGATGCTGACTTTTCCCGAGTTAAACTGATGAAACCTTGGCGACCTATAGCGATAGTCAAGAGGCGGGATGCCTACATACATGACATCTACATAATGGCAGTTTAGCATTTTAGCCAAGCCAATCCCCTTTTTCTTCTTTACTGCATGTCCAGTTTTAGTTCCGTACGGCGTATTTTTTTGGCTTGTTTGTTGCCTTCTTCATTTTAAGTGCACGGTAGTCACGAGTTGTGGGATTAGTAGGATAAGTTTGTGACGAAAATTGTGCGATGCATGGCGTCGCAAAGCCTTAATCGATGGTATTCTCTCTCCTCTCTGTACGACGCGATTCTATCTAACCGTTCATGATGGACCGGAACATGACATATGACTGCATGATACGCCGACTAGCCTAGACCCCAATGGGCGTCGCCTCCAATCAATGTAAAGAGATTGAAAAAAAAGAGGAAAATATATATAAAGAAACAGAGAACAAGATAGAAAGAGAAAGGGGAAATAAGAAAGCGAGAGAAAGAGAAGAGCGAGGAAGAGCACAGATAGAGAAAGAAATAGAAAGATATATAAGAAATAGAGTAAAGAGAAACTAAGACAAGAGAACATAAAAAATAAGAAGAAACGAAGAAACCCAGCACGCTGTGCACTTATTTCAAGCTTGGCAGAACTAGCTCAGTGTTGTCCAATCTTTTTTTTAATAAGCAGTCTGGCACACCCAAGAAGCCGACCGTATCCAAGGACTCGGGGCCGTCATTAAGGCAGGCGAGCTTGTAGCTCCATTCCGTACCGCCGGCTATGTTCAATAAAAATTTCATTCTGTCACTCCAAGTGTACTTTGTCGAGTAGCCCCAAGGCAGATTCTTTTCACGTGTATTTGGTATACCTATACAAAGCGGTTTTCTTTAGCAGTATTTACATAGCTTCCAGCTTGCGTGTGTAACAATACGTATCAAACTTTAAGAGAGTTATGACGTCTAGCTATAAGGAATTGGATGTGCATAGGGTGAGGAGATGTTTAGTTGTATAGTGTCAGACATATGAAATATTTCCGTCTTTCCGCCGAGGTGGTAGCCAGCGATACTTGAATTCTAGAGTCTTTAGACACCCGATATATATCACTTACTCTCTTAGAATCATTAGGTAAGCGATTGCCTTTAAATTTAGGACGAGCCAGATATAGAATGCCGTACTTACCTGCAGTAAAAGCTTTGGTAATCTGTGCCGATTTCGCACACTGCATCGCCGTAGCAGGGACTCGGCTTGAGATCACAGATGCCTGCGCGAGATTTAGTTTTGACCTCTCTACTTCAGAAAATGAAAGTAGAAATGAACTCTGTGAAGGGGACTGTTGCTGACATGGCAGTGGTCAAAAGCTTCGCGGGATTGAGAATCAGGGGCGAGGAATGTTCGGTAAGAAAAATACGGGACGCTTGTGAGCTGTAGGAAATCTAACTCAAGCTGATAAGGTCTAAAAAATCAATTTTTGGTGCTTTCAGTAATTAGCAAAAGGAATGAGTTTAAGCGAAATGTTTCTGAACATGCAGCGTAGATTTTTAGTTTTTGCTGATATTCAGAGTGACAATGCTCAATTCTTGTGCACATGATTGCCATTACGCAAGCCCCGCCGCGGTGATCTAGTGGCTAAGGTACTCGGCTGCTGACCCGCAGGTCGCGGGTTCGGATCCCGGCTGCAGCGGCTGCATTTCCGATGGAGGCGGAAATGTTGTAGGCCCGTGTGCTCAGATTTGGGTGCATGTTAGAGAACCCCAGGTGGTCAAAATTTCCGGAGCCCTCCACTACGGCGTCTCTCATAATCATATGGTGGTTTTGGGTCGTTAAACCCCACATATCAATCAATCATTACGCAACATTTATTTCTGAGTGCTTGCGCCGTGGTTGTTTGGGCCTGTATATTGAAACCTGTTGCACACTTTGTGCCAGTGAGAGCACTGTTTACGCTCATTAACACTTACGATGTTCGTGTTAGATTGGAATACAGTGTAATGCGGTATATTGTTTTGCCTCTGAACGTTGCTTGCTATGAAAAGATATTTTAGCTAGATTATTGTAACAACAACAACGACCACGACAACGACGACAAAAACGAAACATGTTATATATTGAATAAGTTAAATGTAATATCAGTGTGACAGTCTTTAAAATTAATGATAGCATGGTAGAGGGGGGGGGGGGTCTATAAGCACCCTGCTTCCCTGTACCTCCTGAAAGCTTTAAACAATGCGGAGCAGCAGGAGACTGCCTTGCGCTGCTTCAGCCCGGCGTCCAGGGGGCCATCTTTGGTTGGACACAGAGGGCTGCAGAGGACTACCGTGTGTAATAACCTCTCCCATCTCCATTCCTTTGACTTTCCGCCTTCGAAAGAAAAATAGTTTTTTACCTACCTAACTACGTTATCGTAATCTATCAATGCTATACGAATTGTGGTCAAGTGAGAATAAAAATTAACTCAAAGTTTGTGGTTATACTCGACTATGATCATGAATTTGTGAAACGCAACGCAAGGTGAGACTTCTGGTTAGCTTTCAGCAACCGCACTTATTTGACGTGCAGCCAATAGCAAAATATATTTGATAGCTTATTTCATGAAAAAAAAAACTGTACGGAATTCTGCCGCTTGTAGTGCGGCTGAATCCATGGCTTAGAGCTCGCAAGTTCAACGGCATATCCACTAAGTAACAGCAGCGGGTGACTGCGAAGAACTTATTTAGTATATTCATTCTATCCGCCATTTAGTAAAAATCAGCGCAACCGAGTGTTCATTATTTTTAGGCCTCCTGTGCAACCGCAAATTACACTTTTTACGACCACAGCTTTAAATCGAGAGCGAGTCGATCGACGATTAGGCGTGCACGACCAATCACTTCTGCGTAACTGCAGTGCGAGGTGAACAATCTTGTTGGTGGACATGTATACCTTGCGCCTTGCGGGATAGGTGTATTCCATGCGGGATTCCATAGAAGTGATTCGCCGCATTTGTATAGTTATTGTGACCACAAACCTTATCGGGTAAAGCGCTCTTCTTGGTCATGTGACCTCTTTACCGCGCTCCCCTAAAATATTTTTTTTGGATGGGGGAGGGGAGATAACATTCAGAAGCCACCATGTGATTACGAAAGATGGTTGCGGAAATTTAGACCATATGGGGCTTTTTAATGTACACCTTAAGCGAAGTACGTGGGCTTCAAGCGTTTCCGACTCCATCGAAAATGTGGCCGTGGCGGCCGAGATTAGATCCCGCTGACCGGATGTTCCAGCAGTCGAGCACCATAGACCACCGTAAAATGTGTATCGGTGAGGTTTAGCGCGTAGGGTGATTTTTGGCAAATGTATGAATGAAACTAATGGAACTGACAAATAATACGCGACATAATAGTACCAAAACAAGTAAGTGTAAGTTGCACGACAATAGGGCGGAGCGCGGTGTCCCGTGTCAGCGCCGAACAACAGTCGTCGTCTCTATATTTTAGAGTAAAATAAAAGTATTACACTTTATGATAAAGCAGTACTTACTTTGGCACTCATTTTTTACCGAGTCATACTTGAACTGTGGTTTGCAGACGCATGATTCGTCGACACAGTGTTTTCGATCGTCACCTTTGCAGGTCTCGTTGCATGGTAATGCTGTAACAGTGTAAAATACCTTGATGAACGTGCGACCATTTTACATTTACTTTCGATGAATGGTGTTGTGTCTCTACGTATCCGAACTTTCGACAATGCTTATTGAACTTGAACTCTCACATAGTCGGCTCGCATTCAATTGAAGTGCATGCCCAAGAAAGGAATAGTCTAAAAAAAGGAAACACGTGCGATTTGTATCGCTCCTTACAAATTTTAAAATTGGTCATCGCGAACATAGATTTTAAATTTTTTTTCGCAGGTGTGAGCCACGACAGCTCACTTCTGATAGTTTGAGGCATTTGCTTGTTCCGTTGCACTTTGTTCGGTTGAAAATCACACGAACATGCCAGAAACTTGGTTGCACTGCACACTTTGAGCCTTGTTTGAGAAGTAGAATTATTTATAGGAGCAAGATCATTAGTTATTGTACAGTTGCGTTACGTTCAAGTATGAAAGTTGGTTAGTTTGTGGAAGTTAGGTGTCAGAATAGATACATTTCGTTGTACGACTATCGTAGTAATAATGGTGACTATAAGGACACTTGCATGTAATTCAAAACCTCCGAATAACAAGTGGAGTTCAATTTAGTCAGACCTATGGTATTTATCAGTTACATTTATAGTATTTAAAATAGAAAAATAATTTTCGGCTCTAATATTGTAAGGCTCGAACATTGTGTGATAAATATTAGTTAGATAATATTATGATACACTTCGTTGCTGCGCATAGCATATAAGTATACAACAGTAAAAAATAGAGCTCACTTAACCTCTGAGAGAAACAGGATTGGCTTGCTATACAATGCTTATTTGGCAACTTCCGCGTTTTTTTTTTTGCACACAGATAACGCCATTTTGAATCGTTATTTAATATTTACATTTTTATCGCGTAAGCTGTTATGAGCTGAGAACTGATTTTGGTGGTCATGTATAGTACGCCAAAGCTGTCCGTCGTAGCCACCACCTCACAATGAAGAAGACAGAGAAAAGTAGAGTTCGATCTAGAATCCGACCCTGGCGTTTGGCGTGCCAGTCAAGTATTCCGCCATCGAGCTAGGCCAGCGCTCAAAGCTTCCTTGCAGAAAGACGCTACACCGCAGTCGTGTGCGCTGGATTTGGGGTCACGATAGCAGATTTAATATTGCGTGGCAGTAGCGCACAATCGCACCAGGCTTCAAAGCGCCACACCACGTAAATCTCACGACGAGTGGGTGGTTTAAAGCTGCTCATTCATGACGAAGGCGTCAGCCCTGATTCATTGTAACGATCACTTGCTACGGCCTGTCGTGAAACGACGACTGTGAGGGGTCGACATGAGCCCTAATGATGTTTGTCGCGGGCTCTAAAACCACTCCTCTATCTTATACTGTGAATGTGCTACGTGTTACACACTAGCCAGGTATTAAAAAAAGGAACTCTTTATAACATGCAGTTTAATGACAATACAGGGGTCATCGTCGTCCCCGCTATCATAATCAGCCATCGTCGAGCACTGCACAATCTCTCGTCTTCAAAAGTCACTGACTGTCATTGACTTTTGTGTCAATGACAGTAAACGTTGGTATTCACGACTGGTCTGGTTGCACGACTTGCTTAGCCACTTAATGCTACATTGTTCCTGAATAAACGCGCGATGACGAACATACGCTACCGATACTCTGATCCTTGCAACGTAAAAGAGCTGATATTAAGAAAGCGATCAATAGTTGGTCAACCCGTATGAAAGTATTGTATATTCACTTGCATTGGCTTGTGGCGCGATTGAAACTGTATTTGATTTGGGCGAAAACTTTCATTCATGGCACACCTTTATAACAATAGCCGTAAAAGTAACAATGATGATGATTATACCATACTTAAAATGACGCCTGTATATGGAGTGGATGCACCTTGTTCTACTAATGAGAGCGTTTTGCTTGAATTTAAACAAAAAGAATTTTCGCTTCTAAGTGAGTATGCAAAAGAAAAGAAGGCTTTATTGTAGATAATTAACAAGTAAGGTATGCTGTCTTCTCTGGGAAAGGCGCTAGAGAACTTATTAGACGAATAAATTTGCTAAGTTTTGTTTCGAGTTTCTTCGCAATAGCGCAGCCACAGCAACATAGTCGGCAATCTAGTTACTCAAGCTATACTTACGCTTGCAAACTTCGAATGGCAGACCATCTAATTCTGTCTTTCCGATAGGCTTTGCTTTATTAACGTCACAGGAAACTTTGGTACCGTCTTCGGTTTCTGTGCAGTTCATGCCGAAGTCATCGACAACGGCCTTGAGCTGTTCGCACTGCTTTGCAGGCTCGGCTGAAAGAATGTAAAAAAATTGCTTTAGAGTAACTCAACCCAAAATCAACAGAAAAAAACAGAGTACATGTCTCGAAGCGTCCAGAATAATCTTTAGTATGTAGCACTGCGCCTTCATTTATTGTGTAATTTAGGTAATATTAAAGGTTTGTCGAACAAAGAAAACTTAGCTGAATGCTTTCACTTTCTCACTGCATTGTATACACATACAAGTAGAAGTAACTGAGCAATGAATTCATCAATCGAACAAAAAATATTTTACACAAGCAACACAGCCTATTAAGAATGTGTTTAGGAAAATAGGGGCAGTACATCTGTAGCTTGACTAAGCTTTACCAGTTCACAGAGGACTAATAGCATGTTAGTTTGGTCTACAGTTCAACAATAGAAACCTATGATCAGCTGCAAAAACATTTAGGCAGAACAATCTAAACGGGCCCTGAAAAATTTGGAAAGTTGGAGTTGGAACTCAACCTACCAACACCCAATTCTACAAAGTTCTTGGCAGGTGCACATATAGGCTTAAATGTTATCAGCAGGAATAATTAAATTAATTTGGCTCCAAACCTGCAACAACAAATGTTTTACCGAGAATCAGTAAAATAGCGGCAATTAGTTTCTGAGTTTGACACACAAGAGTTTTTTTTTTGAGAATGCGCACTAGTTATCTTGCAAAAACATCTATTTACCCTGGCCACGATCCCAAGTACTTATCGAAGAAGCTGCAAGCCGCGTCCATGCGCCTAAATGTGGAGTCTGTAATTTGTTGCGCTCTTACTTGTCAGGTGCTGCCTGAATCTGCAGCGGTTTAGTGTCCCTGTAAATGCTCTGAGGAGCACTATAGAATGCCTACTTTTGTTATTTCAGGGCTTATGCGACGTATGACCCTGATTATCTCCTCGCAACCATCCTGCTCACCCTGCTGCCGAAATCACGCGCGGAGCAGGCATGTGATGTTCGGATTGGCCTCGGGCAGTGATTAGGATAGCGCAGACCGAATAACACGCTTCTCGATTTGGCGAATTTCCTAATTTATCAAAATAACTCGAGCTTGGTCATCACTTCATTTAACGGTCCCAGCTGTATTGTGTTTGATCTCGCTATGTTAGACGAAGACTTATTGGAATTCTGCACAAGCAGGATCACTAAAACTTGAAATCACCAATATTCTATTCATCTGGACTCAGAATCACACTCACATATGTTTTTTTTTTTCTCAACCTGATTTAGTGAGGCACAGGCTAACGGGTCGGCTGGAGTGAGTCGATTGAAGAAAGTTTGCCAATTTGGGATAAGAAAACAAACGTAAAAGTGTATGAGAGTCGAAATAGAACAGGCGAGTAGAAGGATAAGAGTGAGTGTCGATAACTGAACAAAGGCCAGTGACGGTTGACGATTGGACACATGTGGGAGCCCAAGTGACGTTGTCTTGCTCACGGGCATCGCTTCATTGCCGTAACTCACTCAACCTGATATTCATTCCTTCTAAGAATTGCGAAGTGTGTCAGATAGTTAATCTATCGCGTGTTTAACATGGCGACACAACAGCTATAGCGTGGCGAATGCAGACGGTGAAGCATATGCCTGAAATAGTGCTTCGGAATACTTTGCGAATTACCTTATTCGGAAACGCTTTCGTGTTCCGGGAAATAAACTTAAATTATGTAGGCTTACTAAGAATATACTCACTTCAACTCGCCCTCGCTAGTAATTCAGTTCAATCGACTTCACTCAGAATCCTGCTCAGACTAACTCGGACTAAAAACGTTGGTTTATAGTCGCCAGGATTTGCACACGCTTAAATCCCGAAACCTAAACGCAGCCGGGCTCACTCGTACCCAGAGTGAAAAAAAAAGAACTAAAGAAAAAAAAGAAATGCCGCCCGCATCTTCTCACAGGGGAACTCGAGTTTATGCGTCGCAGAGGGGGGGGGGAGGGGGTTTAGCGTGAATTTTGCTCAATCTGGTATGGTTTGGGAATACTTAATTGTTATTTCGTCTCTATTACTCTTACTTATTGAATGAAGGAGAATCGTTGTCTTCAACGAGTTTTGGGACGCTGATGTGCGATCTAGCGCCTTCATATACGAGTTGGCCAATGAACGGTTGTGCAGCTTGAGCAGTCAGTCGGTGTGTACTAGCTGACGCTGCCTGCGCTGGCCTTGCGAGGTGAGAGAGAAGGGGGAGGGGGAGCAAACAGTTGGCTCGATACGTGAGGCGCGAGCATGCGCAGTGGGATGTAGACATCGTCGCCGACGCACGAAGCGTGACATCGTGCGACTAAGAAATGCACCGCATTAAAAAAAAATCTATGGACACACTCTACTTCAGGGGCAAGGTTCGACGCGAGTCGGTGTGAGTATGAATGTGTCGATTCATGAGTAAAGCTTCTGACCTATGGACACAATAAATCCAATTGCAACACCATCTGCGAGTTTGCCTTTATGTTGAAATTTAGTAAAGAGGGCATCAGCCAGTCTGTGCTGCCTGCGCTAGACTGTGCAATTAGTTAAATACCAGTTTTGGTGTCACATATTGACGAATGGTGTGAATTTATTCACAAATATGAAATAAAATATTTAGATTCACTCTCAAAGTCGAATAGTCATTATTAGAAAACAAGGGTATTTCTGGATGTTTTTTCCGCAATTAAACAGAAAACTGGTGCATAAGTAACATAAATCCTTTTCACACCCAGGCATGATACACGGATAAAATGCAACAACTTATGCGGTTAAGCAAGCAGTGCCGTTCAGTGAGGGAGTCTGTATTGTATATTATGGCACCTGTAGTACTTTCAGAAGACTACTCTGTATGTGTACAAACTGTGTACTAGCTATAAATTCTCAGTTAGAATTTCTAAGAATTCTGATTGATAATAGTTTGCTATATACTGACAATGTGCTAACGTATAACGAATGTACTATGGTACGAACAGTTGCATAATAATTGTGAAAGTTCGTTGTTCAGTGAGTGTTCACTAATATAAAATTATTCGGACGAATACCGTGTATCGGACTCTCTTAATTTGTTTCTGACACTGATTTACAGTGTTATATACGGCTAACGGTTATTTAAAAATCGGTAAAAATTAATAGGTTAAAAGCATTTGTTCTAGGCATGTCACTTACCCACCGCATTTTGTAGATGGAAAAATCACGCTGTGGTCGATTTGAATAAATGAATCGAAGTTTTATCAATAATCTTCAAAAAACAAGGCTCGAGATTCGCTCAGGATAAGATGCAACAAAAACAATAGCTAGTAATTCGGTCACAAAGACTTCCTATGCCCAAAATAATAGAATAGCTGCTGCGGAAGAACTTTTCAGTATAGCGCATGAAAGATTTCCTTGAAAAGTTGGCTTATTTTTTCGCTTTATCGAATTTTCTACTGGCTTTCGCTCCTGCACATGTGAAGAACGAATTTTAGTTCATCTCAGCATTGCTTCTGTATTATCTTGTGAAACATTGAGGTTGCGACACAGCCTTGTGACGCAAATGCGCCTTCAGGGCTTCTGTTAATTAGTTCTTTTTAAAGACGATAGTCTTTCCTGGGGACCTTCGCCGCAAAAATTTTGGTCTGTCTGTCTGTCTGTCTGTCTGTCTGTCTGTCTGTCAGTCTGTCTGTCTGTCTGTCTGTCTGTCTGTCTGTCTGTCTGTCTGTCTGTCTGTCTGTCTGTCTGTCTGTCTGTCTGTCTGTCTGTCTGTCTGTCTGTCTGTCTGTCTGTCTGTCTGTCTGTCTGTCTGTCTGTCTGTCTGTCCATTTATCTGTTTGTCCACTCTTAGCGGCATGGGGTACTTGAAACGGCTGACCCCATCCGCAGCGCACACCTATTTTGCTCAAGGTTGAGCGTTCGTGCTTGTGCAATTGTGCAATTGTGTTCATGCTCATGCTTGTGCAAAAGCAATTATTGCGCATGCCTGGGGCACCATAACAACACGTATATATTCTGCATGTGCGTTTTTTACTAGAAAAGCTATAATAATTAATTTTAAGGACCATAGCTCTTATCACGCTGCGCTGACCATGCAACGCTTGCACGGAAAGGCGAGTGTTCCCAACGCTTTGCTAAAACGAAACGGTGGTGGCACCTACCGATCGCCTTGCGTTCTACACATTATCACGTCTGAGATGGGCGTGTACACCCGTGTCAGAGCCCCGCGCTTTGTTTTCTAAGACAACTGTCAGATGGCGCTTATGTCTCACATGTGACGTGATTTGATGCGCTCGTTCACCTCCGCTGCACGCTCGAGTAGCTCTAACGCAGCGACTTCAGAATACCATTCATTGATTTTCTTGCGCAGAACATCAAATAAATGTCTTCTTCACTCTCTCCACACGCAAGACTGTCGTCTTTCGACGACATTTGCAGATTACATGCACATACGGGGGCAATTTTTTTTTCATCTATCGCTACATAGTGTCAATTACTCGGAGGAGATGCTTGCATGTTCGACGTTGATGACAGTCAGTGTTTTGCATACCTTATTTCATTGTTGTATTACCAGAACGTAAGGACGTTCGTTGTAATATAGCTCCCGTGGTGACAAATATTTTTGAAAAACATTTTTAGCAGCTATTGCTTTAAAATAAACTTCAGAAAAAGAGGAAGAAAAAAAGAAGGGAATATAATATATATTGTCAGGGTATAGCGTCTCAAGAAAAAATGGAAAACGTGGTTTAATGTACGTGTGTAACTCGAAGGCAGGTGGAAGCTGCTGTTTCCATCTGTATTATTTCTCATTCAGTTATGTAGTGATGTAACTAATATTCCTTGCTACTCAATCAAATGTTAGATAAGTCGATTACTCTTGCTATATTTTTGCTAGTTGCACCTCTTACAGCCCCACAAAAGGCTTGAAAGTAGTAGCTTCTTACTTTTTGCATTGCTGAAGGAAACGTCGTTGAGGGGGCAAGGAGGGCTCCCAGGTTTACCGCACTTGTTCACCAGATTTGTAAAGTTGGCTACCGCTTCATTGTCTTGAGCAAACACCTCAAATTCAACGTCACCGCCTCTGGAAGAAGTAAGAACAAATAGGGTCGTATAAAAATTGCACAGACAAAATGATCTAGCTGTTAGAGTGCTACTTTCACTTCAGCGCATATTAAAACGTATAAATGAAAAATTATCACACTGTTTGTTACGTTCAAAGAAGTATCAGCTTCACCGCAAAATGAAATAAACGCGATAGTAACAAATTAGAATGTTATACGAAATAAGGTCACCAGCGCGCTCATTTCGAAAACGTGGCCATAGCAGCGAGCGAAATGACCTTCGCGCTATCTACGGCTTCAACGTATCTTTGCGACGGGACCACAACGCGTACAAAGCTATGAGCTATATGCTGATCGCCGTCCAAACTTACGGGACATATGGAGCGTGACAGTAGGCGACCATATCTGGTCGAACAGCTTATTTTGTGCCGGACTCGCGCACGCTCCCTCCGGACCCTATCTTCATGTGCCCTTCGCAGGCGTTCGTTTCCTTGCGGTACGGCTGAGACATGCATTGAGAACCGAAGCGAGGCTAGCAATCAAGAAGGAGACGCGCACAGGGCGCGAATGCCGTTCGAATAGAAATGGGTGCTGCGATTTGCCGGAATACGACTCCACAATACAATCTTTTATATGACTTTGGCGTCACAGGCAATTTCACTGAATTCGTAGTTTGGCAGCTGTTACCTTACGAAAAACATGGTGTACCATAATAATAAACATGGTGTACTGTATTAGCTTCATGCGTACTTCGTTACCCACTGGTGATGAATGTCTCAATATATCAAAGGATGCTAATGGGAGTCATGCTAGGGGCAAGTAGCTGAGAATATTTTTTATGTCCTCTGACGAGCCTCGAACGCAGCTCTATGTGAAAGGCAACAAGGTAGGTTCTTTGCAGTGATATTAGGAATAAGCGCAGTTGAATGAGTCATGAAATGTGTTGAGCAGAAGACTAGTGGTGTTGTATACGAGTTGGAAAACGAAGAAAATAAAGGACAGAAAAATGTGGCACAAGTTAGCAATCACATTAGGAAATTTTGAAAAAAAAAAATGGAAGTCCTTCCCTTATAGCACGGGTCACAAACACGCGGTTTGCACACACCTTTCTAGCAGCTCAACGCGCATACGATGGTCTCCGATCCATCTATTTTCTTTGCCGTAAGTTGGTTCTCAAGTTACACGGTCGAGATCGGACTCGTTGTTCTTTTCTTTAGACACACATAGTAATGCGTAACCATAGAACAAAAGCTTTAAAATTCATAATTGGTTGATTGATTGATATGTGGGGTTTAACGTTCCAAAACTACCATATGATTATGAGAGACGCCGTAGCTAAGGACTCCGGAAATTTCGACCGCCTGGGGTAATTCAGAATTGGCGACGAGATGGCGGTTATTATGGAGATGGGCATTGCTATGTTTATCGAAAGCTAGCAGTAAATGTCCTTCATAAGCTACCCAAATGTAACATATAATAAATGCATACTTCTCAATTGCATTGTTAGCTGACACATTGTTGAAATTACGCCCCCTCCACCCCCCGCTTTAATTTTTTTTCACTGTGCCTGCCCTTGCAGGACCAAATTTCGTGATTGCGGCCTGCTAGCTGAGCTGAGTTTGAGACGCTTGTTCTGTAGCGGAAATTGGGAAAAGTGAAGCTTGGCGTGTGCGTGCACATGGCTTTTAGGGGTGAAGCTGCTTAGGGCGTGGGTCGTGCGTCGCCTGTATGTAGTACCCACCTCTAAATTTAGTTGTTGGAATGTCCGCTGGATGGCGGTAATTGTGTATGGTGAATGTATGATGAAAAGGTGCGAGATTGCGGTACTTGGAGTGTTCACTGATGGATGGACAGGCAGACACATGGACAGACGGACGGACGTGGCCGGCAGATGATTCACGGTTTGCCGATAAAACCTTTCGAAGCTTCGCCCCACTCATCATCCTTCATTCGGAGGATATGCTGTGATTTTTCTTTCTTTCTTTCTTTCTTTCTTTCTTTCTTTCTTTCTTTCTTTCTTTCTTTCTTTCTTTCTTTCTTTCTTTCTTTCTTTTTGTCTTTCTTTTTTTCTTTTTTCTTTTTTCTTTTTATTTATTTATTTATTTATTTGTTTGTTTGTTTGTTTCTTTGTTTCTTTCTTTCTTTCTTTCTTTCTTTCTTACTTTCTATTGGCAGCGGCCGTCTTCGGAACACTTTTTCAAGCTTAACTGGCCTGGCGCCTTTTATATTCTTTCCAACAACTTCAGCCTCCTGAGCGACTCAACGAAAGGACCATCCGACGATAGCGAGAAGGCGGGCTAGGAATGTGATATTATTGAAGTCTGAATTTCCCTGAAATTGAAAATTCCTCTTATCAACCATTCGCATTGTTCAGCAGATCGCTTCATGTTCGCCACTACGAAATATTTCGTCGAAGCACGCAAAGCAAATGTACTGGCTACCATTTGTTTAAAAATCGGTGGTTGAGCAGATTTGTATGATTCAGTTCAGTTCACAATGGGTAGGCATGGGCGCGTGACCTTGTGGTCAGGGCTTTCCCTTTAGAACTGTGAAACCCCGCGCTGAAACACCATGCCAGGAAAGAAATATAGTTTTTTTATTTATTACTTATTTCATGGATGAAAGGTGGGCTTTTCTGGAACACGCTTCACAGGTCGGTCAATACAAGCTTTGCTTGAAATCAGTATATGGAGGGTCATAATTATAGACAGGAAGAGGTAAAGTTTCATGAATCTGTGTGGCTTAGCCTTGATCACAATGATAACTGCTATATTTATTGGTATTTTGCCGAAATGTTTGCACGATATGTTAGATAATGTTTGACGTGTTTACACTGTGTCGCCTCTGTGTTGTAATACGCTCTAATTAATCAATACACACAGAAAAAAAAGAAAATTATAAGCCATCTCCCTGAATAGAACCCTGATGGGATGCAAAGGAGCGGTGGTGCGCACGGCGTTGACGCCGTTAAAACGGGCGTCGACTCGGGTGCTGGAAAAATGGTTTGGAGCGAACTCGCTGTAGCGTTTACTCGAATAAGCGTTTGTTTGGAACGCAAAGAAACGGGAGGCAGGTTTGGTTTCATGTAGGTTTCATCGCACATAAACGGACCGTAAGAGTGTTTCCCCTCGACATGTGGTCGAGCGTTGCGGGTGGAGGAGAGAGTGAAGCGAGCGAGAAGTTTGTGTTGCGAGTGGGTGGAGGAGCCGGCAGGGGCGAGTGCAGCGGCGAGCGTGCTGCGAGTGAGGAAAAGAGTGACGCTAGCGTGCACCTGCCAGTGAAGCGTGTGAGGGGAGCGTGACTTCAACACGCATCTGCGGAGTGATCTACTTGGTAGCGCTCCAACACCTGCGGCGAGGAAAACGCTTTGTGGCGCGTTGGTACGGACGTACGTACATATGTATGGCGTTACACACGTGAGTCAAAGAGTGGCTTCGGATCTACAAAATACCCTTCATTCCTTACAGTTTATAATTGCCATTGCTTCATATTTTAGCAATGTAACTAAAAAACCGCACAATCATACAGGGACGGAAGGGGCACATACACGAACGCTGATTCACAGCTGATTTGATTGGCAGCATTGCATTAAATATGTGCTGTACACACGAAAACAATGAAATATTCAGCAAACCCGCGCACTTGTCTTCCACTCGTTACAGCCGCATACATATCCATACACGCCATGCTTGCACCGAGGAAGAAAAGCAGATCCTAGAAATGTAGTTATACACAAGTAAGCGTTTGTAACGAGTGCAAGAAAAGTGCACAGGATTGTTGAACGATTCCTTATTTCGTGCACATGCCAGTATACCGTGTACTGCGGCAAATAAAACCAGTTGTGGGTCAGCGATCGCGTGCACATCTTTCGTGTTCGCTGTTTTTAGATCCAAAGCAGCCAATAGGGGCGAGCCAAGTGTGCGGCGTGACCGCCCTTATGAGCATGCGTGTCTGCTTCCCCTCTCTCACCTCGCAACGTCGACGCAGGCAGCGTCTGCTAACCTATGCCCGCTCCCCTCTCTCTCTCCTCTAGGCATTCCGTCCCGCGGCGTTTACACACCCGACGCAGGCAGGGTTAGCTAGCGAGTTTCTTGTTTGAAAATAACCAAGTGCTCAAGCTTCACAACCGTTCACTGACCACCCTTGGATCTTGACATCTACGGTAGTGCTGGTGGGAGATTTCTCCTGTGCGTTGTTGAACAATAAAAAAAAATGCCACCCGCATCTTCCCACGAGGGAAACTCGAATAAGTGCGTCGCAGAGTGGTGGGGGTATCGCGTGAATGTTGCGCGATCGGGCATTGTTTGGGAGTGCCTATTTCGTGTTTATTAGGTATTCTTATTTATTGTATGAAGGAGAAGCGTTGCCTTCAACGATTGGTCGGACGCTGATGTGCGATCCAAAGCCTACATATACGGGGTGGCCAGTGAACGGTTGGGCAGCTCTAGCAGTCAGCATGTACTAACTAGTAGACGCTGCCTGCGTCGGCCTTGCGAGATGAAAGAGGGGGGGGGGCAAACCAACGCCGACTAAATTTCAAGGCCGAAAGGCTGCCGCAGTGACGTCAAAGGTTGGGGGCCCAGTTGCCCAACTGAGCACGCTCAGTAAGATTTTTTTTCCACATCTTTTATTTGGCCCAATCAAGCCGCAGCAGCTGCGAGAGCGGGAGCGTTGGTTCTCCTAAAACGTGAACGAAACGCAGGCTTTCCGCCGCGTTCGCGGCGCAACTGGGCTCCCACCCTCTGACGTCACTGCGGCAGCCTTTAGGCCTTGAAGTTTAGTCGGCATTGGGCAAACAGTTGGCACGAGATGGCAGCACTGACCTCCGATGAGATCAGTGGACGCAAGCATGCGGCACGATATGCGAGGCGGAAGCATGCGCAGTGGAGGTGCGAACAACGCCGACGCGTGACATCGTGTGACTAAAAAATGCTCCGCGTTTAAAATTCGTGGCGTGCGCGTTAATTAAAAGCGGACTGCGGGTCTCTGTGTTCAGTCGAAGTCTGTCTCTTATTGCCCACAAACAGCGATTGGCAAGTTCCAGTAGGAAACACCGGTCCATCACTGCGTGTTTTGCGACCGCAGGTCGCGGGATTGAATCCCACGGCTGCATTTTTGATGGAGGCGGAAATGTTGTAGGCTCGTGCACGTGCTCAGATTTGTTTGCACGTTAAAGAACATCAGGTGGTCGAAATTTCCGGAGCCCTCCACTATGGCGTCTCTCCTATTCATTTGGTGGTTTTGGGACGTTAAACCCCACATATAAATCAATGCGTGCTTTGCACCTCCCCAGGTTGTAAATGCAAAGCATTTCTTAGCGAACTTCAGTGGCTTTGAGCGTATCTTTCTAATATCTATCTAGCCATCTACAATATTTAGCTCCCCTGGTCGTCTCGATAGTGGTATCGATACCAAAGTTGGTATGGCATAGCATGACTAAATGATCAGCATAACTGACTAGGCATAATATGAAAATCATGATATGTATGTTATGAATGCCATCATTTACAATTCGTCGTCTTGGGGCTCTTGCGGTGGTTTCGTTCACATGATATTTTGCAAAACTGGTATGGTATGACATGACTACATGTCAAACATAAGTGACAGACCCTAACGTCGAAATCATAACATGCATGCCATGATTTTAGTGTTATGATTAGTCATGACTACATGCCACGTTCATGGTGCGTTCGCGGTTGTTTTGCTAGCTTCACATAGCGAATTGGGTATTACGGGACGTGAATGAATGATAAAGGTACACGACTGGTGCAAACATGAAAATCATGAGATGCATAGTATGAGATGTTTACATACTATGCTGATGATGCGCTCATGGCCCTTTCGCTAGCTTCACATATACCAAATTAGGTATTAAGTGACGGGAATAGACGACGGCGGTAAATGACACATCCAAACATGATAACCATGACATTAGTGTCACGTAAGAACATGACTACATACCACGCTCATGATGCGCTCGCAGCGGTTTCGCTTTCTCCACATATACCAAATTTGGTATCACATGATGTCAACAGACGACGAAGGTACATGACACGTCCAAGCATGATACTCACGATATACGTGTCATGTAAACATGACTACATGCTACGCTCATAGCATGCGCGCAGTCGTTTCGCTAGCTTCCCATATGCGAAATTTGGTATTACGTGACGTGAATGGACGACGAAGGTAAATGACATGTCCAAACATTATAATCTTGATATGCCAGTCATGTAAAACATGAATATATGCTACGCTGATAGCGCGTTCGCGGTCGTTTTGTTAGCTCCACATTTATCTAGTTTCGTATCACATGATGTGAATACACGGTGAAAATAAATGACATGTCGAAACTTGATAATCATGACGTACGTGTGATGTAAAAAATGACAACCTGCTACACTCATAGCGTGCTCGCGGCCGTTTCGCTAGCTCTGCATATCACGTCAGTCACGTGATACTAAATTTGGTATCACGTGTCGTGAATAGACGACGAAGGTAAATGTTACATCCAAACATAATAGTCATGGCATGGAAGTCTTGTACGGCATAATTAAAGACGATAGTTTTTCTTGGGGTACTTCGACACAAAAATGTTTGGCCTGTCGGTCTGTGCATATGTCTATTTGTCTACCGTAAACCCCCTAATAGCCCCAAACGATGTCCCAAACGGCCAACATCATCCGCAGTGCCCACCAATATTTCTCAAACTTCAGCATTCGTACTTGTGCGATTGTCTATTAAAAAGCAATTATTGCGCTTATCTGAGGCACCATAACAACAAGTAAATATTTTGTATGCGTGCCTTTATGTTAGAGAAGGCATATATAAGTAATTCTAAAGACAGTAGCGTTTATCACGCTGCGCTGGCAATGCAACGCAATGCTCAAAAAGGCAAGTGCACGTTTCCAACGCTTTGCTAAGGCGACATGATGGTGGCAGCTGCCCGTAGCTTTGCGTTCTACACCTTATCGCCTCCGAGACAGGGGCGCACACCTTCCTTCGTTTTCGAAGATAACCGCCAGATAGCGCTTGCGTGTAACGTGCCTCGAGGCGCTCATTCGCCTTCGCTGCACGGATCGAGACTCTCTAACGCAGCGCCTCCGGAATACAATTGACTGATTTACTCGCGCAGAACACCAAATAAACGTTTTGTTCACTCTCTACAGCCGCAAGACTATCGTCTTACGACGACATTTGCAGTTAAACATGCAGATACGGGGCCATTTTTTTCGCGTCCGCCTCGTAACGCTGTGCTCAATTCAAAGTGACATATCAACCTTCCTCATTCGTGCTTCGCATATCATCGATTCCCAGAGTACGTCGAATCTGCCAAATTTTTTTCTTCCGCGCAACGCCATTATGAGCGCCAGTATCAACGTAGCTGCCAATGTAAGCGTTACAGCCCGCTGCTTCGCATCCACAGATGGTTCCCTTCAGCGGGAGATGGTGTGATTTTTTTGTTTCCGTTAAATGATACCGTACCAACTAGCCCACCAACAAGCATTAACAATTATGTTTGAGACATCGTTAACGCATGATGGTGCTATTAGGCGCAGCTTCTGCTGCTGCGAATGTACGAACGACAATAGGCATTCGCATTAGGGGGGCAATGTGGAGGGGGGGGGGGAAGCGCAGCTTCGCTAGTCACTTAAGCAGCGGGGGTGCCAAGTCTGACCCATGCGTCGAGATATATGGAGAGGAGCGTTGCGATGAGCCTTCGTAATAGACACTGCAGTTCGTGACATTAACATCTTTAGATCCGTAATTTAAAATGTAGATCTGTAATGATATACGTGCTTGCCATTCAGAAGTCCTGCGTTCTAGTCCCCCTCGGTTCGACGTTTTTTAGGGTTGGTTTATTTGCATGCATGTCGATTTTTCGCTCAGTGATGTTTTTCCCCTCACAGTAAACGACACTGATGCCGATGCAGTTTTTGCGAAATGAGCTCTTCATTGCAGTAGTGTTAAAAAAAAAGAGAGAGAGAGAGAATGCCAAGGACTCTTGCCGCAAGAGCTAAATGGAGATGAAACCATTGTGGAGGAAAGGGGAGGAGGTAGAAGCAATAGTGAAAAGAGATGTCAGTAGGTCGCTACTTCCTACTGCTTGCGTTGTTCATAATGTTCTTTAGTTGCCAACTAAATGTGTAAAAATGTAAGGATGGTATGAAGATCTTCAGTACAACTTGGGAGCATAGAGAACAACCTACATGATGCTATTAAGTACTTGGTATTGACACGCAAAAAAATATCAGGGGTTGCCGTGATTTTCCTGATCCCCAACTAGATGTCGCCTTATAGAACTTTCTTATTACAATTTACAAACATTCGAAAAAAAATGTACTTGCTTTGCCACAGATGCAAACATAATCGTCAGTGTAATGAAAGCAAGCGAACAAAGGGCTGCAGAATATTTATGTTTACTTGTGCGATTCCGGTTCCTCATAGAAATAGCAATAATGTGTTCATTAGAATTTTCTTAGAGTATATTTGCAGAGCTTCTTGTTACCGAGTAGTGCGAAAAACTACAACTTGTGAAATCGAAACCAGAGAGATAAAATACTATGAAGTTACGGAGAAAATGTTAAGGTCACAAGGCTTAATAGACATGGTTATTTTTAATGTCGACCTGAGAGGACATCGTGGGACAAGGCAAGGAAGGTGGTGCTCATTGTCCTGAAGGCAACTTACTTGCACCAGCAATTATAAGCTTACTGTGCAATGGTGACCTTTAAGTGCTACTTTTTTTAGTCCTTTCTCCTCTCTCTCTCTCTACATCTTTTTCTATCTTCTGAAACTCCCCCACCCCTTGCTCATGTGTAGGGTAGCATATATACCAGTCCTCTGAGACTGGTTAACATCCCTGCCTTTCTTTTTCTCCTCCTGCTCCTTCCATCCTTTACAGTCGATGAGAAAAATGAAAATTACCACTTACTTGCACACAATAGAGTCTTCGTCAACGTTAGGCACCTGTGCCTTTATCTGAAATATATTTGAACAGTAAATTAAATTAGAAATTCTTGCATTCATTGTCTCAGTCAAAGCATGACTGCGCTAAGACGGCATAAAATAGCTTTAAACATATTGTGGCTGCAGAATATGGCTTTTATCTAGGCTAGTTCGTGATCTTGCATGTTGAATTGTTGGAGCTTACAGTACCAAAGCAATAGCAGAAAGAAAACATACGGAACCACGTGCAATTATCGAGCTCCTTCCTTACAAAAATCAATTTAGACAGTCTATGTAAAGATCGACATAGAGGAAGGCACAGATTGCATAAGCACATCTTCATTTGCACTATATCGAAAAGAAATGATATGCCTTCACGATAAGTGTTAAAACATTTTAAAAGGATTTATTATTATTTTTTGTTTTGACCAGTTGATGCTTCACTACGCAACGTTGCACCTAATACAACGTGTTTCATTTAACTTGCGCCTAGTATTACAAAAAAACAAAACAAGCAGATGCACTGCGCTTATCAAATTTACTTGCAGTATTTTTCCGAGCCGTATAGTCGTCTCAAAAATGCAACCTCACCACTTTGACAAGTTCCGTCATGTCCGTTTCACAGGTTGGCTTTGCAGTGTCTCGTCTACGGCGTGCTGTTTTCTTTGTAATCTTGAATTTGATGGTGATCTTCTTTGCTGTGAAGGTATATAAGACAAAAGTTTAAATGAGAATTTAGGCATGTTCCAAAACTTCATATAGCATGTCGGTGGCATCGCACATAAAAAAAAAAGTTTTTTCAGTTGGTTATGTTTAGACACTGCAGCACATAATTTTGCAAAACAGCGTCAAATCTTCTAGAAAAAGTTATTGGAGCACATGGTGAGAATTAGCGCACAGTTTTTCAAGACTACATACATATCAGATGCGAAAGTGACAATTATGACTTCATTGTAGTTTCGCACTAAGGGCTAGAAAATATAAATGAATACAAGCGAAAAAACCTGAATGCGTCTGATGATTAGCATTCCTAAATCAATATGTTTTGTCAAGATTAAAGAGAACTGCTTAATAAAGCGGAGAGCCTTGTTTGCGCAGCTGAATGTTTGGTCTGTCTTCCATGATTAGTCTCGCTTCAAATAAATCTAAGCCGTGAGCTTGCGACAGATTTGTAAGAAGGTTACTTGGAAAATTTGATTATAATTTCTAAAATGCCTGCGTTTCGATGAAAACTTTACTTTGTCTTTTTTTTTCTCTATATATGAAGCAATTAGAGATTATCTCTAATTTGAAACATAATGCTACCACTTTTATGAGCGGAACGTTTATTTTTCTTGTAAAAAAATTAGGAGGATCAGGCGTATAAACACACAAGCCTGCATCAGACTGATGCACTAATCTTTGTTCCGGTGAAGCAACACAAACATAAATCATGGCTTATCCCTCCTTCATAGGATTCGGCATGACTCAAACGTGTTGTACCCTTTTGGAAGCGGCATTCTATTTAGACGTCTGCTGCAGTGCTAGAAAGAACCTCGAACCTAAAAAGCCTCAATATTTTGAGCACTACAACGGCAGATTCATTAGCCCCCGATCCTTGGGCAAATGGAAAACCCACGTATCTGCCCGTGAATATACCGCCAACCGAAACCTAAATTCAGGGTCTTAATATATACAAAAGAAATGAAACAAGAAAACTCGGGACTGTGTAGATCGGCAAGATTAAAAAATATTAAAAATGAGTAGGTTTACAAAGTCGGAAATTTTACCCAAAGGCAGATCTCGCAGTTTTTAATGGCATTTAAGTTGACCTTGTGGAATTTTTACTAAAACATTAACGAGGTTTCTTAAAAACTACAAATCAAAGTTATTTGCGTGTTTTGTAGAGCTGCACTTAATTTGGCTTGTAGTACACGTGGTGCACGTGGTGCGTTTTCAAGTGGTGTGCAATTGACCCTTATTGCACTGATAAAAAGCGCATAAGCATACTAAAGAAATATTGAGGGAAAGTCTGTTATGACAAGGTAAGTCTTTGACTGAACATGCGTATGTATCGATAGAATAAATCTTTTTTTTAACACTCTTAAGCAAATATTTGAAATCGAAAGTATTATGCGGCTTTACCAAGGAAGCTCAAAGGCGTATTCAGTTTCGATTGTGATGGCTATGACGGGTATGTTAAGTGTAGGGAAAACTCTGTTTCTGGCCTGTAAAAACCTTTTGAAAGTAATTACCGTAATCAATTTGTTCGTCCTTTTATGTGAGTAGCATCGCTATAGGCTTCTGTAAAACCGAAAGGCGGGTGAGTTGGAACTTACACATAGTGAGCAGCGCACCAACGCTTGTCCTGTTTCCTTCTTTTGTGTGGTTTCTGTTTGTGCGCTGCCCACTATTGATCGCAATAGGATTGCTTGGTATCATCAGTGAATAGACAACCGATACTTTTTTAATTTTACCTCATGGGTGATGGGAGGTTTATTTCACAGTGTCTTTAGATATATATGGTCTTACTATTCCATTACATGTCTAATCGATTTGAATCATCCTAGGCGTGCATTAAATGCTACAAATTTAGCTGGATTCCCACGCAATACCATCGAAGCGACCAACATTGTCTTCAGTAAAAGTGAGAGTCAAGGTAGTCAAGGTTCTGGCAATGTAAACTGGGGCAAAGACGCCTTTATAAATATCATTTATGAATTACTGAAGTATTATAAAAGGCCAGTGTCTCGAACAGACGTGAGGTATAGGCTAAAGAGGTGCTAAAATGTTTGGTTCATAAACAGGAGAATAAACTTTCTAATTCTTTTATTTAAAATAGTAAGCTTACTGTAAAATAAGTTCTAACTTATAAAGTAACGCGTTGTATTTTTACAAGCGAAAGCTATTTGAGACCATTTGAAAAAAAAAAGTGGCATCGGTTGAAAACACAGTGCCTTTTGTAACTAGGTTGTAAATATTTTTCTTGAAATAGAACAAGAGTCGTTGGTCAATACAACAACAATACAACAAGCTCTGCTACTCGTGAAGGCATATGACATAAGTGGTCACCTGCAACTACACTGCATTCTACACTGTATTGTGTGTTGTGGATTGAGTGCCTCGGACTTTCTCTCTTTTTTTTTTAACCCTGAACCCTCGTCTGACTTCGTACATGTATGGTAGAAAATTGATCAAAATTATTTCTTGCTCTCTGTCTCCAGCAAACTACGCAAAATTACGGCAGTTTCTGGCGGAACGAAAGGGAGTTTCTTAGTTCTTTTTTTTGTATTTAGTGCGCTTATGAACCTTCTGAATTGCCTAACATTTCTACTAGCAAAAAAAGTATACGATAGGATGACTACACTGCGTTCAAGGCATTTTCCATCCCTATACCCACCAATCTTGCACTCGCCGTTTTCGTCCTTCAGTCCTTTGTCGCAGACGCATTTTTCTTCTCCCTGACGAAGTTCACACCGCCTGTACGGAACTTCTGTGCATTTTTTGTTTAATTCGTCCGTGCACGTGTCTGAAAATAAAGAAAACAACATCGATGAAACTTGTATTCTCTATATTTCTGAAGTAAAAAATAAAAAAAACTCCTAGCTGGTATTCAGGAAGAAACAAATATTACTACACGATACGTTTTACGACATTAAAATAATCTCTCAGGATATCGGCGAAAGCGGATGCGTGCTCAGCAGCAAACAAGCAGTTCATTTTCCCGGACTTCAACTCACTTCCAAGCGCGAAGGACTTATGCCCCATCGATACTTCCGAACCGCTGAGAAGACAATTTCGTTTCATCGAAGCTGGGAGTGACCTGCCGTCGACCGAAGGAAGCCGTCGCACACGGTTCTGTGACCGTTCTTCATTGTGGCAGTCTGGGCTTGTTGCAAAGGCATTTTAAGCAGATATGATGGGTAGGCCAAGTAAGTAACAAGACACACAAACAAAAAAGGTGGTGCTAGCTTCCGACAAACCTTATTACTGAGACCAACCACTGTTATACATTTCATTGACAACACTCGGCAGAAAACTTCGACACCGCTTTAATATTGCAGGCTTTGCGTACCAAGACAGCGCTATAATTGTGAGGCACCACTATGAGACCAACTGTTTTGATTAACAAAACAGCAGATGATTTGTAATTGTTAAGGCCTATATGATTTTATGGCTACGTACACATTATACTAGTGCATTACCAGTGCTTTTTACTGTTGAAACGATCGAAGATACTGCTGAAGCGCGCGGCCGTTGAAAGCTGTATTAATCACTGTTTCTAAAAAAAAAAAGCTTGAGGGAAAATAAGGCCTGTGGCTCCATTCTCACCTTTTCATTGGCACTGTGTGACACCATTACTTGGTGTGACACCATTTTATTGCATGGTGCCACTGGGCAGGCATCCTTTCTTTAATCACGGAATTGAACCGCTTTTGTTGACTGCATGCGCAAGATGGGTTACGGCACGTGTATTCAGCTAACAAAGACTTCAGAAGCGTACGAGACATAAGGTTTAACAAAGTTGGTGGTGCAAGATTTGAAGAGCGTCGAAGGGATATCAGATGAAGTATAAACAGAGGTGCTCAGGGTATTGCTGCTTAGCTGATGTAGGAGCGTTGGTTTTGATTTTTAGCAAAAGAGGTGGATGTCGGAAACCTTAAGGTAATATAATCAAGGCACGCTATTTCGCTCTACTTCATCTTAATTGCCTTTCACATTTCATTCATAGTAAATGAGTTATTCCCACTTCCCTATCCCCTGTGTAGAGTTGCAGGCTAGAGCATACTAGCTCGGGCCGACCTTTCTGCCCTATACAAAATTTTCACTTTCTATTCGCTTTAAATTTATTCCAAATTTCATTCACTGGTCGCTTTAATGCTTTATTCATTGTTCTATATTTTTCACTTTCGGTTCACCTTAAAATTTTATTCCCATTAGGCTCCCTTAGCATTTTCTCTCATGCCGTTGCACGTTCAACGCACTTGCATGCATACCCTGCACAATATATACTACATCACATTTCATCATTCTTGCAGTCACTGTATTCAAATGTGATTCACTCTAATTCACCTTTGAGTCTGCTTAGTCCTTCTTTAGTCACATTGACCAAATTTATGTCTTAACTACCACTTTCATTACCTTGGTATACTGTAATATCATCTTTTCCCCCTACCCTCTAAAGCTGTCTACACACTTCCCGTTGTCGCACAACCATCTTGATCGCCTCATCTTTTTGTTAAATTACTGTTGACGCCACCTAGCGGTCTGCTGAACCATTAATACGGTTTATCTGTTGTGTTTTTTTTGTATGACACTGAGCATCTGTAATTTCTACGTCACGAAATACACGCGCTTTATCAGCGTAATATTGGGGCAGGGGTTTAACTCGCAACACCAATAAAACCAAAGAAAAATTGTTTCCGTCTCTCATAATGCAATAAAATATTGGCTATAATGAGCACACTTTCCACAAACCTGCCTACCTGAGCATACTGGCTTTTCGTCTTGCATCTTGCAAATCTTGTTGTTTTTCTTGCAGTCAGCTTTTATATCATCACAAGATTTTGGTGCCGCTGTGGTTTTGTCTGCATTGAACAGGCGAAAATAACGCCAAGAAAATACTTTGAGGATATGTAAGGTAAAAGTTGCAAACAGTACAAAAACTTCCAAATTTACATCCCCTATACGCATATGAAACTGAAACTGTATATTTTCTTTCTCCTCTTCTGTTTCAAGTGGGGGAGAGCATATAAAGTGCACAAGTACATGCGCTAAAAAAGGCAAATGCTGTTTTAAAAATGTCAAGAGCGTGTGTCTAAACTTTGGTTTCAGCGACATTGCGTTTTCGACCATTGCTACCCACAGATCAAAGACATTGCGCTCTTTAGCCACCTTAACCCTTGTGCCACGAAAAGCCACTAATCATCAACAGTCACACTTCTTTTTCAATGTTTTTTTTTTCATTTTCTTATAAACCGTATTTAAGTCTGATGTAATTGACCGACTTTATTTTTAAATAAAATTTTCTCTCTCTCTCGGAAAGAAATTAAGTTTCAATTAGAAATGAAGTATCATTTATGGCACAACAAGAACTTTTGAAGAATCTTTTTGTTTTTGAGAAAGGTTACGCCTGATAGAAAGAACATACACTTCATTGCTTTATCCTCTCATCCTACCACGCGTCATTTCCTTTTATGTGATATGAGGTAGTATTTATGCATCCAAGTAATGTTCCTGATCCACTAATATATTTCACATAACAAGGATGTTCTCGTATGTGTCAGTTGTGGAATGATAGGCAATACTTTAAAAGCTAACCACCAGATGGGTGTCGAACGCAATCCTACAACAATAAAGGCATAAAGGTAATGTGAAAGGCAAACGGTGCAAGCTAATAACTAGCAGTTTCGTGCATTCCCAGTTCAAGAAGTACAGAATTATGATAAACTCTCTTCTATTGAGCAGGGTAGCTCTACTTCGAATAGAGCTGTGAAAAGTCTCGCTTTCAGGGGGCAAAAACAAACAAACAAAAATAAGTCAGATTGAATCCTGTGAGTTTTCATGTGCGCTGTTTTTCGCACACCAAGATTACGTCGCTTGTCTTCCGAACTTCTCAGGAAATGTTTAGGGCGATTGATGTTGCTTTTCATCCGAGTCTCAGCACTATCTATAAGTGCACTTCATTCTGTCGATTAATTAGAAGTGCAAGAGAGCGGTGCATTGCTGTGTAGAGGAACTTAGCAGTTGTTTCTGCCGTTGAGCTGCTACTAGTCGTGACCGTCGTATACTGAGCTGAATCAGAAAGAGGGACAAAAGGAAAGTCACTCGCGCAACATATGCTTGTCACGGCTGACGTTAAAAGAGATTAGGCACTTACAATACTAGGATACTGAACTGTCAAATAATGCAGCAATGGTTGCTTTAGACAGTTTCTGAAGCCGTATCAGTTGAACCGATTGCGCTCAAATATAAAGCATTAACATACCTCTAAACGTTTGTACCTATAGGTGTCTGGATAAATGGTGGTTATATGAGTAAACAGTACCGTTAAAACTGCAGGTATAGAGGTATGCACTGAAGCATTATAGGAGAAAACTTGCAACAAAAAAAAGTAACCCGTGTATTCTCACTTTAACGAAACCAATTGATTACCTTCTCAAAAAGGAAGGAAATGTGCGAAGTGGTATTGAAGTAGTGGCAGAATTTGGGTGGTGTATATTAGGTCAATTCTGCCTGCTTTTTTGGCAGCATAAAAGTTAATAGTATTAAAATGTCATGATTGATTTCGGTGGTGCAGTCAAAAACTCAAAAAGTCGACTCGTTCTTTTTATTTCACTATTTATAGAATTACAAAATGCCTACAACAACATATTTTTAGCACCATTATATCAAAATATGCCAAGAAGCTCTTTGTAGGGAATAAGCATAAAAGCATTTTTAAATTAAAATTGCGATACTAACCAGCCCACGTCACCACTATTTTGAATGATAAAAGATTTCGCCATTGTCATGCAGTGGAATAAAATTGTTTTATGCAATACCTCAGTCAAGAATCACAAAACATATCTTTCATTAGATAAGTTGAAGTTGCCATAAATAATCATATGGGTTATTCCTTCTGTTTGTTACAAGCGATTATAGTGGTGATTACCAGTTTTATGAACGTTTTGCATAGCTGCTGTAGACGGCACACGAAGTCCACATTGATTACCGTTCTTTTTCTTCTAGTAGCATACTTGTATATAATCGATGCTCGGCTGAGACAAAATTCGATAGTTACAAAAACATACTATTTGGTACACAGTTTCAAATAAAAAAAAACAAAAATAACACAACATGCGTACCAATAGGGGCGCCTTTCGTGGGGCTCACTGCTGGTTCCGGGGTTCGCTTAGCTGTGGAAGAAGCAACTGTAACGTGAAAAAAAAAAAAAGGTTTCAGAATAGCTGTCGTTCGAACTGGCAGTTTCTTTGTTGCTAAGTTTTATGGTGTATTCATCTTCTACCAGGTTTGTATTGGATGAGTGCCAGTTATAGTTATTGATTGGGATTCGTATAAGCTCTTCGAGGCATTTTTCTGTGGTCCGGTTTATCGGAAAGTTTCGCAAATATGCTACCCATTTTTCATAACCTTTGCACTAAGCATCACTCCATTGGACGCGTAGACAATTTGATTTTTGCAATGAATATTTTGTTCATTATATCAGCAACGAGGACGCGTTTACCATAATGGCGCATTTATGTTAGAACCAGCACTTAGAAAATTTAAAGCGCACCGACTGGCAGGATGGTAGCCTGTCCGCTTCCGCTTTATGTGTTAGATCGGCATTGAAAGTGGTATTACTTGAACGACATTGCAACTGTGTTATGTTAAATGTATTCGTTCCGTAATATAGCAGGGCGATGTAAATTCACCTGTATTACCAATATTACATTAGAGTAAATATATATATAGTCGTCTTATCCTTAATTATTACCTTATTCCACGTCTACTGCAGGACGAAGGCATCTTCCGACGGCCTCCAACGCGTCGTGACCTGGACCTGCTTTATATGGCCGCAAATTGTTTCCAATTTCATCACGCCACCTAATTGTCTGCCGTCATCGGCTTCGTGCCCATAACATCCGTCACTCTGACAACCACTTATGTATCAGTTGGTTGTTCCTTTGAGTCCTGGCACAACCCAAGGTGGCAGATCAGCCATACAACGTACGGTACCTTATTTTAGAAGTATAGTTTTTTTACGAGTCAAATACTTTCTTATTCACATTTCCTGAACTGTACTCGTTAGCTTTCTTTTTTACTAAGGTCAGCTTGAACGACACCTACAGCTCTTCGTTCTGTGATGCCATCTGCCTCTCCGACAGCAACAATCTGGTGGAATTACTGTATCTTGCTCTCGAGGTTTGCCTTTTCGGGATGGAGTGCTTCTACTCTGGTTTTCAGGCAAGAACGGGTGCTTCATCTGAGTTTAGAATATTTCTTCAATACTCAAATTGATCTCCAAAATATAAGTGGATGAGGAAGTGCATTACTGGACAAGGATACTTGCCAGAAGTTGGTTGTGTCTCCCGGGGGCTAGCATCGGTGACCGCCGATGCCCCAGCTGAGCAAAGAAGAGTAAAGATGGAATGATTACCCACGCAATAAGCGATCATAACATATTGAACTAAGAAGCGTTATCTCTTAAACTGCTCGGTTATTTCTATCAAAACACGCGTTTATTACAGAAACACTTTTTGTTTGATAGGGACTGAAGAAACATGAATTGAATTATTGTACGTAAGTGTCACACAGACACATGAAGGGGCGTAGATGTTTAACTTGAAAAAAAAAAAACAGTTAGTTATCAAATCGAATGTAAGGAGTAGGTATGGGAACAGTATTTGGCAGCTTCTAGTTGTGAGAAACAGTGAGCGTATTAAATAAACCATGTGTACGGGTATATTGGAAGCGCAGTATGGGTAAATATTCTCACAACAGTAAAGACTTGTTTGTAATATCAAGTATATGGTTTTATAGTTTTCATGAATGTAATAGAAAACAAAAAGAAATTCAGGGCGATTCATATTACGTAAATTCTTATTGTTCTTTAGCTGCGTAAAATATTTTTATTGTTCTTGTTAATCAAGAAAACCCGTGAAATTTTTTGCAGGGAATTGGTATAAGTGGATTTCTGCATTATAATTTTTTGAGGAACTTATATGTCGAATCGCGGATAAGTATTACAAAACGTGTTACGTGTTCGATTATTTACCCTTAACATTGAAATGCTTGGCATCTGAACCACGCTCTTATTCTTCATTCGGAGCCACTGCTTTCTCCCGGCTTGCCGCGAGATGCTACAGCTCATCACAATGTCCGCTTGCTCCATCACAGATCGCTACTTAGCCGGTTTTATTTCAGCGCCTTTCTTTGACAGCCTTTTAGGATTAAATTTTTGGCATAGCCACGCCTAGTGATAGTAAAGGCATTTTTCTTCAAATCGAAAAGCTGCAGTAGACAAAGTAAAATAGCTATAGGGCATTGTTTACTCACAGGAGAAAAGCGAAAATGGGACACCTTGTGAATTCCGAAGTGTGTTCGGCGGAAGCATGTTACCATGCCATTGACGTAGCTACGTCTTTTTGATTTTTCGTGCAGTGTAGCGTTCAGTATAGGGTTTAGTAACGTTGAAATCTACAATCTTGGGGCGCTTCTCCCAACCACTTGCCATGTAAGCGCTCTTCTTGCTTTTTTGATCGATATTTTTTCTCTAGCGCCGGTTCGACGTTGAGGTGATTGAGGGTAATGTACTAACTAGTGCAGCATCGAGCTAGGCCAAGCCACACCGACATTGAAAATCTTCAATGCGACAGTCAGCACACTTTCATTCATATTAATTCGTGTAACTTTCAGCAGTCGCTTCGCCTACAACCACCATGGTGGTCATGTGGACTTGAATTCGGATCGTTCAGTACAATTGATCCATCAGCCACCACGAACTCCAGTAGGCGCGCTCCCCTGTCGTCTCCGGCGTTTGGTCCCCCCGCCAGGTGCTGGGAATTAAACCGCCAACGACCACATTTGGAGACCTCGCCTTCAGCAGTATTTCTTAAATGACCTGGGGCCCGCCGCCGTGGTCTAGTGGCTAAGGTACTCGGCTGCTGACCCGCAGGTCGCGCGATCGAATTCCGGCTGTGTTGGCTGCATTTCCGGTGGAGGAGGAAATGTTGTAGGATCATGTGCTCAGATTTGGGTGCATATTAAAGAACTCCAGGTGTTCAAAATTTTCGGAGCCCTCCGCTACGACGTGTCTGATAAGTGGTACTTTTGGAACGTTAAACCCCAACATTTATTATTACGGGCTATCCTACATCCACATCAAGATGAAGTTATCGCTCAATGAGGTCTAGTTATACCTGACCTATGTGGGCTTGCTTATTCCACTAAATGCTTACAAATTCGTGGGTGCTGTCACGTGATGTATTTATCAACCCCCATATCAATCAGTAGTTCTGTCGTTGCTAAGTGTCATCGTCCTCAAGTACAATTCCTGTGCCTTGATATCAATTCAGTCAACGGAACTTACCGTTGTATTTGCTTTCTCTCGTTATTTTTGTGACATGACCTGCGCTGATCTCGTTTTTCCCCAATTTTGGCTAGAATGCAAACTACTCGCGTTCGCTAATCCAATTTGCTGTCTTCGTTAGTTGCTGAAGACATTCATAGAAGTTGCTGTTCCTGGCCCATGCTGCTACTTCGTCGATAACTAGCGCTTGTTGTGAAATAATATTCCGATGGTTGAATATTACTCATAAATAGTAGAAAAACTTTTTCCACTATTAAGAAGTGTACTAGAATGGGCGTTACGATACGGAGACACTTACCAGGAACTGTGTGTGTCTGTGTGCTGCTAGTATTATGAACAGTGGATTCATCAGCTGAGCAAGAAAAGAATAGTAGGGAGAAAATGAAGGTACTTGGGCAATATAAAGCTTTTTGAAGTAGGTTTAAGAGGAGCGCAAGCTTTTAAAGATGAAGAGCTCTATTCATCAATGAACGCACTCTATCACCATCCTCCCCGCACAAGCAAACGCGCACGCACGCCCAACTGCCCGCCCGAAACACACACACACACACGCACACGCACACGCACACGCACACGCACACACACACATACACACACACGCACACACACGCACGCACAGACACACAAAGGCACACGCACGCACGCACGCGCACGCACGCGCCCGCACGCACGCAAGCAAACGCACAAACCAATGGACACACACACAAGCAAACGCACAAACCAATGCCCCCCCCCACACAAGCAAACACAAACACACACACAAGCAAACGCACAAACCAATGCCCCCCCCACACAAGCAAACACACACACACACACATACACACACACACACAAGCAAACGCACAAACCAATGCACACACACACACACAAGCAAACACACACACACACACACAAGCAAACACACAAACCAATGCACACACAAGCAAACGCACAAACCAATGCACACACACACAAGCAAACACACAAACCAATGCACACACACACAAGCAAACGCACAAACCAATGCACACACAAGCACAAGCAAACGCACAAACCAATGCAGACACAAGCACAAAAAATGAACGAACAAACGCACACACAATACATACGCAATACATACGCATACATGCATATATAAACACATACACATACATGGATATATAGACACATACACATACATGCATATATAAACAAATGCATGCATAGTATAACATTAGTACAGTGGTTCAGCTACCTGCTCAAAGGGACACTTCGAGAGAGACCAGGACGTTTAATTCTTTTGCAGATATATAAATGAGGGCCAGATTTTTCGTTGATATATGTTAGATAAGCTATGAATGCCTTTGAATCACATTATGACTGATAGTACGTTGCTGTGCTTAATTTTGTTGCGATGATTGTCCTAATGGTAAATGTAATGCCAACTCATAACTAGAAATTTTGTGACTGTAGCAAGAAAACAAGTACATGCGCTAAGAAAGGCAAATGCTGTTTTAAAAATGTCAAGAGCGTGTGTCTAAACTTTGGTTTCAGCGACATTGCGTTTTCGACCATTGCTAACCACAGATCAAAGACATGGCGCTCTTTGGCCACCTTAGCCCTTGTGACACGAAAAGCCACTAATCATCAACATCACACTTCTTTTTCAATGTTTTTTTTCATTTTCCTATAAAACCTATTCAAGTTAGAAGTAATTGACTGACTTTATTTTTAAATAAATTTTCTCTCACTCTCGGAAAGAAATGAAGTTTCATTTAGAAAGGAGGTGTCATTTATGGCACAACAAGAACTTTTGAAGAATCTTTTTTTTTTAGAAAAGTTGCGCCTGATAGAAAGAACATACACTTCATGGCTTTGTCCTCTCATCCTACCACACGTCATTTTCTTTTATAGGATATGAGGCAGTATTTATGCACCCAAGTAATGTTCCTGATCCACTAATATATTTCACATAACAAGGATGTTCTCGTATGTGTTAGTTGTGGAATGATAAGCAATAGTTTAAAAATTAACCGCCAGATGGGTGTCGAATGCAATCCTACAACAATAAAGGCATAAAGGTAATGTGAAAGGCAAACGGTACAAGCTAATAACTAGCAGTCTCCTGCATTACCAGTTCAAGAAGTACAGAACTGTGATAAACTCTCTTCTATTGAGCAGGGTAGCTCTACTTCGGATAGAGCTGTGAAAAGTCTCGCTTTCGGGGGCAAAAAAAATAAGTCAGATTGAATCCTGTTAGTTTTCATGTGCGCTGTTTTTCGCACATGAAGATGACGACGCTTGTCTTCCAACTTCTCAGGAAATGTTTAGGACGATTGATGTTGTTTTTCATCCGAGTCTCAGCACTATCTATAAGTGCACATCATTCTGTCGATTAATTAGAAGTACAAGAGAGCGTGCATAGCTGTATAGAGGAACTTACCAGTGGTTTGTGCCGTTGAGCTGCTACTAGTCGTGGCCGTCGTATCCTGAGCTGAACCAGAAAGAGGGACAAAAGGAAAGTCACTCGCGCAACATATGCTTGTCACCGCTGACGTTTAGACAGATTAAGCACCTATAATACTAGGATACTGAACTGTCAAACAGTGCAGCAATGCTTGCTTTAGACAGTAAGTGAACCCGTATCAGTCCAACCGATTGCGCGTAAATATAAAGTATCATGATACCTCACAAAGTTTTTACCAGATGGTGCCTGAATAAATGGTTGTTATATGATAATCAGTACCGTTAAAACTGCAGGCTAACGAGGTATGCACTGAAAAAGAAACAATTATTGGAGAAAACGTGGAACAAAAAAAGTAACCCGTATATTCTAAATTTAATAAAACCAATTGATTACTTTCTCAAAAAAGAAGGAAACTTGCAAAGTGGTATGAAGTAGGGGCAGATTTTCGGGTGGTGAGTTATTTCTGTCTGCCTTTTCGGCAGTATAAAGCGTAATAGTACTAAAATGTCATGATTGATTTCCATGGTGCGATCGAAAATTCAAAAAGTCGACTCGTTCTTTGTATTTCACAATTTATAGAATTACAAATGGCCTGAAACAAAATTTTCTTAGCATCTTTGTATCAAATAATCCAAGAAGCTATTTGTAGAGAATAAGTATAAAATCATTTTTAAAATAAAAATGCAATACTAACGAGCCCTAGTTGGCACTATTTTAAATGATAAAAGATTTTGCCATTGTCATGCCGTGGGATAGGATCCTTGTATGCAATAATTCAGTCAAAAATCACAAAACATATGTTTCGTTAGGTATATAGGTTGAAATTGCCATAAATAAACATATGAGTTATTCTTTCAGTTTGTTACGAGCGACTATAGTAGTTATTACCAGTTTTATGAATGTTCTGCATTAAAGAACCCCAGGTGGTCGAAATTTTCGGAGCCCTCCACTACGGCGTCTTTCATAATCATATCATGCTTTTGGGACGTTAAACTCCACAAATCAATCAATAAATGAACGTTCTCCATAGCTGCCGTAGGTGGTAAACGAATTTTACATTGATCACCGTTCTTTTTTCTTCTAGTCGCATACTTGTATACCATCGATGCTCGGCTGAGACGAAATTTGATAGTTACTAAAAATACTATTTGGTGGATGAATTCAAATAAAAAACGCAAAAATAACACAAAATTCGTACCAATGGGGGCGTCTGTCGTGGGGCTCACTGCAGGTTCCGAGGTTTGCTTAGCTGTGGAAAAAGCAACTGCAACGTGAAAACAAAGTTTGGTTTTAGAATAGCTGTCGTCCAAACTGGCAGTTCCTTTGTTGCTAAGTTTTATGGAGTATTCATCTCCTACAAGCTCTCTATTGGATGAGTGCCAGTTATATTTATTTATTGATATTTGTATAGGCTTGTCGAGGCAGTTTCTTGTGGTCAGGCTAATCTAAAAACTTCGCAAACGTACTATCCGTTTTTCATATCCTTTGCATTAATCTTCAATCAATCAATCAATCAATCAATCAATCAATCAATCAATCAATCAATCAATCAATCAATCAATCAATCAATCAATCAATCAATCAATCAATCAATCAATCAATCGAATTTTATCTTCGCTTCAGACAATACAGCGCAATGTAACTGCGAAAATAGGGGACCAGAGAAAAAAAGCTGTGCTTGCGCAGCTTGACTAAGCTCTGGTCACCCGTACAGCAGTAGTGACAGGGCAAAACATCTAACAAGTCTATATAGCCACAGTATATACAATGCGATTACCAAAAGCAGTTATGTAGACTACGGTGTTCTAATGAAAAAGCAAACATCAATGTATGTTTCAAGGTACAATCACTTTAGTAAAACCAGCTACTGTAAATATACAAACATGAGTAGTTCTAATACATTTACATAAACAGATCTAGTAAGGTTTTTTAGTAAAGTTGAAAACGTCAACATTTCTTTGTTCTAGTTCATTTAGTGTGGTTGCGAGTGCATAATCAAGTTTTTTTTCCCATAATGGGTACGCGAGAAAGGAACCTGGTATGGTGGGTGATACTTGAAAAGATAGAAAATTGTATTTGCTCGAAGATTTGCAATTTCTTCGAATAGCTGTGTTCTTCTTAATGTGGCATTTTTGTATGTTCTCAGCAGTTTATGCTTGTATATGTTGTGAATCTTCGTAATTTTATGTTTGTGGAATAAAGGTTCAGTGTGTTCTAGAAACGAGACGTTTTCTATTGAACGAAGTGCTTTTTTCTGGACCAAGAATATTTGCTCTTAGTTTGATAATGTTGTGTTTCCCCATATTAGCGTGCAATGATATAAGTGAGAGTTGAAGAGCGCGAAATATAACATTCTTTTAATGCTAACAGGAAAAGTGTGACGGTTTCGGCTTAATACACCGGCTGCTCTGCTTGATTTTCGCAATAAGGTTCTCACATGTTCATTCCAGGACATAATTCCTGAAACAATTACACCAAAAATCTTAATATGTTTCTCAATTTTGATTTGAAATGACCCAATAGTTATATAATCGTCGATGCTTCTTAAAATGCCCGGGGCACGGAACAACACACATTTAGTTTTCGATTCGTTTAAAGTAAGCCTATTGAACTTGCACCAGATCTGTAAGTTATGACAGAATGTATCACAATTTCGTGTTATGGTCTCCAAGTCTCTTTCCTCAAGAAGTACCGAGCAATCGTCGGCATATATAATATATTTACAATCCTCATAGATTCTTACAATATCATTATTATAGAAAAGGAAGAGAATCGGTCCTAGTATGCTACCCTGTGGAACCCCATATTCAATAGGCCTAAGGTGTGATTTACATTTATTTAGTTGAACGTATTGGTAGTGCGTTTTCAAATAAGATTTAATAAGTTGTAACACTGTCCCACGTAACCCATAATGTTTTAACTTTTCAAATAAAATTGAGTGGTTTACCCGATCGAAAGCTTTACTAAAATCTAGAAATATACCCAGTGTCATGACCTTGTTTTCAATGTTGTGTAATATTTCCTCTTTTTTTATCTTTCCTCTTTTCTTCATCTTCACCGCATTAGACGCGTAGGCAATGTGATTTCTGCAATAAATATTGTGTTCATTAAATCAGCAACCAGCGCGAGTTTACCATAATGGCGCATTTCGGTTAGAACGAGCGCTTAAAGAAAATTTAGAGCACAGTGTACAGCACCGTCGGTGAACTGGTAGTCTGTCCGCCTTATTTGTTTAATCTGCGTTGAAAATGGTTGTACTTAAAGACATTGCAACTTTGCTATGTTGAATGAAATGTTTCTGTATAGCTGGACGATATAATTTCGTAAGTATTATATTCATATTACGTTAGGGTAAGTGTATATTATCGTATTATCCTTAATCATCACCTTACCCTACGTCTATTGCAGGACGAATGTACCTTCCAATGGGCTCCATTGCGTCGTGACCTGCGCCTGCTTTATATGGCCGAAAATTTCTTTTGTAATTTCACTCCACCACCTAATTTTGTGCCGTCGTCGGCTTCGTAGACATAGCATGATATTTATCCGTCACTCTGACCACCACTTATCCGTTGGTTGGCTGTTCCTTTAAGTCCTGGCACAACCCATAGCGGGAGATCGGCCATGAAATGGACGGTACCTTATCTTAGAAATATAGTTTTTTTCACGAGCTGAATACTTTCTTCAGATTTGCTGAGCTGTCCTCGTCAGCTTGAACGACACCTACAGCTCTTGGTTCTGTGATGCCATGGGCTTCTCCGAGAGACAATAATCTGGTGGAATTGATGTATCTTCACTCGAGGTTTACTTTGTCGGGATGGCGTGCTTCTGGTGAGATTTTCAGGCAAGATTTGGTGCTTCATGTGAGCTTAGAATATTGCTCATGCGCCCAAATATATCTCATAAGTATAAGTACATAAGGAAGTGCATTTTTGCACAAGGAAACTTACCAGGTGTGTTCTGTGTCTCTCGGGGACTAGTAACGGGGGCAGGCGATGCTTCAGCTGATTAAGGAAGAGTGAGGAGGGAAGGATTACTCGCGCAATAAACTATTAACACATTATGAACTAAAATATTGCGATCTCTTGAACTACTCGGTTAAATTTACTGAAACACACGTTTCATACGGAAACACTTTCATTTGATAGGTATTGAATAAATGCGATTGCAATTTATTGTACGTAAGCATAAACACAGAAACATGAATCGGCATGGATGTTTAACATGAAAATGAAAAAAAAGAGGTTATGAAATCGAATGGAAGCAGTAGGTGTGGGGACAGTATGTGACAGTTTCTTGTTGTCACAAACAGTGAGTGTAGTGAATGAAGCATGTATAGGGGGATATTGGAAGCGTAGCATAGGTAAATATTCTTACATCAGTAAAATCTAATTTGTAATATTCAGTACATAGTTTAATCATTTTTGTCGATGTGATACATATTAGCAAAAAGTTCAGGGCGATTCATATTACGTAAATTCTTATTGTTCTTTAGCTCTATAAAGTATTATTTTACTTGTTATTCAACAAAACCTATGAAATAATTGAAGGGCATTGGTATGAGAGGATTTCTGCATTATTATTTTTGAGGAAGTTATATGTCAAATTGGGGCGAAACATTACAAATCGCGTGATGTGTTCGATTAGCGACCCTTAACATTGAAATGCTTGGCATCTGAACCACGCTCTTATTCTTCATTCGGAGCCACTACTTTCTCCCGGCTTGCCGCGAGATGCTACAGCTCATCACAATGTCCGCTTGCTCCATCACAGATCGCTACTTAGCCGGTTTTGTTTCAGTGCCTTTCTGTGACAGCCTTTTAGGATTAAAATTTTCGGCATACCGGAGCATAGTGATAGTAAAGCCATTTTTCTTCAAATCGAAAAGCTGCAGTAGACAAAGTAAAATAGCTATAGGGCATTGTTTACTCACAGGAGAAAAGCAAAAATGGGACACCTTGTAAATTACGAAGTGTGTTCGGTGGAAGCCTGTTACCATGCGATTGACGTAGCTACGTCTTTTTGCTTTTTTGTGCAGTGTGCAATCGGGGGAATCTACAACCTTGGGGCACTTCTCCCAACCACTTGCCGTGTAATCGCTCTTCTAGCTTTTTGGTCTATTTTTTTCTCTAGCGCCGGTTCAACGTTGAGGTAATTGAGGATAATATACTAATTAGCGCAGCTGCGAGGTAGAACTACTCCGACATTGCAAATGTTCAATGCGGCAGTCAGCTCGCTTTCATTTAAATTTTGTGTAACTTCCAGCAGTTGCTTCGCCTACAACCACGGCGGTGGTCTGGTGGCTAAGGTATTTGGCTGCTGACCCGCAGGTCACGGGATCGAATCCTGGCGGTGGCTGCATTTTTCAATGGAGGCGGAATTCCTGTAGACTTGTGTGCTCAGATTTAGGTGAACGTTAAGAACCCCTGGTGATCGAAATTTTCGGAGCCCTCCACTGCGGCGTCTCTCATACTCATATGGTGATTTTGGGACGTTAAACTGCATATATCAACCAATAAATCGTCATTGTTTCGCCTACAAAGAGTAACTTGCAGTATCTCTCAAAGGCACTTCTGATGTATGTATCCAATAAAACCTTTCAAGTTTTGTTCATTAAGGAGTACGACTACCAGTGCTAGGATTATATAAGATACGTATCCTCAGACCATAACAAGTCGCATCTATATCAAATAGATTGCTTGAATGACAGATTATTTGTGATGAAAATTAAAATGATTCGGTAATGTTGTGTGTATTTTGTAAATTCGTATGACCTTTAACGACATAAAATAGTTTAGCCTTTTTTTAAGTTACGAGAGCCCACGAAATTTTTTAGAGAGTTGGTATAGAATATTCAGGTAGCCTCAAGGTATTGAGGCAATTATGTGCTATAATGAAGTTAGGCATCTGGAAACACAAGTGTTCGATCAGTCCATCCTCTACTTTGTAATGCCTGGCGCCTTCGCCGCTCCCCCAATGCTCTTCCACGGCTACTGTGTTTTCGACCTATTGAATGAAAAGCAAGCATGAGTTGACTAAAGTATAGTGTACGTTTCAGGGGCCACGCTTCAAAACAGAGAGCGCAGTTTACCACAGAGTTGATGAAACGGTAGCCCGTCCGGTTCCAGTGAGAAGGATGTGAGTTTAATTTACACTTTTTAAAGCGCCACTTACACCGCGCTTTTAAAAAAGAAGGGTTGATTTGCTCCTCTCTTTCATACGAACGATGCATCCTTCTCGCCTCTTAGTTCTTGAATGCACATCAACAATATTAACACTAAGAGCTCGAGCCTACTAGTATTTCACGCTGTTGTCGCTGCTTGCGCAGTTGTGAACACACAAACTGGAGTTTGATTAGTTGATTGTGCACAATATTCATGCGAGACAAGGAAGGACGAATGGGCGGCTGCATGGAAAAGCAGTGCAGGAGAAAAATCACATGCGGTGTTTCGCGTATATCAACGAATAGAGAGCATGGACGCTGTAGACGTCACGGGAACTACTGTCTACGTCACAGCAGTAACCCAAGAAGGACGAGAAATATCGGAAAAGAATTATGCGCTTTTTGTTTGTACTTTGGAAGCTTGTCAGTGGCCTTTTGAATGTGGTTGAATTTGAAAGAGATTAAAAGTGGATTATAATAAATGTACGAGTAGACTTTATATACTTTACGTGCTGTATGTATTTTCACATGTATATATATTTTGAATACTCAGTTAAGGTTAATATATTTCATCTTCATCTCATCCGCTATAATCATGCTATCCTAGAACCCGCCTCGGTGGTCCAGTGGCTAAGCCATTCGTCTGTTGTCCCACAGGTCACTGGATTGAATCCCACCCCCGAAAGCCGCAGTTTGAGTGGAGGCGAAAACGCTTAAGGTCCTGTGCCATAGATTTAGGTGCATATTAAAAAGAACCCCAGATGGTCGAAATTTGCATAGCCCTCCACTGCGGCTTCTCTGATATATAAATGGTGCTTTTGAGGTGCTACACCACCAACATTTATTATTACATGCTATCCTACATCCTCTGCAAGATGAAGTTATCGCTCAATGACAGCTGACTTGTGAGGGCTTTTTCCACTAATCGCTTACAAAATCATGGGTTCTGTCGCGTTATCTAACTATCGACCCTCATCTCAATTAGTAGTTCTATCGTTCCTAAGTGCCATCGTCCCAGACTATGATTGCTGTGCCGTGCTATTGATTCCACCAGTGGAACTAACCATTGTTTTCTTTTCTCTTATTATTTTTGTTACATGACCTGCGCTGATCTCATTTTTCTCCTGCACGATTTCGGCTAAAATGGGAACTGCTCCTGTTCGCTAATACAATGTATTTTCTTCGTCCTAGGCTGAAGAAATTTCTTGAGTCTGTTCTTAGCGCATGATGCTACTTCGATGATACCTTGCGCTTGTTGTGAAGCCTATAATTCCGAGCTTTGAATATTACTCAAAATACAAAACAGCTTCAATTATATAATAAGAATTGTGGGAGAATGCGCGTTACAATATGAAGACACTTACCAGGAACTGTGTGTTCATTTGTGCTGCTAGTGCTTTGAATATTGGATTCATCATCTGAGCAAGAAAAGAATAGTAGGGATAAAATGAAATTACTAGGGCAATATGCAGCTTCTTAAACTAGGTTTAAGAGGAGCGCAAGTGTTTAAAAATCAAGTGCTCTATTCATCGGTGAACGCACTCTCTCTCTCTATCACACACACACACACACACACACACACACACACACACACACACACACACACACACACACACACCACACACACACACACACACACACACACACACACACACACACCACACACACACACACACACACACACACACACACACACACACACACACACACACACACACACACACACACACCACACACACACACACACACACACACACACACACACACACACACACACACGCAAGCGTACGCAAGCGTACGCAAACGTACGCAAACGTACGCAAACACAAGCAAACACAAGCAAACACATACGCAAACGTACACACACACACACAAGCAAACACATACGCAAACGTACACACACACACAAGCAAACACATACGCAAACGTACACACACACACACAAGCAAACACACACGCAAACGTACACACACACACACACACACAAGCAAACACATACGCAAACGTACACACACACACACAAGCAAACACATACGCAAACGTACACCACACACACAAGCAAACACACACGCAAACGTACACACACACACACACACACACAAGCAAACACATACGCAAACGTACACACACACACACAAGCAAACACATACGCAAACGTACACACACACACAAGCAAACACATACGCAAACGTACACACACACACACAAGCAAACACATACGCAAACGTACGCAAGCGTACGCAAACGTACGCAAACGTACGCAAACACAAGCAAACACAAGCAAACACATACGCAAACGTACACACACACACACAAGCAAACACATACGCAAACGTACACACACACACAAGCAAACACATACGCAAACGTACACACCACACACAAGCAAACACACACGCAAACGTACACACACACACACACACACACAAGCAAACACATACGCAAACGTACACACACACACACAAGCAAACACATACGCAAACGTACACCACACACACAAGCAAACACACACGCAAACGTACACACACACACACACACACACAAGCAAACACATACGCAAACGTACACACACACACACAAGCAAACACATACGCAAACGTACACACACACACAAGCAAACACATACGCAAACGTACACACACACACACAAGCAAACACATACGCAAACGTACACACACATAAGCAAACACATGCACAAACGTACACACACACAAACGCACACATACACACACAAACGCACACATACACACACAAACGCACACATACACACACAAACGCACACATACACACACAAACGCACACATACACACACAGTAAATGCACACATACACACACAAACGCACACATACACACACAGTAAATGCACACATACACACACAAACGCACACATACACACACAGTAAATGCACACATACACACACAGTAAATGCACACATACACAAGCAAACACATACAAACACGGTAAATGCACAAACAAATGCACAACAAATGCGCACCCACAACTCATACGCAATAAATACACATACATGATATATAAATACATGCGTGCATAGTATAACATCAGTGCAGTGATTCAGTTACCTGCTCAAGGGGACACTTCGAGAGAGGCCAGAACAATTATTACTTTTGCACAGATATATGAACCAGGCCAGATTTTTCGTTGATATATCTTACATAAGCTATGAATGGCTTTGAATCGCATTATGACTGATAATACGTTGATGTGCCTAATTTTGTAGCAATGATTGTGCTTATGTTAACGGACGAGTTTTTCTAAATAAGCTATGTTTATCTAATAAACTGTGTTATTTTTTGTTAAATAACGCTGATACGCTAATAAAAGATTGTGAAGTCTTCATAAAGGTTGCCAAGATGCAGTGATTTCACTGAAAGAAATCGGTATGTTTAAGCAGATGCTAAAGCAAGAAGTTTTGCGGGTGAGTGGGTTGTTTCGAGCTTTCTCTTTTGCTTCATTTCAAGTTTTTATAAAAGATCACGAAAAGAGGAGTTACGGTCCACATTTACGGACGTTTGGGCAGCAGTGCCGGACTTATTTTCGAATCCGAAGCATTTTTTTGTGTTACTTCAAGCATCTTTCCGCGTATCTATCTACTCATATCTACTCTATCCTCTATCTATCTATCTATCTATCTATCTATCTATCTATTCTATCTATCTATCTATCTATCTATCCTATCTACTACTCTCTATCTATCTATCTTAATCTATCTATCTATCGAATCTATCTATCTAATCTATCTATCATCTAGTCTCTCTTCTATCTATCTAGCTATCTATCTATCTATCTATCTATCTATCTATCCTATTTCGGTCTATCTATCCTGATCCTATCTGTATCTGTCTATCTATCTATCTATCTAGCTATCTATCTCTCTATCATCTATCTATCTATCTATCTATATATCTATCGTATCATCTATCTATCTACTATCTATCTATCTAATCTATCTATCTTTCTATCTATCTATCTGTCTATCTATCTGGTCTATCTATCTGTCTATCTATCTGTCTATCTATCTATCTATCTATCTATCTATCTATCTATCTATCTATCTATCTATCTATCTTATCTATCTATCTAATCTATCTATCTATCTGTCTGTCTGTCTGTCTGTCTGTCTGTCTGTCTGTCTGTCTGTCTGTCTGTCTGTCTGTCTGTCTGTTTACGTTTACGTTGGGTGCTCTCGTGGTCACACCCTTAACTTGACATGAACCAAAATTAGCATGGGGGTTAAGATGATTTGACGAGTATGACGCGCTGGTCAAGACACGAATATTGTCGCGTACGTCATAAAACAATTTCCGGAAAATTCAGCAGATGCCACGTGCCTTGGGAATCAACGTTATGCGGAGCATGCGGAGGGAAGGTGAGTGAGAGAGAGAGAAGTAAACGTTTAGTTTTGAAACAGTGTCCCGAGCAATGGCCGGTGTCACCCTGAGGTGGGAGGGCTCTTTAGTTCAGGAACCCTCTTGCCTCTACTGCCCTCTTGGCCCTGACGAAGAGTTGTTTTTGGTCTTCCAGGTCCTCAATGTCGAGCTTCGCCTCACAAGTTTCGGTTAGGTCTTCATTCGTCCGACCTGCTTCATTATCAGTCGAGTGTTGTTGCAGATTACGTCTGGCAATACACTGGCATGCGAGAAGCAAGTGCGCCAGGGTGTCCAGTACGCTGCAGAGCGGGCATATAGAGCTATATTTCGTTGAGTAGAGACGGTGCATTAGGGCCCCATGTCTGTATGTGCTGCTTTGCAGGCGTCTCAGTATCACGCTTTCCTTTTTTGTCATTTTTGGGTGTGGTGGTTGGTATACTCGTCGTTCCAGCCTTTCATGTTGGAGTAACGACGAGTAGGTGTTTCGAACAATTTCCGTCTCTTCAACGACGGGTCGGATGTGCTGGGGGTAGCCCGGCTGACGTGCTCGCGGGCAGCGGCGTGGGCCGCTAACCGTGTTGCAATTTTTTTATTGAGCAACACGTCATGAAATAATTCTAAATATATGTACTGATGTTGCACGCACAGACATAAATTAAAGAGTTGCAGATGTTTATATAACCAGTTGTTCGCAATGGCGAAACAATACCAACTGGAACATGCATATGAAGCTGATATGAAGCACTGATGCTCGTGATAGTGCTGGCTCTTGACACTGCTACATAAATCAACTTCAGCGCATAGAACTAAGCACAATTGACGTTAACCTGACTTGACGGCTGTATGAAAGGAGTACATATGTAATGTTCATAAAATTGGGTAGGCAACACTGCTATCACTATTGATGTTTCACTAAGATTAGCGTCTATTCTTGTCACGTCTGTACAACAGCAGAAAAGCCTAAAGAGATTATCAGCGGCACTTTTCTTGGACATTAAGGCTGCATACGACAATGTACTACATGAAACCATCCTGGACACCTTGGGCAGCATTGGATTGGGAGGCTGCGTTTACCAATGGATCTACAGCTATTTGAAGGACAGAACCTTCTTCGTTAAGACAAAAAGAAGATGGCGCAACAAGGCAACATCATACTTATCGCGGCGTACCTCAAGGTGGAGTCCTAAGCCTCATACTTTTCAACCTTGCGCTCATCGGCCTCGTTGACGTCCTGCCACAATCCGTACATCTGTCGATATACGCGGACGACCTTTGCATCTGGGCATCAGGGGTCACGCGTCTACACGTACAAGCCAGGCTTCAGACAGCGGCTACACTGACGTCAAACTACCTTCAAAGACGAGGACTGGAGCTGTCCTCTGAGAAATGCTCACTGGTTGCGTTTACGCGCAAGACAATGACGCCATACCGCATCAGCGTTAATGTACACACAATCAGCTATCAAAAGACTCACCGTTTCCTGGGAGTAATAATAGATCGTGATTTGTCTTGGAGCCCTCATATCGCTTACATGAAGTCTTAAGAAACTGACCATGATCACACACGTCCTAAGGTTTCTTGCGGGAAAATCATGGGGTGCATCGGTACGAGCCATGCTTCAACTGTATGCTGCACTTTTTCTTGGCTTCATGCGCTACAGCCTACCTGTGCTTGGCAAAACCCACATAACAAACGTACACATCCTCCAGTGATTACAAGCTCAAGCACAGAAAATATGCCTCGGGCTGCCGAGATGCGCATCCTCAGCAGCGACTGTCGCAATCGCTCATGAACGCCCTATCACAACCTACATTCGTGTCGATGCTTCAAGAACGCACATAAGACATGCCACCCGGATTCGATCGCATCACCTCACCTCGATTCCAACTTCCAGGCCACGCTCTGCGTTCTGCTCTATTATTGCCCCACATCGCACGGTGATTCCCACGAACTTCACGCCCGTAGCAAGACCGTCGTTACCCTTGTGGATTCTACGTCCACTGGAAGCCCCGATAACCATCCCCGGAATGCAAAAGAAGAAAAATTTGTCAAATTTGGCCCTAAAACAAACATTACTGTTTCTGCATGAGAAACACACTGGACGCATTCACATTTACACGGATGGGTCAGCCACATCAACAAGTTCAACAGGCGGAGTGGTAATTCCGGAGAAATCCATCATGATAAAGTTCAGGACCTCGCATCTGACATTATCCACGGCGGCAGAACTCGCCGCCATTCGTGCCGCTCTGGAGTTCCTAGTTGAAGAACCGCAACAGACATGGTCAATATTCTCCGACTCCAAAGCAGCTCTCCAGGGCATTGCCTCGCCATATCGTCATGGACCAAACGAACAGCTAATTGCTGAAATACGACTGCTTCATCACCGGGCTATAGAAAAACAACATGATATAGCGTATCAATGGATACCAGGCCACTGCAGCATTGATGGAAACGACCGTGCAGATGAAGCAGCCCGAACTGCTCATGATGATGCCCGTTGTGTAGCTATACCATTATCAAGAACGGATGCCGCTGCAAGGCTTCGATCACTTGCACGAGAACTGACACTCGCTCAGTGGAATTCACCAGCATTCATCAACGTCCGCCTTCATAATTTGGACCCACACCTACAGCTCCGCCTTCCATCAGGAATAACCAGAGCAGAGGAGACACTTTTGTGCCGTCTGTGGATTGGGGGTGGCCTTTACGAATGCTTATTCGTTTTGAATCGGAATGGCCAGAAGCCCGACATGTGACAACTGTGGCTGCGCAGAGACTTTCTCCCATCTTCTCTGCGAGTGTCCCCGCTTCAGCGTGCCAAGAAAAGAACTGTCGAAAGCGTTAGATAGAATTGACAATCACCAATTGTCAGAAGAAAGGGTATTAGGACACTGGCCGAGACCGTCCTCTGCACGCAAGGCATTGAGAGCGTTTTTGCGCTTTCTGCGGGCAAGTGGTCTTAGAGACAGACTGTAAACAGCGTCGTGGATCGTCTGATGACCTTCTCTCTCCTTTTTTTACAACGTCTCTTTTCTCTCATCCTTTATCCCCCTTACCCCCCTTCCCCTGTACAGGGTAGCCAGCCGGTCTGAGAACTGGCTAATCTCCCTGTCCTTCCTCATTTATACCTCCTCCTCCTCCTCCTTAGCGCCTATTTGAAAAGTTGTTTCGGGACCTGGCGTAGCTTTGTGTTAAAATGCTTCATTGCCACGCACAATGCTTGGGTTTGATTCCAGCTGCCACCCTGAAACTTATTCTTTGCAATGGTCTGGTCGATGCTACCAATTTCGGGTATTTCTTGATGCTCGCGCGTTAAAATTTCCCATGTGTGTTCTCGTCGCTCCTGGGTAGATACTAAGCGTCATTCACCTGTGGCACATACCCGCCTCTGAGTATGTGCCACTCTCTGGCGGGAAGTGTTTGGGGACGCACGTGACGGGATTGTGACATTATTCATGTCTTTATCAGCGCGTCATTTTCGTCGAACCATCTTACCCTCCCATTCTGAGTTTGGTTGACGCCACGTTAAGGGGTGGACCACGAGAGTACCAAAACGTAAGCGGCTAGACAGATGGACAGATACGCTCAAAGTCATTGAAGTTCGCTAAGAAACGCTTCGCATTTAAAAACAGTGGCACGTACCTGGATGCGTGTATGTGACACTGGTATGCGGGTATGTGCCACAGCTGATAGATATTTTGTGTGTGCCAAGGAACGGCGAGAACACACATGGGTAATTTTAGCGCTTGAGGATTAAGAAAAACGCTGCCATAGGCAACGTTGACTGGATGAATGCAAAGAATAAATGGTTAGTGTCCCAGCTGGAATTGAATCCTAGCATTCGGCATGGTAATGGAGTATGTTACCACAGAGCCACGCCAGGTGTCATGTTGGGTTAACGTAGTTAGGCGCCATTCGCCGAAGTTGATTTGTGAAACAGTGCTGAGGGCTACTATCCTCGCGCGCAAAAGCGCAAACACCAGCTCCTGATATCATCTTACCGCTACTGGTGTTGTTAATGTCCATGTTGCTGTTGGCATCGTTACTCAACTGTAAACAACTGCTAATATGAAAGAAATGGGGTTGTTTAGCGTATGTGCGTGTGTGAATTTGTACATATATTTAGCGCCAGTTCATAACGTCCCACTCAACAAAGAAAAAAATAAAAGACATTCACCTTCCATCCGCTTGCTTCGCATAACATCGATCTGCCGAATTTCCTAAATCATGTCTTCCTTCAAGAGGTATAGTTGCAACGAGATATCGTGTTGTGCCTCACTGAGATACGTTTAAGGATTTATCAACACCCACAAATCAGACAACCGACTTGAAGAATGTCAAAAAGGCCGAACGTACCAATAGAGGTGGCTATCGGTGGGCGTACTGTTGGATCCGGTGTTTCCTTGACTGTAGAAAAAACAACAACAGTAAGGACAGGAAAAATTTGGCTGCGCACTTGTATTCTTCACAACTGCAGTTTTGTACTCCTTAGTGCCTAATGAATGTAAGAACTACTTCAATAGACAAGTGGCGAGCGACACACACAAAGCTGTGTTCGCCAAGCCTTGTCTGCTGTTCTGTCCACAGATTCGTCGTGTTGCCAACATGCCCAAGTTTGCGCCCTTTATGCTAAAGGCTGTCAAGAGTCTTACAACTTCTATTGGCACCAAGGTGTATGAACACCGGTGAAATCTAAATATTGTTGGTTCTTGAAGCTCCCCGAAGCGTTTTGTTGATGACAGAAGCATCTAAATATATCGGGCGTACACAAAATTGTTTTCTGTATTTTCACGCTGTGGTGTGTACGACGTCTCGCCCGATTGAAGCTGCACTGCCCACAACGTTACCGTCATGAGGCTTTCTATTGCGGCAGCAATTATATTGTATTCATTCATTTATTTACCACTAATGCCAATCTCATCAAAGATTATAGCTGGGAGGGCACATGAACACATTTGTTTACAGAAAATCATAATTGTTATACTCATAAAGAATGGAAGTTACAAAATGACATGCAAGTAATACATTATACATTTCCATAATCAGAACAGACAATCAAACAATTTTAGTAACATTGGAAACGTGAACTACATTATCGCTAAAAGCAACTGGAAAAGATAAGAGGTGCATTTGTAAGATGGCATAGGGTCAACAAGTACACATTATTATTGAACAAATCATTCAAACAATTTATGAGCACAAAGTTGATCGAATAACAGATCACCGAAAATGTTACGATCATAGAAAACAAACTCTATATTAATAACATGATACAGACTCATCGCTTATCGGGTTTATTGATGTGATGTCGTTTGCCGAATTAGTGGGGAAAACAATTTGCTTTCAATCGCAGCTGTAAACAAGCTTATGGATGATTCAGTGGTTGGCAGGGTTCAGTGAGTTCCAATCTTTTGTGGTTTGATGAAAAATGAATATATGAAGCAATTAGCGTTGAAAGAGTATTTAGCAAGAGTCTAGGAATGAATATGACAGGTTAGTCTACTGTGAAAACAAGATATATACCTCGGAATATCTGTTTCCATTATGTTGTGTAGTAGTTTAAACATAAGTTCTAGCCTTGCCAGTTTCGTTTCGTTTTGTAGTGTCAAAATGCCAGCGTTGTTAAGTAAATGGGTCGGTGAGACAGCCGGTCTATATTTATTAAAAATAAATCTTTTTGTTTTTCTTTGAACCACTGATATTTTGTTAGTATGTTGGTGGGTAAACTGGAACCAGACAGGGCTGGTAAATTCTAGTACAGATCTGACGAGAGTTAGGTATTCGGTGGTGCTCAAGACGTCTTTCCAGTGAAATAGCCTTTTTTAAAGCTGTGCTACTTATGTTATCATTTTAGCATCCCATCTCTGGTCGTTTGAAATTGTTACCACTAGATATTTGTGGTTAGAAAGTGTGGTTAAGGGGCAGTTGTCATTGGCATAAGTTAGGACCGGTGTTTTTTTGCGGGCCATTGCCATGCATGCACATTTACCTATATTTTGGGACATTCGTCATATTTTGCACCACTTGTGTACATCTTCTAATGCTGTGCCTAAATTTATGTGACCGACAGGAGTAATTTCTTCATGAAGTACGCAGTCATGTGCAGATAGCCTCTGTTTTACTTTAGTGGAGAGGGGCAAATCAATACTGAATATTGTGAATACTATTGGTACTAGTAAGCTGCCTTGTGGTACGCCTGAAATGACTGCTGCTGTTCTAGAGGTGGGGTCCTGTAATTGAACAAATTGTGAGTGATTGCCTTAGTAGTTCTTAACACAGTGTACAATAGTACTATCTCCAAGATTAACTTTTAATTTACATAATTATTTGGTATGTGAAACATGATCGAATGCTTTTGAGAAATCAACGAATATAAGATCGATTTGTTCATGGCTATTAATGGACTCCGCTGCATCATTAATTCTAAAAATTGAGTAACCGTTGAGAGGCCCTTTCGGAAACAGTGTTGTACTGGAGACAGGATATGTTTTTTAGGTAAATACTTATGTGTTTCCATATCACATGCTCTGTTAATTTACACACAAAACAAGTTAGTGATATTGGCCTGTAATTTGAAACCACAGTTTTCCTGCCTGCTTTGTGTATTGAAATATTTAGGAGTTTTCCATACGGTGGGGACAGTGCATGAATTTAGTGATTTATTAAAAATATACATAAATATTTTGCTACCCTCTCCGCATACCTTTTAAAGAAGACATTGATAACTTGTTGGGACCGGGGCCCTTCATGGTAATATTATGTAGAATCTCACAGATACGTGGAATCTCACGAAGTTTTCTGCCGTCGCCACCATGCCCCGCATATTTATATGCATGCACTTATTTCAAAGTAACAGCTAAAAACAATTCAGAAGAACATTAAATGTCTAGTGTGCGACGGGGAATTCGAATCTTCCCGCTCTCGTTCCGAAAAGCACTGTGTTGAAGAATTACGCCCCGCACTTTATATTGTAGCGTTGCAGAGGCAGACAGGCTAAAAAACAAGCATCTTTATTAGGGCGAACTTGTGCCCACGAGTCTAATAACTATGGTCGTTGAGTCCGAGTAGCCGAGAGGCACAGATTCAACTATCTTCCTCTTCCTCGTAGGCCAAGCGCACGAACGCGTGGCGCATGGCAGCCGCGTCTTGCTGGTGCTCTTGCCACGATGATTGCTGCGGGCTACTTGAACGTGGCCAACCTGTCGCGGCATTATCCCCCTCCTCAGGCGCATCGTCCCGATGCTTGAGAGAGTGAAATGACACATGCGCACTCTCACTTGTTTTCCGACGATCTGTCATGATAGGGCTTTATGCGGACTACGTGTACCACTTCCGTGGGATTGCGGCGTCTTGAGCTCACGTGTCTCGTGGATCTGACTTCATAAGTGACGTCGCTGATACGGTTGAGTACTTCGTAAGGGCCGAAGTATCGACAAATAAGCTTTTCAGAGAGTCCATGGCGGCGCACTGGGATCCATATCCACACTTTGTCACCGGGATGGTAAGGTGCGTCACTGCGTCGCTTGTTGTACCGACTAGAGTCGACGCGGTGTTGACGGCGTATTCGGTATCTTGCCATTTGTCGTACTTCTACGGCTTTTTGCAAGAAGTCATCTAAGTCAGGTGGATAGCTGTTTTCGTCCTGCAGTGATAACATGGCATCCAGTGGGGTGGTCACTCTTCGGCCGAATACTAGTTCGAAAGGGGCAACGTGGTTTGTTTCTTGAACGGCTGTATTATATGCGAATGTTACGTAGGGTAATATTTCATCCCACTGTTTATGTTCAACATCGACATACATTGATAGCATGTCGGTCAGAGTTCTGTTGAGGCGTTCGGTTAAGCCATTTGACTGAGGGTGATACGCCGTTGTTCTTCTGTGATCGGTATTTGTCATGCGCATCAGGCATTGCATTAGGTCTGCAGTAAATGCGGTGCCCCGATCCGTAATAACGACGATGGGCGCACCATGTCTGAGCACTATGTTGTTCACAAAGAACTTGGCGACTTCGGCAGCTGTCGCACTGTACAGAGAGTCAGTCTCAGCATAACGGGTCAGATAGTCTGTAGCTACAACAATCCATTTATTGCCTGCACATGATATCGGGAAAGGTCCTAGAAAGTCCATGCCGACTTGTTGGAACGGGGCATCCGGAGGGTCTATTGGCTGGAGAAGGCCGGCTGGTTTTACGGCTGGAGTTTTGCGCCGTTGACATTGACGACAAGTTTTCACTTAGCGCTGCACTGATGCGAGAAACTTAGGCCAATAGTACTTCAGGCGAATCCCGGCGAATGTTCGGCTCACACCCATGTGGCAAGATGTTGGCTCGTCATGACATGCATGCAGAATTTCCTGTCGCATGGCTGTGTGCACGACTAGTAGAAACGTTTCGCCATTAGGTTCGAAGTTCCTTCTGTAAAGGACACTTCCTCGAAGGCAGAACGTGGAGAGCCCTCTGGAGAATATTCGAGGAACTTGAATGTCGAGACCCTGCAGGTGTTGTATAAGCGCCAGCAAATCCGGGTCATCTCGTTGTTGTTGAGCGATTTCGGATGCGTCGACAACGCCTAGAAGCGAGAAGTCTTCCTCTTCAGGTACACTTGGATCGACGGGAGAGCGTGACAGGCAGTCGGCAAATCTGTGTTTACTTCCATATTTGTATACGACAGTAATGTCATACTCCCGCAGCCTAAGGCTCCATCTGGCTAGTCGACCTGACGGATCCTTGAGATTTGCCAGCCAGCATAGAGCATGGTGGTCACTGACAGCTCTGAACGGTCTACCATAAAGGTAGGGTCGAAACTTATTTATTGCCCAGATGACTGCGAGGCACTCTTTTTCAGTTGCAGAGTAGTTTGCCTCAGCTTTTGAGAGTTTGCGGCTGGCATAGGCTAACACTTTCTCTTGACCATTTTGCCACTGGACCAGGATGACGCCGAGGCCGACATTGCTGGCATCGGTATGGACTTCAGTGTCGGCTGTCTCATCTAAATGGGCAAGTATTGGTGAACCCTGTAACCGTTTTCTTAATTCATCAAAAGCTTTCTGTTGTTCGCTTTCCCATGTGAAGGGCCCGTCGTCTTTCGTTAGTTTTGTAAGAGGTTCCGCAATCTTTGAGAAGTTTTCCACAAATTGTCTATAGTAGGCACATAAACCCAAAAATTGACGCACTGACTTTTTGTGTTTGGGTGTAGAGAACCTTTGAACAGCGGCTGTCTTTTCGGAATCAGGACGAACACCGTCAGAACTAATGACATGTCCAAGGAATCTCAGCTCTTCAAAGCAGAAGTGGCATTTTTCGGGTTTGATTGTCAAGTTTGCTGACCGGATGGCTTGTAACACAGTGCGCAGTCGCTCTAGATGTTTGTCGAACGTTGCAGACAATACCACTACGTCATCCAAATACATTAGGCATGACGGCCATTTCAATCCCGCGAGGACAGTGTCCATCATTCGCTGGAACGTCGCTGGCGCTGAACAGAGGCCGAATGGAAGCGCTTTGAATTCATAGAGGCCATCTGGTGTTACGAATGCCGTTGTTTCACGTTCCCGCTCGTCGACCTCTATTTGCCAATATCCGCTTTTCAGATCCAAAGAGGAGAAAAACTTTGCGGATCGCAGCCGATCTAGTGTATCGTCAATACGTGGAAAGGGGTAGACATCTCGTTTAGTTACACTGTTGAGTTTTCGGTAGTCGACACAGAATCTAAGCGTGTTGTCTTTCTTCTTAACGAGCACTACGGGGGACGCCCATGGATTATTCGAAGGCTGGATGACATCATCCGAAAGCATTTCCTCCACTTGCTTCTTAATGATTTCCTGTTCTTTCTGTGACACTCGATATGGATGCTGGCATATAGGCCTCATGTCGTCTTGCGTTATAATTCTGTGCTTCGTAATTGACGTGCGCTGGACCTTCGAGGCAATTGAAAAGCAATCAGAGAATTCTTTTACTAAGGCGTAAATCTGTTTCTTTTGACTGTCCGGATGGCTCTGGTTGACCGTCACAGATGTGTCGATGTTGCAGGCCACTGGTCGAGTGGTTGACTTGGTTAAGCTGCATAGTTCGGTCACCATACAGAAGTCGTGTAAATAGGCAATAGCCGTGCCTTGAGCGACGTGTTGAAGTTCATTGGAGAAATTTGTAAGTAGGACATCTGCACGGCCATTTGTCAAGTGAACAAGACCCCGAGCTACGCAGACACCTTTTTTCAAAAACAGCCCTGCATTTGTATCCGGTATGCCTTCGCGGTTGTAAAATGCGTCTTTCTCTACGAGCACCATTATATTGCAGCGTGGCGGCACAGTTACGTCATCATGAACAACGCGTAGAGCAGTTAGACGTTGTTACTCAGATTCCTCTACAGGTATGGCTCGTTCAGTCGAAAACGACACGCTGGACCTACGCAGGTTAATTACGGTGCCATTCGCTCGCAAAAAATCCATTCCTATAATGAGGTCTCTTGAACATTCTGGTAGCACAATGAAATCGGCAACGTAAATAAAGCCCCGTATTTCAAGTCTTGCAGTGCATCTGCCAAGGGGCGTAATAATGTGACCACCTGCCGTGCGTATCTGCGATCCACTCCACTGTGTCACAACTTTGTTTAGCTTCTTCACCATCTTGTGACTTATCACTGAATAATCAGCACCGGTGTCGACTAAGGCATTCAGCTCCCATCCTTCCATTCTCAACCGCAAATCTGAAGTAACGCTTTCGTTGCGGCAACCATTTACCGGAAATGCACCGTCGTCGCCCTCAAGCCATATTGCCTGTCGCGGCAATATTCTCCGGGACACACACGGATAGCTGTTTAGATGCACAATTAACATAGGCGTTACGCAGAGTTCAGAGGTGTTTCAGCGTGTTTGTTATTACCTTCAGAATGCCACGAAATCACGCTATAAAACCTTCGCTCCGCTAGTATACCTGCGTATGGGTATGCTGCAGTTGTGTTTGCAAGTTGTGTTCGCAAGGAACGTTTATTCATACTTGGGCCCTTTATGATTATGGTGGGTGGCGTTCCTCTTCCAAGGCATCGTTGGCTGCTAGAGACTGACTTGTCTGGTCTCGCCCGAATGAAGTCACCCGTCGGCTTCCCATTTTCTGTTCCTCGAGCCATGCCTCCCAAGAGCAGCCTAGGGAGGGCTGTTCAACAGAGGCAACAGGGAAACCTCCGCGTGTAGTGTGCACTGATAAGCGATGTGCCTAAATTGCAGGGATGCGGTCACGCCTGTAGCCGCTGTCATAATGAACTGATAGCTAGAAGTGGGAACTAGTTCAAGCAACAACTGTGGCCATTCAATCTCGTCATGTTTTGTGTTTTAGCAGCGTGCTGCGAGTCAAGGTGTGACAGTTGTCAGAACGCGTGTTTTTTTTTCCTGCGTTATTTGTGCTTGAACAGCTAGCAGCAGGTTTTGAGCTTCTTGCCGTTCTTTGTGTGACATTTCAGTTGGATGGTACAGCATTCATTGACTTGCCTTTGTGGCGGCGATACTGATACAGTTTTCAGGACCGAGGCTTTGAAAAAGATTTCGCAGTATACGGTAGAGGTAGCATGTTGGTGGTGTGCCTGCTTTCAATGGGGAAGTGCTGGGTGCATTTCCAAATCAAAAACATCGTTAAGTTTCATTAAAACGGTAACACGATCATAAATGATGAAATTATGTTTTCAACTGGTTGTAGGTCGCCTGTCCTGTATTCTCAATATAAAGCAAGAATAAATCAGTTTTATCTTTAGCATCAACATTAGAGTTTCTTTCTTACGTCCACTGAAGGAATAGGTCTCCTCTAATGTTCTCAGATTTGCCCTGGAAGGTGCGAGTAGATTCGTTTTTATGCGTGTAACATTCTCGATTTCATGACTCCATTTAACTCTCTGACATCGACTACTTGCCCATCACTTGGCATCCATTCTGTCGTTTTGATTGACCACCGCTTTGCATTGAGTGAGCTGTATTTGTGACATATTTAACGGCCAAGCTGATCTAGCTCACGTCAAAATGTGTGTCGTGGCACAAAACTATCAACATCATGAACTGGCACACACTGTCTTAGCCCTTTCCTCATTGACAATGAAAAGCGTGATAACCTATACGTAGACTCCGTTTTTATAATAGTATACGTACTGAATACGATGGCCTTTCCGTCTTTTTCGGTACAGTGGCAGTTGTCTTTGGCCGTGCAATTCGACGTTGCATCCTGGCATGTTGCTGCCACTAGGGTCGTTCAATGCACCAAAAGAAAAAAAATAAGAAAGCATGCAAATATCTGTCAAAGGTGAGTTTTGCATTATTTATATTTAACAAGCTTAAAAATGTTTACATGATTGAGCTTTGTCTCGTTTGTTAATTGCGGGAAGCGCAATGACTTTTTGAATCCGTTTCAAAAATAGTATATGTACCGAATACGGTGCTTTCCGTCATGCGGTCACGCCTGTAGCCGCTGTCGTAATGAACTGATAGCTAGAAGTGGGAACTAGTTCAAGTAACAACTGTGGCCATTCACTCTCGTCCTGTTTTGTGTTTTAGCAGCGTGCTGCGAGTCAAGGTGTGACAGTTGTCAGAACGCGTGTGTTTTTTTTCCTGCGTTATTTGTGCTTGAACAGCTATCGGCAGGTTTTGAGCTTCTTGCCGTTCTTTGTGTGACATTTCAGTTGGATGGTAGAGCATTCATTGGCTTGCCTTTGTGGCGGCGATACTGATACAGTTTTCAGGACCGAGGCTTTGAAAAAGATTTCGCAATACGGTAGAGATAGCATGTTGGTGGTGTGCCTGCTTTCAATGGGAAAGCGCTGGGTGCATTTCCAAATCAAAAACATCGTTAAGTTTCATTAAACGGTAACACGATAATAAATGATGAAATTATGTTTTCACCTGGTTGCAGGTCGCCTGTCCTGTATTCTCAATATAAAGCAAGGATAATTCAATTTTGTCTTTAGCATCAACATTAGAGTTTCTTTCTTACGTCCACTGAAGGAATAGGTCTCCTCTAATGTTCTCAGATTTGCCGTGGAAGGTGCGAGTAGATTCATTTTTATGCGTGTAAGATTTTAGATTTCATGACTCCACTTAACTCTCTGACGTCATCGACTACTTGCCCATCACTTGGCACCCATTCTGTCGTTTTGATTGACCACCGCTTTGCATTGAGTGAGCTGTATTTGTGACATCTTTAATGGCCAAGCTGATATAGCTCGCGTCAAAAAGTGTGTCGTGGCACAAAACTATCAACATCATGGACTGGCACACACTATCTTAGCCCTTTTCTCATTACCAATGAAAAGCGTGATAACCTATACGTAGACTCCATTTTTATAATAGTATACGTACCGAATACGATGGCCTTTCCATCTTTTTCGGTACAGTGGCAGTTGTCTTCGGCCATGCACTTCGACGTTGCATTCTGGCATGTAGCGGCCACTACGGTCGTTCAATGCACCAAAAGAAAAAAAAAATTAAGAAAGCATGCAAATATCTGTCAATGGTGAGTTTTGCATTATTTATATTTAACAAGCTTCAAATGTTTACAGTGATTGAGCTTTGTCTCGTTTGTTAATTGCGGGAAGCGCAATGACTTTTTGAATCCGTTTCAAAAATAGTATATGTACCGAATACGGTAGGCTTTCCGTCTTTTCGATACAGTGGCAGTTGTCTTCGGCCGTGCACTTCAACGTTGCATTCTGGCATGTTGCCGCCACTGCGGTAATTCAATGCACCAAAAAAAAATTAAGAAAGCATGCAAATATCTGTCAATGGTGAGTTTTGCATTATTTATATTTAACAAGCTTCAAAATGTTTACAGGATTGAGCTTTGTCTCGTTTGTTAATTGCGGGAAGCGTAATGACTTTTCGAATGCCGTTTCGAAAATAGTATACGCACCGAATACGGTAGGCTTTCCGTCTTTTTCGATACAGTGGCAGTTGTCTTCGGCCGTGCACTTCAACGTTGCATTCTGGCATGTTGCCGCCACTGCGGTAATTCAATGCACCAAAAAAAAAATTAAGAAAGCATGCAAATATCTGTCAATGGTGAGTTTTGCATTATTTATATTTAACAAGCTTCAAAATGTTTACGTGATTGAGCTTTGTCTCGTTTGTTAATTGCGGGAAGCGCAATGACTTTTCGAATCCGTTTCAAAAATAGTATATGTACCGAATACGGTAGGCTTTCCGTCTTTTTCGATACAGTGGCAGTTGTCTTCGGCCGTGCACTTCAACGAGGCATTCTGGCATGTTGCCGCCACTGCGGTAATTCAATGCACCAAAAAAAAATTAAGAAAGCATGCAAATATCTGTCAATGGTGAGTTTTGCATTATTTATATTTAACAAGCTTCAAAATGTTTACATGATTGAGCTTTGTCTCGTTTGTTAATTGCGGGAAGCGCAATGACTTTTTGAATCCGTTTCAAAAATAGTATATGTACCGAATACGGTAGGCTTTCCGTCTTTTTCGATACAGTGGCAGTTGTCTTCGGCCGTGCACTTCAACGAGGCATTCTGGCATGTTGCCGCCACTGCGGTAATTCAATGCACCAAAAAAAAAATTAAGAAAGCATGCAAATATCTGTCAATGGTGAGTTTTGCATTATTTATATTTAACAAGCTTCAAAATGTTTACATGATTGAGCTTTGTCTCGTTTGTTAATTGCGGGAAGCGTAATGACTTTTCGAATCCGTTTCAAAAATTGTATACGCACCGAATACGGTAGGCTTTCCGTCTTTTTCGATACAGTGGCAGTTGTCTTCGGCCGTGCACTTCAACGAGGCATTCTGGCATGTTGCCGCCACTGCGGTCGTTCAATGCACCAAAAGAAAAAAAATTAAGAAAGCATGCAAATATCTGTCAATGGTGAGTTTTGCATTATTTATATTTAACAAGCTTCAAAATGTTTACAGTGATTGAGCTTTGTCTCGTTTGTTAATTGCGGGAAGCGCAATGACTTTTGGAATCCGTTTCAAAAATAGTATATGTACCGAATACGGTAGGCTTTCCGTCTTTTTCGATACAGTGGCAGTTGTCTTCGGCCGTGCACTTCAACGAGGCATTCTGGCATGTTGCCGCCACTGCGGTAATTCAATGCACCAAAAAAAAATTAAGAAAGCATGCAAATATCTGTCAATGGTGAGTTTTGCATTATTTATATTTAACAAGCTTCAAAATGTTTACGTGATTGAGCTTTGTCTCGTTTGTTAATTGCGGGAAGCGCAATGACTTTTTGAATCCGTTTCAAAAATAGTATATGTACCGAATACGGTAGGCTTTCCGTCTTTTTCGATACAGTGGCAGTTGTCTTCGGCCGTGCACTTCAACGAGGCATTCTGGCATGTTGCCGCCACTGCGGTAATTCAATGCACCAAAAAAAAAATTAAGAAAGCATGCAAATATCTGTCAATGGTGAGTTTTGCATTATTTATATTTAACAAGCTTCAAAATGTTTACAGTGATTGAGCTTTGTCTCGTTTGTTAATTGCGGGAAGCGTAATGACTTTTCGAATCCGTTTCAAAATAGTATATGTACCGAATACGGTAGGCTTTCCGTCTTTTTCGATACAGTGGCAGTTGTCTTCGGCCGTGCACTTCAACGAGGCATTCTGGCATGTTGCCGCCACTGCGGTAATTCAATGCACCAAAAAAAAAATTAAGAAAGCATGCAAATATCTGTCAATGGTGAGTTTTGCATTATTTATATTTAACAAGCTTCAAAATGTTTACGTGATTGAGCTTTGTCTCGTTTGTTAATTGCGGGAAGCGCAATGACTTTTCGAATCCGTTTCAAAAATAGTATATGTACCGAATACGGTAGGCTTTCCGTCTTTTTCGATACAGTGGCAGTTGTCTTCGGCCGTGCACTTCAACGAGGCATTCTGGCATGTTGCCGCCACTGCGGTAATTCAATGCACCAAAAAAAAATTAAGAAAGCATGCAAATATCTGTCAATGGTGAGTTTTGCATTATTTATATTTAACAAGCTTCAAATGTTTACGTGATTGAGCTTTGTCTCGTTTGTTAATTGCGGGAAGCGTAATGACTTTTCGAATCCGTTTCGAAAATAGTATATGTACCGAATACGGTAGGCTTTCCGTCTTTTTCGATACAGTGGCAGTTGTCTTCGGCCGTGCACTTCAACGTAGGCATTCTGGCATGTTGCCGCCACTGCGGTAATTCAATGCACCAAAAAAAAAATTAAGAAAGCATGCAAATATCTGTCAATGGTGAGTTTTGCATTATTTATATTTAACAAGCTTCAAAATGTTTACATGATTGAGCTTTGTCTCGTTTGTTAATTGCGGGAAGCGTAATGACTTTTCGAATCCGTTTCAAAAATAGTATATGTACCGAATACGGTAGGCTTTCCGTCTTTTTCGATACAGTGGCAGTTGTCTTCGGCCGTGCACTTCAACGAGGCATTCTGGCATGTTGCCGCCACTGCGGTAATTCAATGCACCAAAAAAAATTAAGAAAGCATGCAAATATCTGTCAATGGTGAGTTTTGCATTATTTATATTTAACAAGCTTCAAAATGTTTACGTGATTGAGCTTTGTCTCGTTTGTTAATTGCGGGAAGCGTAATGACTTTTCGAATGCGTTTCGAAAATAGTATATGTACCGAATACGGTAGGCTTTCCGTCTTTTTCGATACAGTGGCAGTTGTCTTCGGCCGTGCACTTCAACGAGTGCATTCTGGCATGTTGCCGCCACTGCGGTATTCAATGCACCAAAAAAAAAATTAAGAAAGCATGCAAATATCTGTCAATGGTGAGTTTTGCATTATTTATATTTAACAAGCTTCAAAATGTTTACAGTGATTGAGCTTTGTCTCGTTTGTTAATTGCGGGAAGCGTAATGACTTTTCGAATCCGTTTCAAAATAGTATATGTACCGAATACGGTAGGCTTTCCGTCTTTTTCGATACAGTGGCAGTTGTCTTCGGCCGTGCACTTCAACGTTGCATTCTGGCATGTTGCCGCCACTGCGGTCGTTCAATGCACCAAAAAAAAAAATTAAGAAAGCATGCAAATATCTGTCAATGGTGAGTTCTGCATTATTTATATTTAACAAGCTTAAAAATGTTTACATGATTGAGCTTTGTCTCGTTTGTTTATTGCGGGAAGCGTAATGACTTTTCGAATCCGTTTCGAAAATAGTAAACGTACCGAATACGGTAGGCTTTCCGTCTTTTTCGATACAGTGGCAGTTGTCTTCGGCCGTGCACTTCAACGAGGCATTCTGGCATGTTGCCGCCACTGCGGATAGTTCAATGCACCAAAAAAAAAAATTAAGAAAGCATGCAAATATCTGTCAATGGTGAGTTATGCATTATTTATATTTAACAAGCTTCAAAATGTTTACATGATTGAGCTTTGTCTCGTTTGTTAATTGCGGGAAGCGTAATGACTTTTTGAATCCGTTTCAAAATAGTATATGTACCGAATACGGTAGGCTTTCCGTCTTTTTCGATACAGTGGCAGTTGTCTTCGGCCGTGCACTTCAACGTTGCATTCTGGCATGTTGCCGCCACTGCGGTCGTTCAATGCACCAAAAGAAAAAAAATTAAGAAAGCATGCAAATATCTGTCAATGGTGAGTTTTGCATTATTTATATTTAACAAGCTTCAAAATGTTTACATGATTGAGCTTTGTCTCGTTTGTTAATTGCGGGAAGCGTAATGACTTTTCGAATGCGTTTCGAAAATTGTATACGCACCGAATATGGTAGGCTTTCCGTCTTTTTCGATACAGTGGCAGTTGTCTTCGGCCGTGCACTTCAACGTTGCATTCTGGCATGTTGCCGCCACTGCGGTCGTTCAATGCACCAAAAGAAAAAAAAATAAGAAAGCATGCAAATATCTGTCAATGGTGAGTTCTGCATTATTTATATTTAACAAGCTTAAAAATGTTTACATGATTGAGCTTTGTCTCGTTTGTTAATTGCGGGAAGCGTAATGATGACTTTTCGAATGCGTTTCGAAAATTGTATACGCACCGAATATGGTAGGCTTTCCGTCTTTTTCGATACAGTGGCAGTTGTCTTCGGCCGTGCACTTCAACGTTGCATTCTGGCATGTTGCCGCCACTGCGGTAATTCAATGCACCAAAAAAAAAAATTAAGAAAGCATGCAAATATCTGTCAATGGTGAGTTTTGCATTATTTATATTTAACAAGCTTAAAAATGTTTACATGATTGAGCTTTGTCTCGTTTGTTTATTGCGGGAAGCGTAATGACTTTTCGAATCCGTTTCGAAAATAGTAAACGTACCGAATACGGTAGGCTTTCCGTCTTTTTCGATACAGTGGCAGTTGTCTTCGGCCGTGCACTTCAACGTGGCATTCTGGCATGTTGCCGCCACTGCGGTCGTTCAATGCACCAAAAAAAAAATTAAGAAAGCATGCAAATATCTGTCAATAGTGAGTTATGCATTATTTATATTTAACAAGCTTCAAAATGTTTACATGATTGAGCTTTGTCTCGTTTGTTAATTGCGGGAAGCGTAATGACTTTTCGAATCCGTTTCGAAAATTGTATACGCACCGAATATGGTAGGCTTTCCGTCTTTTTCGATACAGTGGCAGTTGTCTTCGGCCGTGCACTTCAACGTTGCATTCTGGCATGTTGCCGCCACTGCGGTCGTTCAATGCACCAAAAAAAAAACGTTAAGAAAGCATGCAAATATCTGTCAGTGGTGAGTTTTGCATTATTTATATTTAACAAGCTTCAAAATGTTTACATGATTGAGCTTTGTCTCGTTTGTTAATTGCGGGAAGCGTAATGACTTTTCGAATCCGTTTCGAAAATTGTATACGCACGGAATATGGTAGGCTTTCCGTCTTTTTCGATACAGTGGCAGTTGTCTTCGGCCGTGCACTTCAACTTTGCATTCTGGCATGTTGCCGCCTCTGCGGTCGTTGAATGCACAAAAAAAAAAAACGTTAAGAAAGCATGCAAATATCTGTCAGTGGTGAGTTTTGCATTATTTATATTTAACAAGCTTCAAAATGTTTACATGATTGAGCTTTGTCTCGTTTGTTAATTGCGGGAAGCGTAATGAGTTTTCGAATCCGTTTCGAAAATTGTATACGCACGGAATATGGTAGGCTTTCCGTCTTTTTCGATACAGTGGCAGTTGTCTTCGGCCGTGCACTTCAACTTTGCATTCTGGCATGTTGCCGCCTCTGCGGTCGTTGAATGCACAAAAAAAAAAACGTTAAGAAAGCATGCAATATCTGTCAGTGGTGTGTTTTGCATTATTTATATTTAACAAGCTTCAAAATGTTTACATGATTGAGCTTTGTCTCGTTTGTTAATTGCGGGAAGCGTAATGAGTTTTCGAATCCGTTTCGAAAATTGTATACGCACGGAATATGGTAGGCTTTCCGTCTTTTTCGATACAGTGGCAGTTGTCTTCGGCCGTGCACTTCAACTTTGCATTCTGGCATGTTGCCGCCTCTGCGGTCGTTGAATGCACAAAAAAAAAAACGTTAAGAAAGCATGCAAATATCTGTCAGTGGTGAGTTTTGCATTATTTATATTTAACAAGCTTCAAAATGTTTACATGATTGAGCTTTGTCTCGTTTGTTAATTGCGGGAAGCGTAATGAGTTTTCGAATCCGTTTCGAAAATTGTATACGCACGGAATATGGTAGGCTTTCCGTCTTTTTCGATACAGTGGCAGTTGTCTTCGGCCGTGCACTTCAACTTTGCATTCTGGCATGTTGCCGCCTCTGCGGTCGTTGAATGCACAAAAAAAAAAAAAACGTTAAGAAAGCATGCAAATATCTGTCAGTGGTGAGTTTTGCATTATTTATATTTAACAAGCTTCAAAATGTTTACATGATTGAGCTTTGTCTCGTTTGTTAATTGCGGGAAGCGTAATGACTTTTCGAATGCGTTTCGAAAATTGTATACGCACGGAATATGGTAGGCTTTCCGTCTTTTTCGATACAGTGGCAGTTGTCTTCGGCCGTGCACTTCAACTTTGCATTCTGGCATGTTGCCGCCTCTGCGGTCGTTGAATGCACAAAAAAAAAAAAACGTTAAGAAAGCATGCAAATATCTGTCAGTGGTGAGTTTTGCATTATTTATATTTAACAAGCTTCAAAATGTTTACATGATTGAGCTTTGTCTCGTTTGTTAATTGCGGGAAGCGTAATGAGTTTTCGAATCCGTTTCGAAAATTGTATACGCACGGAATATGGTAGGCTTTCCGTCTTTTTCGATACAGTGGCAGTTGTCTTCGGCCGTGCACTTCAACTTTGCATTCTGGCATGTTGCCGCCTCTGCGGTCGTTGAATGCACAAAAAAAAAAAACGTTAAGAAAGCATGCAAATATCTGTCAGTGGTGAGTTTTGCATTATTTATATTTAACAAGCTTCAAAATGTTTACATGATTGAGCTTTGTCTCGTTTGTTAATTGCGGGAAGCGTAATGAGTTTTCGAATCCGTTTCGAAAATTGTATACGCACGGAATATGGTAGGCTTTCCGTCTTTTTCGATACAGTGGCAGTTGTCTTCGGCCGTGCACTTCAACTTTGCATTCTGGCATGTTGCCGCCTCTGCGGTCGTTGAATGCACAAAAAAAACGTTAAGAAAGCATGCAAATATCTGTCAGTGGTGAGTTTTGCATTATTTATATTTAACAAGCTTCAAAATGTTTACATGATTGAGCTTTGTCTCGTTTGTTAATTGCGGGAAGCGTAATGAGTTTTCGAATCCGTTTCGAAATTGTATACGCACGGAATATGGTAGGCTTTCCGTCTTTTCGATACAGTGGCAGTTGTCTTCGGCCGTGCACTTCAACGTTGCATTCTGGCATGTTGCCGCCTCTGCGGTCGTTGAATGCACAAAAGAAAAAACGTTAAGAAAGCATGCAAATATCTGTCAGTGGTGAGTTTTGCATTATTTATATTTAACAAGCTTCAAAATGTTACATGATTGAGCTTTGTCTCGTTTGTTAATTGCGGGAAGCGTAATGACTTTTCGAATGCGTTTCGAAAATTGTATACGCACGGAATATGGTAGGCTTTCCGTCTTTTTCGATACAGTGGCAGTGGTCTTCGGCCGTGCACTTCAACGGTTGCATTCTGGCATGTTGCCGCCTCTGCGGTCGTTGAATGCACAAAAAAAAAAACGTTAAGAAAGCATGCAAATATCTGTCAGTGGTGAGTTTTGCATTATTTATATTTAACAAGCTTCAAAATGTTTACATGATTGAGCTTTGTCTCGTTTGTTAATTGCGGGAAGCGTAATGAGTTTTCGAATGCCGTTTCGAAAATTGTATACGCACGAATATGGTAGGCTTTCCGTCTTTTTCGATACAGTGGCAGTTGTCTTCGGCCGTGCACTTCAACTTTGCATTCTGGCATGTTGCCGCCTCTGCGGTCGTTGAATGCACAAAAAAAAAACGTTAAGAAAGCATGCAAATATCTGTCAGTGGTGAGTTTTGCATTATTTATATCTAACAAGCTTCAAAATGTTTACATGATTGAGCTTTGTCTCGTTTGTTAATTGCGGGAAGCGTAATGAGTTTTCGAATGCGTTTCAAAAATTGTATACGCACGGAATATGGTAGGCTTTCCGTCTTTTTCGATACAGTGGCAGTGGTCTTCGGCCGTGCACTTCAACTTTGCATTCTGGCATGTTGCCGCCTCTGCGGTCGTTGAATGCACAAAAAAAAAACGTTAATAAAGCATGCAAATATCTGTCAGTGGTGAGTTTTGCATTATTTATATTTAACAAGCTTCAAAATGTTTACATGATTGAGCTTTGTCTCGTTTGTTAATTGCGGGAAGCGTAATGAGTTTTCGAATGCGTTTTGAAAATTGTATACGCACGGAATATGGTAGGCTTTCCATCTTTTTCGATACAATGGCAGATCTCCTTATTCTTGCAGTTTTGCGCTGCTTCCTGGCATGTTGCGGCCACTATGGTCGTTCAATAACCAAAAGAAAAAAATTAAGAAAGCATGCAAATATCTGTCAACGGCAAGGTATGCAGTAATTTGTGTTTAACGCGCTTAAAAATGTTCGCATAATTGAGCCTTGTCTCGTTTTGTTTATTGCGGGAAGCGTAATTACAGGTACATAAACGGTTATGCTCACTGTACTTTTCATACAACTTGCGCAAGCGCTAGATAAGAGAGTCGAGCTTTTGACCGTATGCCTGGAACCATGCATGAGTTCAACATGTGGATGAGTCATACACCATGGGGAAGTTGCAATTCTGGACGGAGGTATGCGTTTACGATATGTCAAGGCTGTCTTGCAAAATTAGACTCGAGGTCGGTCTTATAGCAGTGAGGCTGGATGATGGGCAGAGGCGCGAGTATGCTGCCTCACGTGTGCTCTGAGCACTTCCATTACAATATGCAGCTTGAGTGGTAATCATTTGCGATCGCAATTGTCTCAGCTGTTGACGAACACCACGGTAGCCCCAGACAAACTCGCGGAGTCATAGACTGGATGCTTTCGAGAGTGCGAATGCTGGTGGGCATGTATTGATCAACACCGGCAAGCTGTATCGCAAATTACCGAGAAAATGCGTCTTGTACATTTACATCATTGCATGTACTTGAAGTCCCCCAGGTTTTTTCTCCAAGATATTTGAATAAGTTAGCGATTTCTCTCAGGGCTTCTTCTTAAAGTGGGCCACATGTGGGCCTCAGCAGAGGTCTCTATCAATGAATACGCCTACAAATTTGTGCGTTCTGACATATGGTATGACTTGGCCGTCGATAGATATAGCGTATGGCTTCATTGGCTTTCAACTAAAAGCAATCAATGCGCATATCACTGGCGAGGTACACTGACACCAACGTCGCAGCTTTCTAGAGCCTTGCACGTACTAGAGGTCTTGTCACGCCAGATGCCCAGACGCAGATGTCGTGAGCGTACATAGATAGCTTGAACACACTCTAAGAAATATCGAGTAAAAAGGGTGTCTTTTGTCCCACAACAATAATCGTCATCAGGCTTGCGTGCCCTTATTTTCTTGAAAACTCGGCGCTGGCCACTTTCCTATCGAGAATGCAATGTAACCCTTTTAATGGGCATGTCGATCGTGACCGGAATATACCGGGCGCGGGGTGATAGCGCAAGGATGGAACACAATATAGATGACGATGATTGTTGTGGGACAAAAAGACACCCTTTTTACTCGCTCTTTCTTTAGAGTGCACACTCGGTAGTCGTTCCCCACGACCAATGAGAACGAGGTTGAAGAGGGTTGGACTCAAGACGCCACCTTGTGGAGCTCCACAATACGTGGAGTGTTGGGAGGCTGGAGCATCTGTAGTGTTCACAAATAAGGTCCGCCGTTGTAAATAACTGCGTGTCCAACAATACAGCCTCCCACCTAGGCCCCCTGACTCAATAGCTTCGAGGATGGCGTCATGAAGAACATTGTTGTATGCTCCTTTTACGTCAAGGAACATGGCAACAGATAATCGTTTACATGCCTTCTGATGCTGGACATACGTGACAAGATCTATAAGATTGTCGATGGAACATTGGTGATGGCGAAAAGCAGCCATGGCGTTCGAATATATGTCGTAGTATTCAGGGTACTTTTCAAGCCTGACCAAGATAATTCTCTTCATTATTTTCCCAACACAACTTGAAAGTGCGATCGGTTGGTAGGAGCTGACGTCCAGGGAAGATCTGCCAGGCTTAAGAAGCGATACCGAGCGGCTAATCTTCCAGTTTTGCGGGACGACGCCATTGTCAGGATTCGTTGAAGATGTTAAGGAGCGCTTTTCGTGCCCGTTCACCAAGGTGGAACAGCATTCGGCAAGAAATGTCATCCGGGCCAGTCTATGACGACCTATTACATAGGACGAGCGCCGCATCAAGTTCCTTTGATGAAAACGGTAGATCCATGCGCGGGTCCTATGAGTTAGTAATATGGTTCACTGTATGTAGGCTTGTGTACGTTGTGTGGCCCACAATCATAGCGCAGAACTCTTATGCCATCTCTATTTCATGTCGGCATTGGAAAAGTGCAAGGGGTCTCAAAGAAAAGCGCTGCTATGGTACAAGAACCTAGGACTCGCAGAGTGCTCCATATCTGAGACAGTGGCTTATGTGGATATAGCAACGCAAAGAATTTTCTCCATCGATGGGTATATAATTTGTCGAGGCGCCGTTGTATCTTCTTTTGAATGCGCCTGGCTGTTCGTAGATCGTGTTTGGAATCGGTGCGTCGGTATCTTCTTTCAGCACGACGGCGGATCGCACGAAGTCTCTCTAGCTCGAGGTAAAATTCGGAGTACTTCGAAGAGCATATTATTGTGCACATAGCCAGATGTGCAGTCTGCTTAATAGCTTGCTGAAGACCATGAAAAAGGCCTTCCCCACAAGCATCCTCAAGTTGAGTTTTGAACATAGTCCAATCTATTTTTCTTGTCGCGGTAGATGAGTAGGTGTTCAAAATACCTTTGATCTCCAGGTAAGTGGAGATATCGTCCCTTCTGTGTCTTTCAATGTCCAAAAATCACTTTACCCATGCAGCGAATCCGCGTGACACAATACACAGATCAAGGCTGCTGCTATATGTGGTGCTTCGCTAAAAAGTAGGACTTGCGTCATTCAGAAGGACGAGACCATGGCTGGAAACCAATGATGCTAGACGTCGTTCTCTTGAATTAACCCTTGAGCTTCGCAAGATAGGATAATGTGCATTGAAGTCCCCTGTGATAACCCTCAGACCCAGATGCGCCCTTAAATGCCGTCCAGTTTATTGGTGTCTAATTCACTTGATGGGAAAATATACACACCACGGAGTGCGAATGTCTCCTTCCCATTTTTAGCAGTCAAGCACACATACTGATTGCCGTCGTCAAGTCGCACTGGCTGGAGGACGTTAGTAAGCTCTCGGCAAATAAATACAACCTTGCTACTTTCGATGTCACTTGATTAGAAAAATGACTCGTAGCCGGATAATCTGATTGGGTGTGATAATTTCGGCTCACATATAACCATGGCAGGAAATTGGCATAGACGAACGACCTAACGGAAATCATACATGCGAGATCTAAGACCTTTTGCGTTTCACTGAAAAGTCGACTATTCTCTGACCTGTTGTCCAAACGACTTGTGATTGTCGGCCATGACTTTGCCGGAGACTTGCAAAGACGGGGCTCAACGTGTCTAGCAGTTGTAGGCTGCACCTAGCAGTTGGCGTATCAATACTTGTCAGAAGACTTTCGATGACACTCACAATAGATTGCAGCATAGGTAAGGTTTGACGATCTGCTGTCGGAGCCTCGTCAGCAGCAGCATTGGCTTTCACTGAAAGCAGAAAGCGAGAAGGCTGCTTAAAAGGCCGTGCGTTCGCCAGCGCTGGCCAGCCTTCAGGGGAGAGAGGCTTCGCCGGTGGAGGTATTCTTGTGCTTTCTGGCTTTCTACTAGATGTTGATGGTGGTGTATACTTAGGTGGTGCATGAACATCACCATGACTAGAGCGCTTCCCTTGGTGGCGACGTTGACGCCGGATTTTCTTTGAAGCTTCTCGATGGGTGGAGTTATCCCTGACCACTTGTTTCAGGATACCGAATTTTCTTGACTCTTGAGAATTCTTTAGACGTGGCTTCATGGGTACCTTGACAATTGCCGCACCTGTAAATTGTTTCGCAACAGGTGTCTACCATGTGCGACTCCGCGCCTTGGGGGCATACGGCAGTGTTCGCACTGACGCCCTTGACATGGCCGATCTTGAAACACTTTAAGCACTGAAGTGGCTTTAGGACGAAACACCGTACCACATGCCGGAGAATGTCCCTTCTTGATGTGCGTAGGGATCAAGTCACCCTTAAAGGGTCACTCACCAGGTTTGAAAATTTCGAGTTGACAAGAGAAATGCGTAGATGAGGCGTTCATGATCACGTGTGCCGGAATTCGGAACGCTGCGCGCCGCAGAAATGGGTCAAATTTAAAGATAAACGCGGCTCCCCCTCTTTTCTGCTGGCGCTCGGCCAGAAGATGAGTGCGTGACGTGCGCGTATGAATGGCCTTACGTACACGGCAATGCAATGACGTTCCTCCTCTACGTAGACAACTCTGCTCTGACGTTGCAAACAGTGGCACGTGACATGACAAAATATTGATTGATTGATTTGTGGGGTTTAACGTCCCAAAACCACCATTTGATTATGAGAGACGCCGTAGTGGAGGGCTCCGGAAATTTTGACCACCTGGGGTTCTTTAACGTGCACCCAAATCTGAGTACACGAGCCTACAACATTTCCGCCTCCATCGGAAATGCAGCCGCCGCAGCCGGGAATCGAACCCGCGACTTACGGGTCAGCAGCCGAGTACCTTAGCCACTAGACCACCGCGGCGGGGCGACAAAATATTTAACATTGTATGTGTAGTTTATGTAATTTGTTGCTTGATGAGATTAATAAAGCTCTAGATAGAGAGACGCAATACAGGAATGTGAGCGTCTTTTTTCCATTTTTCTCCTGTCAATTGCAACGACATGCGGGGCTAATGTGTCGGCGTTTCTCATGCGTTCGTGTACCTGCGGTCAGCGTATCGAGCAGACGACTGCTGTAGAACGCTTCTACGCATTGGCGCACTCATTGTGCTCATTTATTCTACCGCGTCTCAGCCACCGTTTCCAAACCATCCCGCAGAAACAGGCAGACGACCACAAAATAACGCTGGTCAAAAAACCAACGCCGCTCTTGTGCTCGGGGTCGGACTTGTTTGGGCACGTCATGCACATGTGACCTCTTGGTTAGATGCCTGAGAGGGTGGGGAAGAGATTTGGCTTGCGAAGGCTATGCAGAGGACGGCAAGGGTTTCGAGCTCGCCTCCTTTTATCCTCGTTTCGCGGCGCTTCAAAAGACCCGTTTTCTCCGCTCGTGATGAACCAAATGAAAAAAAAAAGTTAAGTGTGAATACACTTTATAAGCGGCCCCAAA